CACTATTAGAGCGAAATATGCCTATAGCTAAGACTAAAGCATCGGCTATTAACAGCCTTCTATCTATAGACTAATAGTTAAACAGAGAGGCAGAATGCTACCCTATAGCAGTACCTACGCAGTTATATTAACGAGAATCCTAAGGATTGGGTCAATCTCCTATAGCCTACAGAATTCGTGTATAACAACAGTATACACTTATTAACTAAGGTTTTACTATATATAGCTATAATAGGTCAAAACGCCGCGTTACTACAAGATCTATTTACCTCGCTCGAGGCCGAGCGCAAGGAAAGGGAAGCGCGTCAAGTACTAGAGACACTAGCGGCAATAGAACGTGTCTAGAAGATGCGAGAAATCTATGCTAAGATAGCCGAGAAGTTAACAAAGGCTTAAGAGTACTAAAAGACCTACTACGACAAGCACTATACGCCGATAACCTTTAAACAAGGCGATATAGTTATACTAAGCACTAAGAACCTCCGTATCCGCAAGCACCTATTACCTAACGGTAAAACAAGGCCTAAGCTCGTACTAAGATACATTAGCCTATTCCGCATTCGAGAAGTTAAGGGCTCCTCCGTATAGGCCTATTAGTTGTAGCTCCTACCTTATTACACTATCTATAACACCTTCTATGTATCCCTCCTTAAGCCGTACTACCTACGCGAAGGGGATGAAGCCCCTACAGAACACGAAGACATACTAGCGGATAGTAAGGAGCTATAGTCTATAGAACGTATCCTGTAGCATCGCACTAGGTAAGGCAAGAAGGAGTACCTGCTAAGATAGCAAGGCTATTTACCTAAATAGGACTCGTAGGAAGCTGAAGACTCTTTTAAAGACATAACTAAGTTGTTAGATAAGTATTAGACTAGCGTAAAGAACAAGAAGAAGGCTAAGGGCCTATAATGTTACTAGAAAGGCCTAGGAACAATGCTACCCCCGGGGTGCTATTAAGCTAACTAATTAGAGACAAGCAAGTGTTAGTAATAAAGGACAATAAGACTATACTAGGCGCGCTACGACGCGTTAATTAATTAATCGTATACTCTTTTAAGGACTCTACCTCTTTACTAACGCGCCCTGTAGGTCCCCCTCTTGTTCCTTTATTCTATCGGGGCCTTAAGACCTAGGCGATCGGTAAGGACGGCGCGGCCGGCGCGGCTATGTTAGTAACGGTGTTGCCGAGTTGTTATTAGTTAAAGAAGGAAATTAGAAGAAGGTAAAGTTAGCGCTAAGGCGACTAGCGCTGCTATTATTAACATTACTTGCTATTGTCGCTGCGCCTACGGACATAACCTTACCTATACTACGAGCCTAAGGCACCTTTAATCAAAACTTTGATTAAAAGCTTTAAGCCTATTAAAGGTTTAATTAAAAAACTTTAAGGCTAAGTCAAAACTTTAACTAAGTCAAAAGATTAAGCGACTAATAGACTAACTAAGGGCAAAACTATAGAGCTAAGCTAGCTAGGGTCGATCTTGCGGACAATAGGTTACTCCTCGATCTATCTAACCCTTTAAGCGAGGCGAACCTCTACTACTACACTTATAATAGCCTTTACTTATAGAAACCAGACGAGCTGTGTTTTTTAAGAAGATAAGATAAGATTGACACTTAAAGGCTGCTAAACCTAGCTAATTAGGGCTAGCGAAACTACGAATAATAAGAACAATAACCCTCGGAAACGGACAAACCCTCGGAAGCGGACATTGCTAGGTCTTTTAAGAGTAGACGCAAAGAACTCGATACGACATTACTTAGAACGGAGGCAGTGCTGCAATACCTCGTACGTCTACCTATTATAGCAGGGAAGACGCGCTCGTATTATAATTAGTCGAAGGCCTTTAATTCTTGTAGATATATATCACTTTATAGTTTATTATATATAGAGATAGCGCAGTTAGAGTTGTACATTGTATTGTTAGAGGTAAGGTTTAATATAGTTACATAATTAGGTAGTTAAGTGTTTAATTTAGCGCGGGCTAAGCAGCTTATTAGACCTACTAAGTTAGCAGCAATAGAGGTTAAGACTAGGACAAAGACCGGCTACGAGGGCGCGGCCTTTAGAAGGGAAGCGTATGTTAGGGCTAAAGAGGCTACACGTAATTGGCATATAACTAGGCCGAGTAAAGCTAGGGTCTTAATGCCTTAGGCAGGGCTTAGCGCTTAGCGTTAGGCTAACTCTCCTACCTTCCTCCCTCTCCTCCTAGCTCCTTATCGAATACTACTTGTACCTACTACTACCCTATCTACCTACTAACATACCCTTCTTATAGCTAGTTAGCTATGCTAAGGACTTAGTAGACTTAGGGAAATATATAATTTATCTTCCTAACTAGTATAAGGTTATTCCGTCGAAGGATGTCTAGTTTATTAAGATAGCTAGCGAGCTATTACTTCTAGAGGGCATAGACCTATACGCTAATCCTAATAACCTAGCTAAGAACGAGTTTGTTATACTTGAGTCTATTATACCGGCTCTATTTAATTCTATAAGCAACGAGGTACCGTCGCTATAGGAAGCCGCTAGTATAGTCTAGTAGCTTCTAGCCTAGCAAGAAGAGCCTCTAGACGAACCTCCTTAGGATATAGAGGTAACTAATAAGGTCGCTAGTCCGTTGCTACTCGACGATAACCTACTAGCTATTTAACCGCCTTTAAGTAATAAAGATAGCTCTTAGTTAGCTAAGGAAGAACTAGCGTACGATCCTTACGCTAAGAAGGGCGAGCTAGGCTAGTTACCTAAGTTTAAGCGACCTGCTAAGGCTATTAGTAATCGTTCTACGCGCAAGATACGAAGTAATAAGAGCACTCGTAAGCTATTACGTAGCTATATAGCCGATTGTAGTATTAAGCGGTCGACTCGACGTATAATAGCTAATATGCCGATAGCCTATATAAAGGGCTTTATAGCTTCCTGTTACGTTGCTAAATAGTCTAATAAGCCTAAAGAGACTATTCCTATTCCGAAGAGCTATAAGGAGGCGACTTAGTCGCTATACTAGCTATAATAGAAGGAGGCCTATAAAGCTAAATACAAGTTACTAATCGACAACTATATATAGGTGCATATATCTCGGTTAGAGGTACTAGAAGGTCGTAAGGTTGTTCGTAGCCGATAGGTGTTTACTATTAAGCGTAACGCTAATAGCAAGGTAAGCCGGTTTAAGGCTCGTTAGGTCGTCCGTAGCTTTATATAGGTTAAAGGACAGGATTATAACGAGACCTATGCGGCTATTGCTAAGCCTTGTACGCTTCGAGCCTTGTTTAGTCTAATTGTATACTATAACCTAGAGGCTAAGCAGTACGACATTCTAACTGCCTTCCTTAACGCGCTTATCGGGGATAAGCATAAGATCTACGTCGAGCAGCTATATAGCTTTAAAGACCGTAGCGGCAAGGGCATGGTTTGCCTATTGCTAAAGGCACTATATAGTCTAAAGCAGTTACTAATACTATAGTATAAAGAGCTTTGGAAGTACTTAAAGAGCCTAGACTTTATTCTAATAATGTCCGACGTCTGTGTCTTTAAATACGTTGTTAGCGGCTCTATTATCGTTATCTACGTCGACGATATAATTATTATCGCCTATAGCCTATTAGTACTAGAGGCTGTTACTTAGTTGCTAAAGGACCGTTTTAATATACGAGAACTAGGCGACCTGTACTACTATCTCGGTATGCGGATCGTCCGTAACCGCGGTTAGCGTACTATTTACGTTGTTTAAGATGCCTATTTAAATAGGCTTAGTAAGAAATATAGTATACGTAGCCGTATCGGTCTAGCTACTCTAATAGCGCCTCGCTATATTAAGACGTCTATTTAACGCGTACCTAAGGGCTATATAGCTAGTGCCGCCTTTAAGACTTAGTATTAAGAAGGTGTTAGTAAGGCACTATAGCTAGCTATAATTATACGACCTAATGCTTACTATACTATAGGCCTATTATTACGATTTATCTCTAACCCTACTAAAGAGCATTATACCGCGCTCCTTTAGCTAGTTAAGTACCTAGTTAGTACCCTTAGTCGTAGCATACGCTTCTAAGGCATATAGAACGATAAGCTCAATTTTGCTAGATACTATAATGCCTTATAGGCCGATAACCTAGTTACTCGCCGTTCTATAAGTAGCTTCTACTTTACTATTATAGGCGGACCTCTGTTATATAAGTCCGGCCGCTAGACGCTTGTTATACTGTCGTTAACTAAAGCTAAGTATGTCTAACTTACTATAGGGGCTAAGGAAGCAGTTACCTTAGCTCGTTTATTAAAGGAAATTAGCTATAAGGGCTATATTCTTCTAGTTACGCTCTACGAGGACAATTAGTCCGCTATTGCTATTACTAAGTCGACTAGCATTAATAGCCGCATAAAGTATATAGATACTCGTATCTACTATATTCGAGAGAAGATTGCTAATAGTACTATTATCGTCTAATAGGTTAGTATATATAATTAGATAGCCGATAGCTTTACTAAGCCGCTTAATAAGGTTAAGCACGGCCGCTTTGTTAAACAACTGAACCTAGTAGATTGCAAGGCCGCTATTGAGAATGCTATAAAGCTAGCTATTAAGTACTAAAGGGACCTTATTTGCTTTATATAGATATAAGAATAGTCTAGCTTATTTACCTGTTTTGTTTAATTACCTAATACCCTCCTATTTGCTTTGCTAACTAAATAGCTAATGTGTTTGTTTCATTCTATAGCGATATGCACGTGCTAAGGGGGTGACTTAGAGTGTATGTCCAGGTGTCAGGGTCCATCACGTACCTAATGCCTGAGGCTGCAACTGCTGCACTTCATCTTCGGACTTCTAGATAGATTAGTCCTTCTTCCGAATACATCAGTTACATCAAGTAGATGAGCTTCAAAAGTTCGTTAGCGCGAGAAAATCAGAAACCCACATCAAGTCTCGTCAGCAGTCTCGGCGGAACAAATTTGAAGGACGCTGGCGTTAGAAGCGATATCTGCCAAGAGATACGGCAGCATGTCTCAGGCGCGAAGGAAGAGACCGTCGTGTTCTCACGACAACTGTGGATCGAGACGGTTTCATGTTGGCGATGATGGCTTCACGTATTGCGACCAAGGTCACCAGCAATCCGAAGCTGGCCTCCTCGTCTCTGCAGACACTGGAGAACTAGTGCTCACCGGACGAACGGCGAGAAGGAAATTGGACTCCGATGCAGAATCAACGACGACGAAAGTTACTGGATTTTCTGGGCCTAAAGCGTTCGAACACTACCTACTTTGCGTGCAGCTGGTGCTGAGGAAGCAGCTTCGGTGGCTAATTGACGTACAAAAGCTACCCGAGGAGCTCGAGGGCCTGGTAAAAGACTTATGGGCACTGCGGCTGCAGAAGTTGCAGAACAAGGTCTCCTATGATAGTGATGCAGAGACCGATGCGCAATCATCTCGGATCTTCAGCTCGCAGTCTGAAGGCGATTCTGGCACGGACACCGAGAACACCATCACGCGTCGCGACCGGACACGCCAGAAGGGACCAGGCCCAAATATGCTGGAGCTTCTGGGTCTCCTTCATATTGGTATCATGCTGCTCAAGATACCAATCACGGCGGCTGACATGCTCACATGGTGTAACGAAGGGGCTCTGCTTTTCTATCGGGCAGTGAAGGAGGTGCCGATGTCCATGCGTGATCGTTTACCTGGTCATTACCAAGACTTGCTCGAGCAGCAGAGCCTCATTGAGCCAGAGAAGCTTCATCGCAAAGTACTTGAACTGTTGACAAATTTGAACTCGGACTTTGGTATGGAGGCGCCGACTCTGAATGAGCCACTCGTACTTTATCGCTGGGTAAAGCAGTTGGCCCTGCCTCTTGAGATATATGTTACCACACAGCGCCTGGCTCGCTTACTCGAAGTCGACTTCGCTTACAATGTCGTTGCCAAGGCACGGGCGAACATGAGTATGCGGTTCCCCGAGATTCGATTGATGTCGTTGATCGTCATAGCGACAAAGCTGCTATTTCCCTTCGACGATAAGAAACGATATCCGAAAAACACAGAAGACCTTGCGGCGATGAGGCTGGACTGGGGTGTTTGGTGCAAAGTCCTGGCTCAACAGCATGGCCATGACCAGGACAAGGACCAAAACCGTGGTGGCCCTGATCAGCTAACGTTTCGAGATGCGTTTAGCATGAACGAAGCAGATAGTCTGGGCCTCGCCGATGAGCGCCTTGACCAATACCTGGATTGGTACGAGAGCAATATTGCTTCTGAAGAGGTCCGCGAACGCGGTCGGGCTGGACGAGAGGCGGATTTCAGACGGACACTGTTCGCGATGTTTCCCACTACATCGAACAAGCAGAAGAGCGAAGCACGTGCACAGACCGAGATTAGCAAAGCTGGAAAGACTTCGGCGGAAAAGATTGTCCAGGTTCAAGCAGCTCTTCGAGCCAGGCGTATTGTACCAGAAACCGAGCCCGACGATATCCCACGTGTTGGGACCTTGTATACCCAGTACACAACAGTGGAGGACCTCGGTGGTGCCACGAGAGAGTTTTACGAAGGAGCGGCGCAATTGGCGGGATTCTCACTGCGCGGAATTGTGAGAGCGGTCTGTATGATGGAGCACAAGTTATTCAAGCTCGAGCGGGCTTGGACGAAGAACGATCGTAAAGACTAGACAACGTTAGCGTCCTGGCACCACAGACGTTCTGTGGTAGATTCTAGACCTAGCCGCTCCCACTGACAGCTGTCGAGATGTTGTTTCTCCAGGTTTCAAGCGCTCCACTTTTGTCTCGAGGAACTGCTTTGGCTCCCAAAGTTTCCAAACAGCTTCAATCTGTTCTGTCTCCTCTTGCTCGACGCCCAGCCGCACTTGATAATCTTCTTGCCACCGTTCCTGCCACGTCTCTTCGCAGCGGTACGCGGCGCATGTTGACTGGTGAAGTTCCCCAATGTCATTGACCGCTCGTACATCTCTTTCCCGTTCAGCAACGACAGCCCCGCCAAACCAGCATCGCAATTGAATGAGGCCGGAAAAGCAGTGCGCGCGCATGGGCTCGGGCGGGCCCGAAGTCGCTGCGCGCTTTGCACCTGGCTTCAAATGCTTCGGTGCGAAGGACCACATGGTTGTGCCGTTGGTAGCATCGTCTAAGATGGTGAGTGAGCAGCTGGTGCGATCTTCGTCTCCTCAACCGCTTCTGCGGCAGCTGCGCAGCCATGCTCTTGACTTCGCAGGCAGCGGATGCGGTGTGTGGATCATCGAGGCACGTTGAGTGAGGCACTCTCCCATCTGCCGCTGAGCGTCGCTGCGGAGCGGACTGCACCGCACGCTGCATGCGGTGGACCGCCGAGCCGTGCGGTTCCAGAAAAGAATGGCCTGTTCGCATCTCGTGATTATTAGCGATCGCGCCACCATGCCGCAATTTGGCCAGCGGACTTGAGATCCATGGCGGACGGTCAGCGTGAGCTGCAGCAGGCGTACAGTATCGCGCCGGCAGATATTGTTATGAAGGCCACGGCACGAACATGTTCCTAGCATCCAGAGTCATGCCGGCATGCGTTGGCGCAAACCACAGGACTGTGCCATCGTCTCTCCGCCACATCGTAATCCCACCACAATGTGCAAACCTGGCAAGCGGTCGATCGCATTCGCGTGCCGAGAACTCGCCACGATCAGTTGCCTCGATTGGCCCTTGACGAGGGAGCAAGGCCCTGGGCATGGCAAACAAGGAAGGTCCTAGGCAGACGTGGCAGACGTGGGTGTAAACAACCAGCGGGATAGAGGCCGGCGACGTTCTCTCGGAAGCCACCTGTCCAGTCACAGTGGGAGACAGGTGCCAGCCGTGATAGTGCCTGAAGATCGCGCGCGATTTGAGCGAAGTGCGTGCGAATTAATGCGCCCAAAGCAGACAAGGCGTCGCCTTTATTAGGGGCGGCGGCGCTCAAAGTGGACACGATATATTTAGTGTTCTGCGCCACGGGGAAAGGCTATTCTATGCGATGCGATGCGATGCGATGCGATCCAAACCTCACGCCTGGCTTCGGCTTGGCCTTGTGCAACGACCTCCTACTGTACTTTCGAGTCGGCCGACCTCCTGTGCCATATGCATCTGCAGCGACCAGGCGGCAACGAGCCTACAGTAGGCGTCTTGCTAGTTGACACTCGATGCATCGAGCGGTGCGCGCAGGAACATCGGACGATGCGTGCAGGCAAGGGAGTCGTGAAGGGCTCCTTGGGGCCTTGTGTGCCCAACGACACTGGACGGATCCCCTCTTGTGCAGCTGACAGGAAGCCACCCGAGAAAGGCCGATGCCTCGCCATTCCACACGCCCGCAAAGGACACTGCAGGCGAGGATGGGCGCGCGACCGTTGACGTTGAGCCGCGCGCAATAATAATGCCCGTCGAAGCAGTGCAATACCCATAATACCGTACCGCACTGCACTCTGTCACGCACTCCACGCCACCCATAGCAGTGCTGATAAACTTTTAAGCTTCTTCGCGCGTTGCGCATTGAGCAAGGGTCACATCTTTAGGCTGCTCGGTGATTGTCCTAAAGATAGCCCGTTACTGACCTACCGGCGAGGCCACCATGCTGCCCTTGATCACCCTCCAGTCTGGGTTACTGTTCCCCAAGGGCTTCACACGATGCAATCTGGCGGTGCCATGGGAGCTTCGGGCTGGCATCACGGCCCAGTCAGCTGCGCGAAGTGCTCTTTTCTCGCTATACACGGCCCTCTCGAGGCTTGCCTCTGCTTCCTTGAACCATCTTTGCTTCTAGTCTGGGCAGATGCTGATCGCCGCCCGAGTCGCTCGTTTGGACATTGCTGTTTTCTAGCTGTAGTATTTGATCCTCCTAACCGCTACTACTTTCCCTTCCCCAGGCATACTGGCATGGCCGCTGACGAAACGAAACGCCTGCTTTCCGGACACTAACGACCCCGACACACTACTGACACCACTGCTCCCACCTGACGGAAGCCCTCGCCGGCCTTGACCACCGCTGCTGCTGCTGCTCCTTTCCGGATCACCACACCGTACTGTACCTTACGCAAACGCACGCACTCTCGCCCGCTTGGATCCGTCTCTGCTCAGACACCCTGAAACATCCTCCACGATTTTGACTCACATACACCGACACGGCGGTTGTCATTCCTAAGCCCAGCTCCACCGACCTGGATGACGCCCCCACAGAGCTAACGCCAAGGCCTTCCGATCAGCAAAGGACAGATACCCGTCGCGCCTCCTTGACACAAGCCGCATCTTGTGCCCACCGAGCCGCGTTACAGTCGACTGGTAACGGCCTGTGGTACTCCGCAAAGAGATCGACCGCCCGAGTGAAGTTTGGTAGCTTGTGCGGCAGCTCCCAGGCCCGACTTTCACGCGACAAGCTTTCTGTAATCAGGTGACCTTGACCAACTTTCGACAGGCAATCTGCAGACATTCCTGGCGCATCCATTGATCGAACATCCTTCGCTTCTGCCGCGACGCCGCTGCGCTGGCAACCAACCAGTCTCCACTGCTTGGGCCCAAGATCGCCACAAAGAGCCGAAGCGGCTGCTGCCGCTGCTCATCTATTGCAAGGTGAGGCTCTCTCTTCCCACCTTTCCTCGCACCTTGCGTGATTCGTTTGCCCTCCTCTGGTCTGTCAGGTCTTATCTCTAAACCACAGGCCATTCCGCACGTCGCGGCATGAACTCCTGGTCCTTCCCCAACTTCTGAGTCGAATCTGGGCCATCACCATTGCTACCTGATGCGCCGGAACACCTCGCTGGTCGATGGACGCGAAGGCAGAGATCAACCTGGACCATCATCATATCTGACAGCAACTGCAGCCACGATCCCCACAGCCTGCGGCGCGCGAGGCGCTTCGTCATCAGTTTCCTTTGTTCAATTCGGTATGAGCGATAATTGCAATCTCCATGACGGACATCAAATCTTGGCTGGTGCGTCGGAGGCTAATATCGGAGCAGGTATCTGAGCAGCGTCAGAGCAAAGACACAGACGCTACAGCGCTGTTGCTTTGATACCGCGCCTGCAATCCGCTTCGGGAACGTACAGTAGCGGAACGCCAGCTCCTTGGTTCGGACGTCGGAAAGAACCCTGCAATCTCCTGCGAACGACTGCAAGAACACCAAGATTGCCTGTTCGCCAATTGGGTGTCATTCTTTGAGACGGTCGACGTCGTCCGCAGGACGGTAATCGCCTTCTGACACTCACGTCAAAGAACGAGAGCGCTATTTTCTGCATGTCTTGAGCGGATAGCGACATTTGCACTCGCCCCACCAGTTCATTCAGCCCATTGGGCCCAGCCCAAAGGCATTGGTGTAGGAAGAGTACGCTCGCAGCATTTATCCAGTGTCGTACAAGTTGCAGCAGACTGCCCTCTACTACACGTTCTGCATTCTGTTCAACGTGATCACTCGCCAAGCTGGAACTCATCGCAGACGTATGCGTCACCAGGTGCGTCCTCACTGCCCACTCCCGACATGACAACTTGATTCTCCCGGATCGATCGCACTCATTCGTCGCATTCTTACATTGTTGCCTTTTGCAAAGGCACGGCACAGCCACGATCGCTGACTAACTGTCACTAGAGTGAACAGCGAAGAGATAGCAAGACCTTCTTGGTGGTTGATGAAGATTGCGGCATCCCAACGTCTCTCGTCGAAACTTATCGGAGCAGTAACGACAGTGGGCCATTGGCCCAGCCCGATCCCCGGAGTTACTTGCTGTCGATGTCGGAGTACGACAAAGCGCAGAATTACGAAGTGTATGGTGAGTGCATTTTAAGTTGTTGAGAACAGGCGGGATCCTTCGATGCCTTGGGGCCGAAGAGGCAGGTGCCTTGCGGAGCGGGATGACCACGGCAGGAACCTTCTGTCTCGTGGACATGCTAGCTTGAACATGTGAAAGGGCAGCATGGCAGATGACTGATGTGACGCACACCACAGACTACCAAACAGCCACACGACCTGAGCAGGGCCAGCATGCCTACAGCGGCTTCGCACACCCTACCTACGCGACCGACTATGTAGCGACTCAGGCGCAGGTACCATCTGGCCTTCCCCAATCATCCTCCACGGTCAGTTTGGGCGCCGCTGCTCAACCGTACGGCACGCATGATCCAACCTATTATGGTCAGCAGGCTGCGCAGTACCCTGCATATCTCGAGCCTCCTCGCCCAGTCCCTCAGATCGTCAATGTTTCTCCCAGAGCAGGCCCAACCGGTACTCAAGTCACTGTCTATTTCCAGAGTCCCTACGATTTCGATGCACCACAAGTCACACCAGTCATCATGTTCGGCTCAAAAAGATGCGAAAGCATCTTGACGAAGACTCCCAACACTGGCTTCTACGAATACACGCTCACAACTACTGCGCCTTCGCCTGCATCGACACACTCGCCAACAGCCCAAGTACCGCTGCACCTCATTCTCGACGATACAAATGTTGCTTGGGAAGGATCTCCGTCGTTGGACGTTGGACTGTTTGCCTACCAAGATCAGCCCACATATTACCACCTCGACTCGCCGCAAATGCCAGCTCAACCGCAACTCCAGGCGCCGCGCAAGCGCAAACTGTCGCCAGAGTCGTCGCCTCGCCGTTCCCCTGCCAAGAAGATCTCGATGCACAATATAGCTCAACACCAGTCTCCAGTCGCCGCATTTCGACGTCCGAGTGTGCCAGATATCTACCAGAATCGTCAGTTCAGCCAGATGTCCGACTATTCATCATATGGCCAGATCGCGTCCCAACATTACCATAGACAGCAAGCCACACCATCGATGCAGACATCGCAGAGTCCTTCTTGGTCGTACGCGCATGGACTGCAGACAACACGCAGTCCTTCAGCTGCTGCACTGTCGACTGGAAGTAAGAGCTCACAGCTTCTTCCGTCGCCTGCTGCAGGTCATGCACCGCCACTCATACGAACATCGACTTTGCAGGGCTCACCAACGACTCCTGGAGCGCATATTCCCGCGACTGCCATGGCAAGCGCCTTCAACCCGTATGCGATGTACCCTTCGAACGCCAAAGCGATGCTGAAGATTGAGGGTGATCTCAATTTGATGTCAGACAAATGGACGGCAGCGGAATGGGAGGCCAGACGACGTTTGGTGCAGTTCCGTCGCAGCCAGTCCGGAAGCATCATCTCCGCCACATTTGAGCCTGTCACACTCGAAGACCGCCTTCCGAACAGCATTTGCGTGAGCTGCATATGGTGGGAAGAGAAGCAGGAATGCTATGTGACCTCGGTGGACACCATCTCCCTTCTGGAATCCCTGGTTGCAGTGCGCTTCACAGTGGAAGAGAAGAACCGGATTCGTCGCAACCTCGAGGGCTTTCGACCGGCAACAGTATCGAAAACCAAGGCGGACAGTGAAGAATTCTTTAAACTGATCATGGGCTTCCCCAACCCCAAACCGAGGAACATCGAGAAAGACGTGAAAGTGTTCCCGTGGCGCATCTTGGCGACGGCTTTGAAGAAGATCATTGGCAAATATGCAAGTCATCCCTGCATGCATATGCATTCTGCACTCTCCTCCATATCGATACACAGCTAACATGCTTCGCAGTCCGCAAGCTATTCGTCCACTGCCGGCGCATTACACCCAGGCGCGTCGGGATACGCTGCAGCGAGGCCATCTGACGCTGGGATCGATCAGCGCGCAGCGGCTTCGCCACGCTCCGCGTCAAGCTCCGCGGCATCACACAGTCACGTCTACGCGCCGCCGCCACCAATGCCAAATCCATATTCGCCTCACGCGGCGATGCAATCTGGTCTCGGCATCGGATCGTCAGCAGCCTACTCGGATCCTCGCCTCGCTGTTCCCACATCGGCTGGTGCACAAACAACGTCCTGGCACCAGCCATCTGCGCACTATTCCACCGAGCTTTCGGGAACGAGGCCAGACTGGTCGTTTGGTGTTGGGCAATATCTCAGTGCGTCGCCCGCGACGGGTCTCCCAGGAACGGCGCAGTCGTATGCGTATCAACAACGAATCCCTTCGTTGACAGGACCCGCGGCCATGCCTGCCGAAGCCAGATTCGTGCCCTTGCACGATTACGAGAGCCATAGTCAGCCGACTTCAACGTCGTAGACTGATGGTGTGCGGTTGCGTTTGAGCCGCACGTTCGGAGCTCGATCATTGGTCATGCGGCACTGCGTCCTGCCTGCCCAAGCTCCTGCAAAGCTGAGGCGCGCTAGCCACATTCGAGCTGCACAGTGCCTTGCACCACACCATCACCCACAATCTGCTCTGTTTCAAGGCCCACCACTCCCTTTGTTTGCGCTGCAGATGATCAGCCTGGCCACAGGGTCTCGACAACATGTCCGACTGGTCCAGGTCATCTGAGCCGCATTTCTAATACGGGCCACTATCACTTTCCTTCGGAGGACGTCAGCATCGCGACGGCGTTTTATCGCAAACCAGCGTTCAAGCATCGATACCCACTTACACCACCAATAGACACACAACCTTCACGGGACAACCGGCGCACGGCGCACGCATGATACCCATTTGCTTTCTTTGAAATTCGAAACACATCATCTCATAGCGCGCAGAAGAATTGGCGTTGGACAAGGAGGACAGTAGCATTGTATGATAACGACAGCATACTTATTCACAGGCGCACATTAATCATCGCTTCACTTTGCTTGGCTTCGCTTCGCTTCGGTTGACGCTTGGCCCTTGGTAGCATTTGAGACGTTCCGCAGGAGTAATCGCGGTCGTGGTCGTGGTCGGCGATGGCTGACGGACGTATGATACCCACAAACACACAAAAAGATGGACATATTTGCTGCGTTTACAAGTCTCTGTGCTGGTGCCTGGTACCTGGTGCCTGCTCTTCTGTCTCACTTACCAAAAATTCCATTCCAAACTGACACCATCAACAGCCCGACCAGGAAAAAGCACTTCCATGCCAACTCTATCTTTTTATGAAACCTAATCTTGTGATGTCGCCGTCTCAGTCAGCCGGAAGCCTGCAACCATGTGATGAACAAAGCAAAAATTCTCTTTTTTTCTTTCGTTCCTGCCTTAGGCCATCAACAGGTACCGTAGCCAGGGATTCCTTCTTCGCGCGGAACCAAGCAAAATCAAGCTCAGCTGCTCCACGGGGTTGAGATTGGAGGAGTGGAGGACTCCGGATTATGTAAGTATTTTTCCAGCGAAGCGGAAGGCACCAAGCTCCTCGAGTTGTGGAAGGTGTCTGGAGCGAGTGCGAAATAACAATCAGACTCGGCTCGGAATGCAAAAAGGCTCCCTACCAAAATGGCAAAATCTAGTCCGGCCTCTGATTATTAGAAATCAAAAAGAAAGATCACGTGATTTATACTCACTCAGCGAAAAGTGCCACAGAGCTCAGCCAGCACAAGCAAGCTTGCTGGCTCTGAGAATATCCTTGTTCCCCAATAATAAATGCTGGAATGAAGTCCACCGACTCTCAAACTCTGTCGCTCCTTCGGGGGTCGGAAGTCTCGTCATGCCGATGTTGTGGCGAGCAAGCAAGCATGACGGTGATATTTCTCCGCTGCCGGCTATCAATAATGAGGGGAGGAGGAAGAACCTGAACAATACAGTAGTAACTTGTAAGTAGAGATTTGGCGGACCCTGGCTTCTTTTAGCGGCTCCGCTGGAGCCGGTTCGAGGCATCCACGGAGCTTCTGAAAGGAGACGGGCGAGGATGAGATCCTTCGCAGTCTGACCCTTCAACATGGATGTTAGCCGAGCAGAGAGAAAGCAGTCCGAAAACGATGGTAAGCAAAAAGGTAGGTTCCTCTTGGTTGTTTCTTGTCTCTCACTCTTGTTTCTTTTCAAGCTTTGCATCATGGCGTCTCCAGAGGATAGGAAAGCTTCCACAGCATCGGAACAGATTGAAGAGAAGGATACATTATCTGCCGGACTCTCATACACATTGGACCCAGCAACGGATCGCCGCCTCACACGCAAACTCGACTTGCACATTCTTCCTTGGATCTTCGTCCTCTGGCTGCTGGCGTTTATCGACAGATCCAACATCGGCAACGCCAAGCTCGATGGCCTCGTGAAGGATCTGAAGCTAACTGGAGACAAGTACAATGTGTGCTTGGCAGTCTTCTACATCCTTTATGTCCTCCTTGACGTTCCGTCCAACTGGCTTCTCCGATATGTCGGCGGAGGCAGATATCTGCCGTTGCTCGCCATGGCTTGGGGCATAGTTGGGACATGTATGGGAACTGTCAAAACCTACGGCGGTCTGATAGCCTGTCGTCTCTTCCTTGGAGCATGCGAAGGAGGCATGTTCGGCGGCATCATCCTTTACCTGTCCATGTTCTATCGTCGACATGATCTGATGTTCAGGTTGGGTATCTTCTACTGTGCGGCGCCGCTCTCGGGCGCCTTTGGAGGCCTACTGGCAACTGGCCTTGCTGAGATCAATTATGGTTCTTATCGAAGCTGGCCATGGATCTTCTTTGTGGAAGGCTCAGTCACTGTTGTCGTCGCAATGGTTGCCTTTTTCTTTCTCCCCAGTACCCCCGGCACAGCTCGATTCCTGTCCGAAGAAGAGCAATGGCAAGCAGCTCAAAGGCTGCGAGTGGATCTCCACGGCGCGGCTGCAGTTGAGAGACCAGACGAGGACCGTTTCAATTGGAGAGAAGTAAACATTTCACCTCGCAAGACTTCAAGCTTTGCTCACCACTGACACTTATTTTCAAGGTCCGCTTCGCTCTCCTTAACGTCAATACCATTGTGATGTCGCTGAACTTCTTCTTCATATTGATTCCGATCTACAGTTACTCGCTGTTTTTGCCTACAATCATCAAAGGCATGGGCTACAGTAGGGTCACGGCGCAGCTCTTCACGGTGCCACCAAATTTCCTGGCTTTCCTGAGCGTGCTTGCCTTCGCATGGACTTCAGATCGCATCAAGATGCGTGGACCACTGATCGCCATTGCACTGAGTCTCGCATCAGTTGGCTACATCATGCAACTGGCCAGTGATCGGAACAGTGTGCAGTATGCAGGGACCTTCTTCATAGCTCTTGGATCATTTCCGTGTAGTCCGTTAGTGCTGGCTTGGTTGTCCAACAACTTAATGCCGCACACAACGAAAGCCACTGGCCTTGGATTTCAAGTGGCAATTGGCAACTGTGGTAAGCATTGGTCGATCGTCACCCCGTGATTGTCCCAACGACTGACCAGCATGTTGTTAGGTGCCTTTGTCGCCACATTTACGTACTTGGCTGAAGATGCTCCCGACTATGTCACGGGCCACGCAATATGTCTCGCCAGCATCGGAATAAGCCTCCTGCTGACGCTCAGCAACATGGCGTACATCCGGTGGGAGAACGGACAGAGACAAAGCGGGAGGAGGGAGTATCGACTGCAAGAGGTGGAAGACGAGTCGCAGTTGGGCTACCGTCATCCCGAGTTCAGGTATACTAGTTAGGAGCAGGCGCAAACTCAAGCCTCGTCACCGGCTCGATGGTTGCAACTCGTGCAAGACACGCTTTTACATGTGGCTCTCGTTTCATCTCATGCAGTGCTTGCACGTGATTCCACCAGCAGCCACGACTCAAGCCTTGCAGGACAGGAGCGCCATCGGAGAATACTGGCGCATGGATCAAGACGGCATCGGGAACAGCAGATCCAAGCGTCAACGGCTGCAATCTTGGGGCGGCTCCTGACGAAATTCCCGTTCCCGACCGTGAAGCGCAACGGTCGTTCATCTTCAACGGTCGCTAGATCCACGTTCCTGACTAGTAATTGCATTTCCCACTTCCGGCCTGATCGGTTCAAATTACGAGCAGCAAATTGGTCGTCGCCTGCTGTCGTTGCTGAACAACTGTTGCAATCTGATTCCAGCCATGGATGGTTCTTTTACGCTTGAAAGTGTCAGCTTCTCGCCTATCACTCGCCATATTGCACAAGACTGCTTTCGCACGTACATGCTCAAAACGTATCGTCTTCCAGAACCTGCTTGATTATGCTTGGAGACGGTATTTCGAACTCATAATCGTCGTCCTCAATATCATCCGTGGCATCTGCTCCAGCAGTCAAAAGGAGATCGTCAACAATCTTCCGAGATGCTTCTCGAGCTGGCGTCTGCATCAGTCTCGATTGCGGTACATGGAACTGCATGGTTTTGGGAGGTGAGAGGTCGGCCAGGTCGTCGTCGTCGTCACTATCATCGAATATGTGACTCGCTCTTGTTCGATCCCGTGTTGCCGTGTACGCTTTGTCTTGTGCCGAGAAAAGCTGCTTTCCAGTCGATGTGGTTGGAGGAGGTGGTCCAGTCTTCTTATTGGCTGGCGTCAGAACAGACAGTCCTGGTGTCCTTGGTGCACCTTTAGCCGGCGAGAAGAGATCGCTCCGAAGTTGAGGTGCCGAAATGTCAGGAGAAGACTGAGGAGAGTCGTCCCAAGGTGATTGCTTTGTCGCGGTTGCTGGGGTGGCTTTGGCAGCGGGTATTGCTCTCTGTCGACGCTGTGTCATGGGAGTGGCCTGGATACGGTAATTCTTATCGAGAACACGATGCATCAGAGGATCGTTGTTCTCCCGCGGTTGGAAAGCCGAAGGCTGGAAGGCTGACTCTGGCTGGAACGGAGACGAATCCATGCTTCCAGTCGCTTGCATCCGGGGCGTGCTTGGCTCTTCCGAAGAAGGCTCGATGGCGAGAGGATTGTGTCCAGTGTACTTCCTGGGTGATGGCGATCGATGTGAGGATGCAGTCCTATTCCTCTGAGAACGACCCGTGCCATTGGCCTTTCTAGATGAAGACGGGGTCAGCTTTGGAGTGCTCTGCACACCTGTGACCTGTGTGGGCGATTCTATGCTGAATGACTCCTCTTCGTTGTGCCGCTGGGCTCGGCCGGTGACAGTATTGTCTTCATCGTCATGACCGGTGGGCGTTTGGAAGGATTGGGTAGCATCTGTGTGCGTGACTTCCTCTGCTCCATCCTCCTCATAGCCAGATAGGGAGACATTGGCGGATGCTTCGAAGAATTGCTTCCAAAACTGGGCAACCATCAGCGTGAGCCACGCGACATCTTTCTCAAGTATGGCTGACCTTTGAACCTTCCCAAACCTCACTGCTGTGCTGGGCATATTCCTCGACGGTGGGTATGATGCTGGTGGTGACGATGCGATGCGCCTTGCTGAAGTTGCTATCAATCTCTTGCAGCGTGAGGGTGATCTGCTGCTCCAGCTTCTCCAACTCTTCCGTCAGCGTCAGGCCGCGCTGGGCCAAGGATCTCGACATAATGTTGCGTGTGTGGTCGTCGTTCCCGGCGATGTCATTGTGGACGCTCAGGAACACGCGCAACGAGCACGCGACGAGGAAACATTGACTGCCCCGCTGCTGACATGCACCCACCAATCGCCAGACCTGCCCTGCCGGCGGGAATCTCGGGATACACCAGTCGACTTCGAGCTTCCCTGCTGCATCACCACTCGAGTCGAGCTCGGCTCCTGCATGAGCTCGACTTCCCTCCTCCTCCTCTGCGCTTCGAACGGCCACCACGGTAGCACGTAGCATGTCGCTCGGTCTTGCGGAAGATTACCGAACGAGCCTTCACAATGCCTCCAGGCGCCAGCTAGCTCCTCCGCCATGAGGAGTGCATCGCTCCGCGTGAGGAGAACCCAAGATTTGGCTGTCGTCACGGCGGCGCTTCGATCAGATCTTCATGCAGCTGTATAAAGAAGGGGACGTCCTTCTCCAGAGAGCGTGCGTGCTGCATTTCTCACTGCATACTTGTCCAACCTCTGGAGTTCTTCGGCACTTCAACTTTTCTCTACCGACTTCCTTGCAGCAACCTTACACTTCATTATGGGAAGAGTAGCAATCGTCACAGGTTCCAGTCGCGGCATTGGCAGGGCAATTGCCATTCGAATCGCACAAGACGGATACGATGTCTGCATCAACGACATTCCTGCCAACAGCGCCGGCTGTGACCAAGTTGTCAAAGAGATAGAAGCTCTAGGACGGAAGGCCATTGCAGTGACTGCCGATGTAACGAAACTAAGTGAGGTCGAGCAAATGTGTGCGACCACAGCAGAAAAGCTAGGCCCATTGAACACTATGATTGCAAACGCCGGAATTGCCCAGGTGAAACCATTGCTTGAGCTTACAGAGCAGGACTTTGAAACAATCTTTCGAGTGAACGTTTTTGGAGTACAGAACTGCTATCAGGCTGCCGCAAAGCAGATGATCAAGCAAGGAAATTTGACAGCGGACAGCCCGGGAAGACTCATTGGAGTATGTCAACTACAGACTTGTCCATCCAGTAGATCACGAATTGACACATTGGGCAGGCTGCTTCCATCGTTGCATTCAAGCCTTTTGCACTGCTGTCTCACTACAGCGCAACCAAATGGGCCGTTCGAGGTCTCACTCAAGCATATGCCATGGAGATGGCTGAACACCATATCACTGTGAACGCCTACGCTCCTGGTATTGTAGGCACTGCTATGTGAGTAAACCCATCTCAACCCCCTCCCTTGCAGGTAGCTCGTCTGAAGCATTGCTGACCTTTGCACTCCTTACTTTTAGGTGGGACCTCATAGACGAGAAGCTGGGCGAGAAAACTGGCGCCAAGAAGGGTGATACCATCAAGAAGTACTCAGAGTCGATTGCGCTTAAGAGAACTAGTGTACCCGAGGACGTCGCCAAACTCGTGAGCTTTTTGGCGAGCAGTGATGCGGATTATGTGACAGGGTAAGTTGATCCACAGCGCAACTCATTCTGCCCGAGACATGTGCTGACGTGTGATATCTTTGGTCATGTAGGCAGACTCAGCTGGTGGATGGAGGAATCATCTTCACGTAACTCAGCACCATACATTAGCCTCTTCTGCATGAGTAAAAGCTGCGAGGACTCGTCGGTGCCCATCAACTTATTTCGATCAGCAATGAGAGCTTTTCGATAACAACAGTGACAAGTGCATGGCGGCGCTCCCATTATCAGAAGTGCTTAGAAGCCCATGTTAGAGGATTATGTTCTCGCAGTTTGATGGATTGGCATTGGCATGAACCACTTTGAGCTTCCCAACCACGCTTAATAATAACGTTAGGCTTTCTGCTACGCCCAGCCATCCGCGGACTCTTGTGGCCGTCTTTCACGTGCGTCATCGTCCGCATCGTTCGGCAGCTCTACAGTACTAGTCGTCTTAGTAGTCTCTGCTTATGTACAAAAGGACTTGACATGTGTAAGTAACGAGCTATTTCTCCTCCAAAGTACTCGTTTCCTCGCCACCATGCCTCCCCAAAGGCCGGACCAAGACCTGGAGCGCCGAGGATCGACAAACGAGACGGAGCCGCTGCTGCAGAACGTGGCAGCAGACACAGGCTCAGAAGTCGACGAGCTCGAACTTCTCGAATTCGAAGAAAACGATGTAGAAAACCCACGAAATTGGAGCCGGACGAGAAAGATGTTGAACGTGGCCACCATCGCTTCTATGGCCATCCTATCACCTTTGGCCAGTTCCATGTTCACTCCAGGGATCGATCAAATCGCCCAAGCACTCAATACCACTGCAAACCTTGTCATTGGATGTACGACTGGCTTTGTTGTCATGCTTGGAATCGGTCCCCTGCTCCTCGCGCCGCTCAGTGAGACGTTTGGGAGAAGACCTATGTATCTCGTGGGCTTTGGAGTGTTTACATTGTTGCAGATACCTTCGGGATTGGCCCCGAATATAGCCACGCTGATCGCTATGAGGACGATATCCGGCTTCTTCGGCTCCGTTTCTATTGCCAATGGAGGAGGCTCTCTCGCGGATATGTTCGAACCTGGTGAGCGGGCAGGGATTTTTGGATGGTATTTACTTGGACCATTGATGGGCCCGACTTTGGGGCCGCTCTTTGGAGGGCTCATTGTGCAAAGACTTGGGTGGCGATGGATCTTCTTGATCTTGACGATTGTGTGCGCGCTGAATACGACTTCAGCATTCTTCCTCCTGAAGGAGACATATGTGAGATGCAATCGTTATTGAAAGTTGGTTTGGTGCCTTCTGCTGACGTTTCATGCCCTATTGCTTTGCTAGGCACCAGTCATCCTTGCCAAACGAAAAGCACGGCTCGAACGTGAACACAACACACCTGGAAAATATCGCTTCGAGGGAGAAGACTATCGTCCGCTTGTCGTCAAGCTGCGTCACTCCCTGAAAAGACCTCTACGCATCCTGATCCAACCCATCGTGATGACTATGAGCGTCTATCAAGCCATCCTCTTCGCAACAACATATTCGCTATACACAAACTTCCAGCCCATCTACCACGGCGAATACGGCTTCAACACTGAACAAGTCGGACTAATGTATCTCGGTCCTGGTCTTGGCTTCCTGGCTTGCGTGTGGTTTATAGTCCCCAGAATCGATACGGTTTACAATCGACTGGCATCACAAAATCATGGAAAAGGTCGTCCAGAATTTCGATTGCCGTTGGCGAACATTGGTTCCGTGTTCATTCCTGTCTCGCTTTTCTGGTTTGCTTGGAGCGTGGAAAACCACACACCTTGGATTGTCTCGATCATCGCCAGTTTCTTCTATGGCGTAGGTGAGTGAACAACTTGTTTGCCTAGACAATTGCTCGACGTGGTGCTGACTCGATCAATCACTAGGTCAAATCATCATCCTCAACTCCACGACGAATTACTACATTGATTCCTTTGAGCGGTACGCGGCTTCAGCAATCGCAGCCGGTGCTGTGTTCAGAGCAGTAGTGGGTGGCATCGTTCCACTTTTCGCGCCAATGCTATTCGAAAATGTGGGATACGGATGGGGTATATCAGTATTCGGATTCCTGGCGTTGGCTATCGCTCCAGCACCACTGATCTTCCTCATCTATGGCGCGAAAGTGCGCGAGAGGTATTGGGTGGACATCTGAGCATCTTGCATTTGTGAAAGCATGACGCACGGCACCTTTTCTTCCAAGCAATTTCAGCCCGGCATAAAAGAATAGCATGTCATTGCATGATCCAAAATCAAAGCTATCCTGAAGATATGCGGAGAACCTGCGACCAAGGGCTTCTCAGGGTATAATCGTGGTGATCGTAAGGTATCATGATACGTTTGCGGCGGCCTTTGCCTTGCGTTTGGCCAACAAGCTTTTCAGCGCGCCCAACCAACGTGCCAGGCTGTCCTCGTCCACGGCACAGAAGCGATAATTTCGTTCCTCGCTGATGATCTGCATGCACGACGTCTTGCTTTTCGAGACTGCATCAATCTCCACAGCATCTATAATGCTTGCGAAGGGTAATATGAGGAGTGCTGTGTACTCTTCTTCGTTTTTGTACATGGCTAGTGCTTTGGGTCGCAGGACCATCCAGACCTTCTTCCATTGCCGCACGCCAGACTTGGATTTGAGGAGATATATCCACCCATGATGTATTACGCGCTCGTCGTCGGTGGGATAGGTTGCCCTTTTATTCTCATCAGTGCCCAGTGCTAGCCCAGACATTTGCGAGGGATTCCTAGCTCCCATGGAAGGTCTGGCGGGTGTATTGTGCCCATAGACAGAGTTCGAAGCAGGCTGCTGTGACGCTGAACTCGTGGACGGCCGTCCTTCAGTATGGGCAAGAGAAAGGGCAGACATTCGTGCAGCAGCACCGAAGCCCGAATCCGAGAAATCAGAATATGATCCATGATCTGCGCCAGAGTAATCTACGTGTGAAGATTTACGATTGCCAAAGCCGACACTCGTCCGTTCCCGCCTTTTAGGAAGAGGTTGGCTGCGTCCGAAGGCTTCAGCATCCGACGAACTATAACCTGCTGTGCGATCATCGGCCGATGGGCTTATGTTCGTAGGTACGCTCCTCTCAAAGCCCTGGTACACGGCATTCGCACTACCTGAGCCGGCCAGAGACATTTCCTCTTCTCGCTCTTCCATACGCGCTTCCTGCCGTATCAACTCGACCCATTCTTGCGCCGCTGTGTCGGATGAGGCCTCGAGATGGAAGTTGCGGGAGGGCGAGAAGAGGGCGAAAATGGGCTTCTCTTTTCGTTTCGGATCCTTTTGGCGAGCGACGGCCGTGAGTTCGGACAGATTGACCTGATGCTTGAGCTTGGTTTCCTCTCGGTCTTTGTAGATGGACAGGAGATTGGGTCGCAGGACGAGGAACACTGGCTTCCACGTCTGCGGATGCTATCAGGGATGATACCGCGCGCAATGTCTCGGATATCGACGCACCTTCGTCTTTCTGGTCCGCTTTAACACTTCGCCGGTCTTTATGATGCGGTCATATTCGTAGCTGCCCTGCAGGGTCACTGGCGAGAATGTGTGCCCGCTCACGTTCTTGGGTTGCGACGCTGGCGGTGGTATTGCAAGACCTGGAGTGGCCATATTCACATGGCCGTGTGCGGCGCGCGGAGTGTGCAGAAAGAGTGGTAGAAGTACAGTATGGCGCGGCGCGTGGTGGGGAGGGAGCGATGGTCAGGAGATTGAGTTCGCTGCCGGGCCCAGCCTTGGGCCTGTCCACGCGACGCGACGCGACGCCTACTCCTGCGCATCCGCACAAAGGCGAGGCGAGTGTGGTTGGCAGACTCGAGCCTCGAGGGCGGGGTCGGGGTCGGGGTCGGGGTCGGGGTCGGGTGGCCAGGCGGTGCTATGGACAGCGTGCAGTGGTGGGGCGCGCGTGGCTGGCTGGTTGGCGGTGCTGGTGCTGGTGTGTTATGAAGTTGAGATTGATGATGATTATGTAGAGGAGGAAGGCTAATTACAAAGGTAGGCCGTCGCCCCATTAGTTAGCCAGCCCCTGGACCGTTACTTCCTTGTTCCGTAATAGTCTGCCCTAAACAAAAGAAAAGGTACGCCCTCGTGCCGTTGCTCTAACTCTCTCGTTACCTAGATACTAATTATCTAGTAGGCTGTCTACTGCTTAGGCTAGTCTCGTTGCCTAGATACTAATTATCTAGTAGGCCGTCTACTACTTAGGCATAATTCTATTCTTATTTCTACTCGTATCTACTTAAAGGTATACTAGTACCTTAGCCTTCCTTTCCGCAAATTCCGCTTATTTCTTATTAGCTTTAGCTTCTATAGCTACCTTCTCGCGTTCTAACTAGGCCTAGACTTACGCTCGTCGCGTTTCTTTCTTAGCTACTATCTATTAGTTAGTATATCGTTCTATAGACAGGTCGGTTATATCGGTCTATACTTCTATATAGCAGTAGAGTACCTATCCTTAGTTGCTTCTAAATTCGGCGCTAAGGTCGTCCGTAAGCTAGGTAGCCTTAGTCGTTACTACTAACAAACCTCCCTCTCTAGACTTCTATTTAGGCGCGTTTATATTACCCCTATTATTAGTAGTAGCCCTTACGTAGCTATTGTCTCTATTTTCGAGTACCTCGAAGTTAGCTAATAATACTCTAGGGTCTATAAGGTCCGCGGAGTGTTCGTCGTTAGCAACTATTTGCCTTACCTTATACTATCGCCTAACAAATGCAACTCGTATAGCCTTAGGGTCGTAACGTACTATAAACTGTCGCTAGATAAGTTTCTATAATAGCTAGTTATACTCGGACTATAGCTTCTTCGTTAAGTTCTTAACCTTCTTAGGTACTCGCTCGGTACCGTTATTAGCTATATTTCTCTATGTAACTAGGTCGATATTAAGTATCTCGTTCGGCGCTAGGTAGAGTATATTAACCTCGATATCTCGTATTATATCTCTCTACTCTCTAAGTATCTTATTACGTTTGTTCTTTTTCTTAGGTAATAGTTTAGCTAGCTCCGCCCTCGAAGTCCGATCCTTAGTAGGCTAAGCCGTTAGGGCTCTAGCTAGGGCTCTCTTCTTATCCGACGACGTCGTCTCTATTATAGGCGATTCCTTTAGAGTAATAGGTATCGCCTTCTTAGCCTTCTTCGTTAGCCGAGGAGTTAGAGTTACCTCGTTTTCGTCGATAAGTCGGCTTTTACTCTTATTCTTTCTTTTCTTAGTACTAGATTTCGATAGCGTCTCCTCGTTAGCGTTAAATAGTGTAAACGATAGATAGGCGTTAACTAGCGTAAACGATAGAACTAGTACCTTATTCTATAAGATAGGTTCCGGATTAGAGATAGTCTCGTTATTTCCCTCGTTTTTTAGAATAGGCTTGTTAGCCGGCTCGTTATCTAGGATAGGCTCTATTAACACTGCTACTATACTTCGGAATCTAGTAACTAGGTCCCTTATATCGCTATCGTCGTTAGGCTCGTTAAGATAGTCGGTAATATCGCTATTATTGTTTTCGCTATATCGATAGGCGTCGAAGCTTATATCCGAAAGGTTATCGAAGGCATAGTCGCTATCGTTACCGAAGTTAGCGTTAGCGACGTTGCTTAAGGCAGTATCGTTAGCTAGAGTAGTATCGCTAGTCTCGACATTTTTACTAAAAAGGTCGGTATTAGTCTCGCTAGCCTCGGGCGCGATAAGATCGTTAGGTAGAGTCGTATTGTATATATTAGGTATATTGCAGGGTATCGGTAGCGTTTCCTACCTTATATCGTATTCTATTACTTTACGCCGCTAGAAACGGTATCGAATATCGTAATTAAGCTCTCGTATTTAGTAGTATACTCGCGGAAAGTTGTTATTATAGTAAAGTTACTATAGCGAAGTTATTATTAAAATAAAGTAAACTTAGTATACGCGCAAGCTTAGTATACGCGCTCCTACCTATTATAGAAGTAACGCGAGCTACGTAGAAGCTACGCGATTTCGTTATTAGAGGAAATATATATAAGATAAGTCTATTATATAATACTCTATTACTATTCTAATAGTAGCGACGATCGTAGGCCTTTACTATTGTTAGTAGAATACCTTCTATTCGTACCTACTTATTAGCTCTAGCGCCTACGTTCTTCTATCTAACTAGATATTCTATAACTTCCTTCCTATATCGCCCGACTCGTCGTACTCGTCGATTCCGTAATACTTCTATCTCCGGCGGGGCGTCGCCTTATTCGATATATATTCTTAAAGGTTGCCTCGTTGCCCGCTTATATAGATTATCGGTATTAGGATACGGCTCGAGTTTTGTAATCGAAACTACCGGATAAATCTTCTAAGTCTTTAGTAGGTCGATTTAGTAGGCTAGTCCGGTACTTATAACCTTCGTTACCTTATATAGCCCGATCCTTAGAGGCGTAAGCTTTCAGTTACTAACTCCTAGGATAGCGTAATTCTTAAGCCGTAAATAGACTATATCGCCTACTACTAGCTTCTAGGCAATATACTAAGAGTCGTAGCGTTGCTTTATAGCTGCCTATATATAGGCGATATTATTCTCTACTTTAGCTCGGTAGATATCCCGTTCCTTTACTAGGTCTAACTCGCTAGTAGTTACTATTTAGGCTAGTTCTCTAGGGTTAAAACCTATTAACACCTAGTTTGGTAATATACTAGTTAAGGCGTTAACTAAATTGTTAAGAACTAGCTATATATACGGCGTTACGTATTCTAATTCTAGATCTCTATTAGGATATTAGGTAAGGAAGTATCGTAGGGCAATCTCGACGGTCTAGTTCGTTCTCTTAGACTAGCTATTAGTCGTTATTAGAAGCTTAACGTTTATTTGCTTAAAAATAGCCTTCTATATCTCAGACGTAAACTTTAGGTCTCTATCGGAGATAATTACGGTCGGTAGGCCCTAATTGCATCGGAATAGCTCGTCGAGTAAGCAGTTAGCCTAAGCCTCCGCTAAGTACGTATCGTTACTAGTAATTAGGAGTACCTACTTTGTAAATTTATCCGTTGCTATAAGTACGGCGTTAGTTTCCTAAGCGGAAAGAGATACTATAAAGTTAATTATAATCGTATAGAAGGGTACTAGTAGGGATAGTATAGGATTTAAGGACCTATACGGCTTGTATCGCTTAGTCTGTAACTCTAAGCAGTCCTAATAGTAACTTAGATACTTTTTTAGTCTCTTAGCTAGTTTCCGGATATAGTACTAGTTATTTATATAGGTATAGGTACGATAAAAGCCGATATAGTATTAGTTATCGTATATACTGCTAAAAATGTTACCCTCTAATACCTTTAGGATACACAATCGTCGGTCGCCTAAATAGGGCTTATCGAGCTATACTAGGCCTTCGTTATCGACTAAGAAGCTAGTAGAGCCTAGTTCCGCGTTCTATACTATTGCTTTAATATTGCTCTAGTATTTATCTTCCTTATATGCTTCGATAAGCTATTACTTAAATGCGTCGTCTATTTCTAGCATTATTACTCTATATACTAGTTCCTCGAATACGTCGCCCTCCGGAAGATAGTTATTTATCGTTTCTAGGCGCGATAAGGCGTCCGGTACGATATGTTCTTGCCCTAGCTTATAGACTACCTTTAGTAGGAAAAGGGAAAGATATTGCGACGATCTCGTTAGTCGGTTATTAAGCTTATTAACTAATAAGGAAGTTAAGGTAGTCTAGCTTACGATTCCTAGCGTTGCCGTATAATCCGTAAGTATAGTTACTACTAACTCGTATACCTCGACTATCTATCGTATGCGTTTAATCGTTTATACTAGGTAGGCGACCTCTAATTTAGTTAGCTAGTACCGTCGCTCCGTACTAGAAAGAGTTTTTAATAAAAACAAAATTAGTTATATCTTTATCCTACCGGGGTTTTTAGTAATAGCGTCGCCCTCGACGTAGGCTACTATTACGCCGAAGCCTCGTTTCTTAGATGCGTCGATATAGATATATAGCGGCTAGTTTCTTACGAAATAATAGAGCATCGTTAGCTTAGTAAAGGCCTCTTATAGGGCTTAGAACGCAGCTAGGCGTTCCTCTGTTTCCTTAATTAGCGTTATTACTATATAATATCGACGTACTTAGCCGGCTATAGGCGCTCCCTTAAGCCTCTCTATCTTTATCTTCTAAAGCGGTTCCGCTAGTTAAGCGTAGTACTTAATATACGTCCTTAGCTATCTAGTTAGTCTAAGATAGTACTCTAGGTCCTTTAGCGTTCGTAGGAACTTAAGCTTAGTAATAGCTGCTAGTTTGTCGGCCGGTATCGTAGTACCTAAGGCGTCGACTCGTTACCCTAGTAGCTAGATCGATAGGTATCCGATAAAAGCCTTTTCGGGTACTATAGTAAGCTAGTATCGGTTTAAGGTATCGAATACCTTATCGAGATAGTATAGATATTCCTCTAGCGTCTTGCTATAAATAACGATATTGTTAATAAAAGCCTTAGCGAATCTATTAAGTCCTTCTATTCGTAGGATCCTATCGATCTATCGCTATACGTAGAGCAGCGCGTTCTTATAGCCTATTACGGCGACGTTATATATTTCCTAGCCTCTATAGGAGACTATAGATAGCTTATATCGGTCTTCCGCTTTTACTAACTATTAGTAGAAGAAGGACTTTATATCGATCGTAGAGATATATTTAGCGTCTTAGATAGCAGCTAAAACGTCGCCCTATAGTAGTATCGGGTAGGCGTCCGTTATCGTAATATAGTTAAGTCTATAGATATCGACAACCGCTCTGCCTTTACGGCTGTTCTTTAATTCCTTCTAGACTACGAACGTAGGGAACCTAAAAGATATTAGTTCCTTCGTCTAGGATATCCGTCCTTAGTCGTATAGCTTGTCGTAAACGCCGTCGATAATCTCTCGTTCCTTTAGGCCTATAGGATATACCTTATACGCTAATTTAGCGCTAGCAGCCTTCTAGTCGCTAACTAAAGGGATAGTTATTTAGTCCTCTTTAGGAACCTTCGCAAAACAGCTATTATCGATAAATAGCTACTTATGTTTCTCTAGTAAGGCGTTGTATTTAGCCCTCGTTTCGTCGTCGCTATATAGTATAGCGCCTATTAGGCCTAGGCCCTAGCTTTTCCTTCGCTCCCGGTTGCGCTAGCGGTAGCGACTCGTCGTCTTCCTCTCGCTCGATAGTTACTATAAAGTATAGTAACACTCGGGCTCGTCCCTTCTAAGTAATATTTATCGATACTACGGTACTATTTAGGAAATATATCTGTCTATTAGCGAAAGATAGTACTAACTTTTCCTTCTCTATTAGGCGCGTTCCTAATAGTACTCTAGCCGGTAGCTTGTCGATTAAATATACTCTTATTAATATCGTAACCCTATTATTAAAAACTATATTAATAGGCATCTTATTAGACAGGCTCGTAATCTTGTTACCTACTCCTCGGATCCGCTAGGAACGCGTTGCCTTTAGTAGAACTCTATTAGGGTATCGCTACTATACTAGTATTCGATTTATAAGGGTAATTAGGTTACCGCTATCTAGGTATATCTCTATTTCTATATTATTTATTTAAGCTAAAACTGTCGCGTATCTAGTAGTTATGCCTATTAGCTTATTAGATCTAGTAGCTACTAGGATTTTTGTCCCTATCCTTTGCGGTATTCTGTCCGTAAATACGAATAGAGCCGGTTAGACGTCTTAAACTCCTAATAGTATATAGTACAGATATACTTAGGTTCTAGACTTAGGTATCCTATATCAAAGATATCTACTACGTTAGCGTCCGTATTAGTATCGTCGTCGCCTTCTTTATTAAATAAGTACTCGTTAGAGTCGACGTAGTTAGTATCCTATTCCTTGCCCTCTAATTATTCTAGCTCGTCGTCTACCTAGTAAGAGTCTTACTTCTTGCGCTAAGCAAAGGGCTTTATAGGCTACGGCTTAGCCTTATCGAAGGTCTTCTTAGCGCCCTTTAACTACGACTTGTCGCTTGCTAATTCGTAATAGTCTTAAGGCTTCTAATAGCGTTAGTCGCTTCGACCTTAGTCGCGGCGAGGCAGCGGCTATAAGGAACGTATAGTATTAGTCTAAGGCTTCTTAGAGCCTTCCTATCGATCCGTCTATTAACAGCTTAGTCGGAAGTCCTAGTCTCGATTACGCTATAGTTGCTTACCCGCTAAGCGGATAGGGAATAGTCTTAATAAAGAACTAGTAATAGTAGTTATATTACGGCGGTTTAGTCGTTATACTAGTTTAATCTACGCCGGTTACTCCTCCTTAAGCCTCTATCTAAATAATACGATCGTGTCCTCTTCTCTTAGTAGCCGAATGCTACGTCGTAGCTCTATATCGATACTATTCTATATATACGTTAGCTACTAGCTCTTATTAACTAGGCCGGCGTTGCGTATATAGCATATTACCTCGCTAAGGTAGGCATCTATACTGCGTCGGCTGCCTACGTCTAATAACGTATATTTAAGCCGCGTTAGCTCGTTTAGCGACTTAGATAGTAGCGTCTAGAAGTTCTTTTATAGCGTCGTAAACTAATAGTCTAGACCTAGTACGTAGCGAAGGCCCTGTTTCGCTAGGTTATTAAGCGTATTAGTATACTAGGTTAAGGCCGTTCCTCGTAGTAGTATAGCCTATAGGGATTCTAGACTTAACTCGATCGTTACTACGATATGCTATAATATCCTTAAGTCGTTTAATAAAGATATTAATATCTCGGAAGAAGGTATCGAATCCTACGATACTCGGGTCGTCGTCTCCTTTCGGTAGGTCTAGCTAGAAGAAACTAATTTCCTAGTCCTATATTCGGTCTAGGTTACTAGCCTCGTTAAAGATAGGCATACTATTTCTATTTCTATTCCCTATACTAGCTCCCGGCGCCTAGCTTGCTAGTACTTATACTACTGCCGCCTAAATAGCGGCTATTATTTCCGTAGAAATAGCCTCTCCTTGTTCCGCTATAGTAGGAGGCTAGACGCTCGTTACTTATATAGTTACTATTATAAGTTAAGCTATCGACATAGTCGAAGGTTATATACTTATAGTAGAGGTCGCTATTATTATTATTATATTAGGCGATTGCCGTAGAGGCTGTTAAGGCTGTTATAATCTAGAGGCAGCTGCCCTTAGCTTAGAAGGTAACTTCCCCTTTATAGGTAAGTACCTTCTAGACCTACTTACTATAGTAGTCGCTAATAGTAAATTTAGCTTATACCTTCTTTTATAGAACTATAGGAACGAGTTCTATATAGGTTGTCGGTATACCGGTAAGTCGAGCTACTTAGGGGGATAGGTCTCTATTGCCTAAAAGTCCTATAAAAAGCGTTCTAAATAAGATCTAATCTTTATATTAGTAATCTAGTTAGTTCGCGTATATATAGCAAAAGCGCGGTCGTCGTCTATAGGGTTTATATAGACACGCGTTCCGTATACACAGTCGCAAAGAAGTAGTAGAGGGAAGTAGTTAGGCTCTTAGTCGGATTAGCCCTAATCTAGTAGTTGCCTCGTTCTAGTAGTATCTCGAATAACTCCTAGTAGTACGAGGGTTTAGTGCGAGCGAAGCTACCAATTGTTATAAAGTTAAGATTGATAATAATTATATAGAGGAGGAAGGCTAATTACAAAGGTAGGCCGTCGCCCCATTAGTCAGCCAGCCCCTGGACCGTTACTTCCTTGTTCCGTAACATGGTGCTGGTGCTGGTGCTGGTCGCATCGCTCACAGTGATTCACGTTTCAACCAGCATATAACAACCACACGTGCACGCCCGCTTTCATTCAGTATTGTGCTGATGCCGGTCGTTCAGCCGGAGAAGCTGGTCAAACTCCAGCAGCAATGCGATGCCATTCGCAACGTACGTCCACCGCCATCACAACAATCCATGCTTTCCACCAAAAAAAAATGCCAGCTAACCCGCCACAACAGATCTGTATCCTTGCGCACGTGGTATCGTGCTTCGCTGGCTTTTTGGTGGAAAGCATTCTTGCTGACAGACATGCCCAGGACCACGGCAAAACGTCTTTGACCGATGCACTCATCGCCACAAATGGCATTATCTCCCCCAAGCTGGCCGGCAAGATCCGCTACCTGGATTCAAGACCAGATGAACAGTTGCGCGGTATCACCATGGAGTCGTCTGCCATCTCGCTATATTTCTCCCTGCTGCGCCGAAGTGCCCCACAAGCACAACCCGAGCAACGCGAATATCTTATCAACTTGATTGACTCGCCTGGCCACATTGACTTCAGCTCGGAAGTCTCCACTGCCTCGAGACTCTGTGATGGTGCCGTGGTCTTGGTCGATGCCGTCGAGGGCGTATGCTCACAGACGGTCACTGTTCTGCGGCAAGTATGGAACGAAAAGCTCAAGCCCCTTCTTGTCATCAACAAAATGGATCGTCTCGTCACCGAGCTCAAGTTGAGCCCAGCTGAGGCATATACTCATTTGTCCAAGCTGCTCGAGCAGGTGAATGCTGTCATGGGCAGCTTCGCCCTTGGCGAGCGTATGGAAGATGACTTACGATGGCGTGAACGCATCGATGAAAAGGTAAGCGCTGCCTCAGCTGCCAAGCATGAAGAATCCGATTCCAAGGGCCGCAAAGAAAGCATCACCCAAGACGAGGAAGGCGTCGTGACCACGGAATACGAGGAGAAAGACGATGAAGACATTTACTTTGAGCCAGAACGAAACAATGTCATCTTCAGTTCCGCCATCGATGGCTGGGCATTCACGCCGCGACAGTTCGCCGCTCTGTATGAGAAGAAGCTTGGGATCAAGCGCAATGTCCTCGAGAAAGTTCTTTGGGGTGATTTCTACTTAGATCCAAAAACCAAGAGAGTACTTGGCTCAAAGCATCTGAAGGGTCGCAACTTAAAGCCGATGTTTGTTCAGCTGGTCCTGGAACAAATCTGGGCTGTATACGACGCTACGATGGGAGGTCCGAACAACAAAGGTGATCCTGCATTGATGGAGAAGATTACGAAGGGCCTAAATATCAATATTCCAGCACATATTATGCGATCACGCGACCCGAAAGCGCTGCTGGCTGCTGTATTCTCTGCTTGGCTACCGCTATCGACAGCACTGTTGGTGTCCGTCACCGAGCAGCTCCCTTCACCAAAGACTGCACAGGAGAGTCGAATGCCAGATTTGATCGGAAACTCGCCGGGCGCCGACTACGTCGATGCGAAGGTCCGGGATTCCATGATACATGCTGCATCGACTTTAGACGAGCCTACCGTAGCGTTTGTAAGCAAGATGGTGTCAATTCCAGAAAGCGAACTGCCTACCAACCAAAGACGTGGTGGGGCATTGACGGCAGAGGAAGCTCGTGAACTGGGCCGCAAGAAGCGAGCTGAGCTCGCTCGTGCCCAAGCATTATCGAATGGAGAAGCCAGTGTTGATTCTGTCTCGGACGCAATGAGCAATGCTGCCATTGGCGACGACCAAGAGCTCGACACCACTGATGGAGAGCAACAGCAGAATGCCGACCCAGAACATTTAATTGGATTTGCGCGGCTGTTCTCTGGCACACTCACGGTCGGTGATGAGGTCTACGTGCTGCCACCAAAATTTACTCCTGCTCGGCCGAATGCAAAACCGGAGCCGCGCAAAGTGACGATTACAGCGCTCTATCTCCTCATGGGCCGCAGTCTCGAGTCGCTCAACTCTGTACCAGCTGGTAACATTGTGGGCATCGCAGGCCTAGAAGGCGCAATTCTCAAATCAGGCACGCTCAGCTCACAATTGAATGGCGCTCCAAATTTGTCCTCTACCAGTGCGATCTCCACCAACGCGCCCATCGTTCGAGTTGCCCTCGAGCCAGCCTACCCTGGCGATCTCGATAAGATGGTGCGCGGTCTTCGGCTACTGGAACAGGCCGACCCAGCCGTGTCATATGAGCAGCTCGAGAGTGGTGAGCATGTAATCCTTACTGCTGGAGAGCTGCATCTGGAGCGCTGTCTGAAGGATCTAAGAGATCGCTTTGCCAGATGCGAGATTCAGGCTGGCGAAGCTATCGTTCCTTACCGCGAAAGCATTGTAAGAGCAGAAGAAATGAATCCACCGCGAGATCCTGCACTCGGTCGTGGAATTGTTGAAGCTACCACTTCCAGCAGGCAGGTCAGTATTCGACTGAGGGTGAGACCGCTTCCTGCTAAAGTGACGGAATTTCTGGTCAAGCATACTGGTGCTGTAAAGAGACTCTATTCGGAGAGACAGGCCCAGGAAGAGGAGCGCACCACGGGTGCAGCAGAAGATGACCAATCCGCCGACTCTGCTGAAGAAGAACATCATCATTCCGAGACAGAAGATATGTCCGTCGAAGGCGGTCAACATCTGACCTTGCAAGAGTTCAAGCAGCGCTTAAGCGATGCATTCGCAGAAGAAAAGGCTGATCGTGAGGTCTGGAAAGGTGTTGTCGAGAAGATTGCTTGTTTCGGCCCTAGAAGGATTGGACCGAATATGCTCATTGATGAGACAGAGAGTGGTCTTTGCAACAAATTGTGAGTCGTCTCTGCCACACTCTAGCGATGCCGTTGACTGATCCTTGCCAGCTTGCAAGAAGTACAGCAGGGCGATGCTGGCAAAGAAACGACGTCTTCAACCGCAACGCTGGCTGACAAGGCCGCATACGCGTTCCAGCTCAGCACGCACCAAGGTCCTCTTTGTAACGAGCCGATGCAAGGCGTGGCCGTGTTTCTCGAAAAATTATCGACCGAGCTGAGCGAGGACGAGACCAGTGCGAACATTGGTCGCCTTACTGGCGAAGTGATCCGCACCGTACGTGAGTCCATTCGTCAGGGCTTCTTGGACTGGAGTCCCAGGATCATGTTGGCCATGTACAGCTGCGAGATCCAGGCTTCAGCAGAAGTGCTTGGTCGAGTGTACTCTGTGATCACAAGAAGAGGTGGGCGCATCGTGAGCGAGTCACTGCTTGAGCCATCTACCAACTTCACAGTCCTCAGTCTCCTGCCAGTCGCCAACTCCTTCGGCTTTTCTGACGAAATTCGCCAGAGAACATCTGGTTTCGCAGCACCTCAATTGGTATTTGAGGGCTATGAGATGCTGGACGAAGATCCCTTTTGGGTACCATTTACAGAGGAGGAGCTGGAAGACCTGGGCGAGAAAGCTGATCGCGAGAACGTTGCCAAGAGATACGTTGACAGGGTCCGGGATCGCAAAGGTCTCGCTGTGAAGAGAAAAGTAGTGGAAGCCGCCGAGAAGCAGCGCACGCTTAAGAAGTGAAGAGCACAGTCGATATAATAAGTCAAGCTGAGATGTGGAGTGGAAGGCATCACCATGGCTACTCACTACACCACTCACTGCTCTTCGCCTCAGTATTCTATCCGACAAATGCCGAGGCTCAAAATGATATCTTGGCGTCTGACTGCACGCTTCTTCTCGATGTGAAATCTACTTTCCTGAACTCTTTGCTCATTTGCATCTCTCACGTATCCGCACAAGCGTTCATTAAAGATGGGCTGGGTTGATAAGGTCCCTCGGACCGAAGGAGGGGGCTTGTATATCGGCGGACTGCATGCCCTGTACCAGAGGCAAGACCTCTTCCGCCAATACAAGATATCGCACATCGTCTCAATGCTAGACTTCGACATTTACGAGGCAGGTCATTTCAAAGACTACAAGCATATGCACGTGAGAATCGATGACGATCCGAACGAGAACATGCTAGAGCATCTCGAAGCCACGAATGATTTCATCGAAAACGCGCTAAGCAACGGTGGTGCAGTCTTCGTGCACTGCGCAATGGGCAAGTCCAGGAGTGCTACAATAGTGGTGGCATATCTCATGCGCAAGTATGGTAAGACGCCGGATGAGGCACTGTCTCAACTTTGCGAGGGAAGACCGGTTTGCGAGCCCAATCCGTGAGTATACCCTCACTTAGCAATGACATTGCGACTGACTTCAACCTGCTGACTCGAAATTCACCATTAAAAGCGGCTTTATGGAGCAACTAGACGTCTATCACCAGATGCTGAAAGCAAGAAGCTCGCCAGAATACCACAAAATCTACGATGACTGGCTCAAGAACCGCGATGGCACGCGCGATTGGTACACCGAGCACAGACGTCGACAGCACATGCCAAAACTGTGACACCGGGTGACGCTAATGCACGCTAGCGGCATTCAGTTTCATCTTCAAGGCATCTATCAGATAAATGAAGATCGAAGTGAAGCTTGTAATGGGATTGTCGATGCCAGACTTTGGGAAAGCATTGACACAGAAAGACATGTGGCCGAGTTTGTCCCAAGCCTCTAGCGCGCAAGCCAGCATCATTTGAGTGGGTCCCGTCGAATTGCACCAATTCCTACCAAACCGGAACTCGCCAACGGGAGCTTGATGGGGCCTCCCGAGGATGGTTCCACGAAGACCGGGAGCTCAACGACAATACACCTCTTGCTCATCTTGCTACCCAGCCTTATTCCCACTTCGCTCCATGAGCAGCACATAATAGCAGTTACGACTTTGACCGCTCTCAATATGGAGCATGTGAGGTTCGACCTTGCTGGCCGGCAATCGCGCTCGTTATATACTTCGACTTCGCCAGTCTTTCTACTTCTTCCACTCGGCATATCAACAACCACATAAGAACGACATTCAACAGTCATACCACTTCCAGCATATCAGCAACTTCGGCGCGCCTACTTTGCAGAGCAGCATTTTGGTGAAACCTTAGACAGCGCAGTCATCCCACCGCATTTCTCGACCATTACAGTCAGTCCAAATGGTTAGTAGCCACCTCAAGACGCAAAGCGATTAGACGCAAAACTAATATCGAGCAGGATCGTCTTACGTCTCAAGCCCTCATGTCCACCGGACGCCGTGTTACTCGCCTTCAACTCTCTCATATCAAGGACACCTTTCCATTCATGGATCTGCCCGCAGAGCTGCGCAACGACATCTACATCCACTCTATCGACTTCACGACGTTGGAGCGTTATTTCGATGCTGCCTACCAGACCCTCATCACCAATAAGAAGATCAAAAACCGCCAGCATCATGCTCCACAACGCAAGACTCCTACAATCTTCTTGATCAATCGGCAGATCTTTCGCGAGTCTTCATATCTGCTGCAGAAGAGCTTCTGTGTCCGCTTCTCGCATGGTCTACTCAAGACTGGCTCCATCGAGAATGTCATCTCGGTCAACCTCTTGCGTCAAGTATCCTCCATCGAGATCACTGACAGCGGCCACCCAATCATCAAGGGCAGCATCCTCCCTCAGAGCTGGCATGGATATATGACCCTCCTCTCCGAGCTGGGCAAAATCCTCGCTGAAGGCCATAAGCTCAAGGAGCTCGTCATTGACTTCAAGGACGATCGACTTAAGGAGCACATGACACACTGCTACGAGGCGGATTATCAGTGCGGCTTTAGGGATCAGATGCAAAAAGCTCTTGAGTCACTCCGAAACGTCCGTGGCATCGGCAAGGTGACTCTCAATGGCCTCAACGCTCAAGAGGCTAAAGAGCTCAAGTCTCTCATGGAGAAGAAGCCAGTCAACTTCATGTCTCTGCCTCTCGAGCTTCGAGACATGATCTACGAGCATACCATGGACATCTCCGAAATCTCGAAGCCCCTCACGCGTGGTCTCATCGACTATCCGCACAAGACCAAGGACTTCCCTTTCCCGCCACTAACCACTCCAAACGTGCTCCTGCTCAACAAGCAGATCAGCGAGGAGGCTATCAAGGTTCTTCGCAAAAAGCCAGTGCACATCACCTTTACCTCCAAGCACAACATCTCCGACCAGGCCAAGCTTCCGTCTATCTTGGCCTTCGTCTCTCGCGGTTCTCTCAAGCAGGTCAAGACTATCACCATCACTATGGAGAGCTGGGAATGGGTCTACAATCTCGAGAATCGTCTCATCAACATTCTCGCCGCGAGCAAGCACCTTCAGAACTTCCACTTCAACTTTCACGACTCCTTGAAATCAAGTTTCACCAAGCTCTCGACCCAGCGCTATCCTGACAAGCAGATTCACGATAGCCTCAAGAAGCTCACTAAGATCCGTGGTCTCACGCAGGTCACGTTCTCTGGTGACTTGCCAATCGTGTACACCGATGCACTGGCTCAGATCATGACTTCCAAGCCGAGCATCCCGGACGCCAAGCTACCTAAGCTCAAGGCTGTGACTGGCGAGGACAAGGTCGTCGACATTACCGAGGAGAAGGAGGAGGAGGAGACATCTACTACTGAGACTCAGCAAGAGCAACCATGAGAGGGCGCTGCGCCGCCGCACACGACATCCAACACGATACAATACGACCAAGCCTTCTCACCACTCGAAATCTATCATACTTATCATCATCATCTCATCTTAAGCCATCGGCTCCTGGACATCTGTGCGATTACCTGCAAGGCAGCATGCACAGAGCTTTCGAACTCACACTCGAGCGGAAGGGAATAAGCTGGTGGCGTCAAGACGCGAAAGGGCAATTTGAGCAGGACTCGTTCACACGATTGCACATACCTTCATCTCTTTCAGACTACTTTCTTATTTCCATTTTCGACTTAGCTAGACATCATCATCAAAGAAACGAAAAGCATTGCGAGGAGGGCGGAGGATGTGGCTGCAGGGTTTATTGGGGCACGACACGAAGGATACGATGAAACGATGAAACGAGGAATCATTGCAAGAGTTCTGGGGTAGTATGTTTTATGTGTCACTTAAAGTATCTTCCAAGATCAATTGAACATACTGTCAAAGTCGAGATCAGCGTTGTTGTTATTGCCATCGTCGAGGCCGGTGCCATCGAAATTGGCCAGATCCATAAGATCGTCGAAAGTGGTGTCGCGCTGCTCGCCGGCTCCTTGACTATTCATGCCGTTGTTCTGACTGTCATTGCCGGTGCCGAAGAGAGCATTCAGGTCCAGCTCAGCATTACTCGTCGACTGCGTATTGGCATAGTCTTCCAGACCCGGCAGCAGAGATGAAATATTGTCGTTATCGTTGTTGTCGGTGCTGAAGTTATTGCCGAAGTCGCCAAAGTCTATCTCGCCCCCATCGTTGTTCGTATCGAAGTTGAAATCATTGGTCAAAGATGCATTACCATCGTTGCCGCCATCATTGAAGAGCGAGTCGAGATCACCCGGCGCGCTGCCCACAGCGGTATCTGGCGGCTTTTCGCCAGGCTTAGTGTCAATCTGAAGCGCGTTGGTGGATTGCTTGGCATCAGCCAGACCCGGTGCTGCAGCGACAGGCATGGTATGTGCAGCTTGCGAAGGAGCAGGTTTCATTTCGGTCGCATCAGGCTGCGGATCCGAGGCAAGATTGCCCATGTCGACGTCGTTCGTTGAAGCTTGAATAATGTTGGTCGTCTTCTCGTCGTTTGGTTCCTGCATGGTGACATCCTGGTCCTGGGGCTGATCGAGAACGCCAGGGTTCCCAGAGGACGCTTCATTCGCTGCAATTTCTCTTTCGGCCTGCCGTGTCGAGGGATCAGATTTCAAATGTGTGGTCGTGGGTTGTGCGTGCTGGGGTTGGACGGCTGCACGGGCTTGCTGGCCTGTCTTCTCTCTGCAGATGGCCAGATCGCGGCGCAGCACGAGTTGCGCGAGTTGCTGGTATCGTGTCAGTCAGGCGGCATTCACGGGCTGAAGCTGAGGGCTGTAATCATACCAGCTCGCTCTGAAGCTGATGCAGCGCATCGTGAAAGCGGTTCGTGGCCGGCGGCAGTGTCTGCTTGAGCTTGTTCACCTGTGCGGTTGGTGGAGACTTCGGATTGGTATTGACCGCAGCGAACACTCGGCCCGTTTGCTCGAGCTGGTCTCGTGGTCAGCCATTTGCCATCACCACCGATGCAGATGGTGTATCATTGCGCGGCACATACCACGAGGTTCACTTGTGCCTGCAGCTGGTCCAGCAGCGCATCATGTCCTTGGCTGGCGGGCATCGTTGGTCAACAAGCCACTGTCAATAGGGGTATGCAGTCATTGGTGATGGCGCAGACCTCGCACACGGTGAAGGAGCCTGGAGGATATCAGGAGGGAGGGAGTGGTGTCGTCTCAGGACCAGCGCTCTAATGGTAAGGTTAAAGGTAGAAAGCGTAGGGTTTGAGTTCCGCGACGCAAGAAGCATCATGCATGCAGGGCGCGGCTGTCCCCGCCAGAACTAGCGCAGAACTAGCGCGCTTTGGGCCTTGGCAGGCATCGTCTGTGCAGTCGGCCGCGCTCCGCATTTCTCTGCTGTCTCCAACCTACACTGCTGCTACAGCAATAATACAGCTCAGCTCGTTGTCGTTGCTGCCGCGCTTTCTTTCCTCTTTTCTTTGTGTCGTCTGGTTTTCCTTGTCTGGATATTCGCCATTGTACACCTCCGCCCGCACCGCGACCACTGCTGCTGGACGCTGGACGCTGGACGCTGGACGCGCGCTTTCAGCCGCCGTCGCTCGATCGACTCGACTCCACATAATACATCACCTTAGGCCAGCGGTGTGTGCGTGCGTGTGCGTGTGCGTGTGCGCAGACATCTTCGCATTCACGGCCACGTTCGCGCTGCTAGCATCAACGCCCGCGCCCGCGCCCGCGCCTTCATTCCATACGCATACCGCGCCGGCGAGGTCTAAGCATCTTTGAGCTGTCTTCTTTGTGCGTTCTTCCGCATTCCCTCCTGCGCTTCTGCTGCTGCAGGACTTCACACACACTTCGGCGCCTAACAGCCCCAGCTCTCTCACCCTTATCGCATCGCCTTCAAGCTTCGCATCTCCTCTAGCGGCTCTTTGCTCTATCTTCCATCCATCCCTGTTCTTTACAAATCTCCTCCGCGATGGCCGACACCACGCCTTCCGATGCCTCTTCGCTGCCAGCGCCGCCCACCGCCGGTCCTGCGCCTGGTCAGCCTGGCTTCTCCAATGGCTCGGGCAGTCATATGCCTCCACCACCCGTCCCTTCTCTCGCCGTCAACATCCCGCAGAACACCAATCCGCTGCCACAGTCCATGAGCGGCCTCATGTCTCCCACCAGCGCTGGAGGCCAAGTCAGAAGAGCTGCGCCAGAGCCAAACAAGAGGGCGCTTTACGTGGGAGGTCTGGACCCACGTGTGACGGAGGATGTGCTGAAGCAGATCTTCGAGACGACTGGCCACGTGCAGAGCGTCAAAATCATCCCGGACAAGAACGTGAGTACACAATCACATGCAAAGACCCTGACTTGCATATGCACACACGCGCACTGGCACGTGCGCTGTCTCGCTGCCTGGCTCAGCCGACAGCAAGCTTCGTCATTGATGCGACTGCATGAGCTGTTTGCATTGCCTCGTCATCCAAACGTCGCCCTGCATACCTCAACACCACATTTTTATTCCTCCATGACACAAGCTAACATTGACAAGTTCCAATCCAAAGGCTACAACTACGGCTTTGTCGAGTACGACGACCCAGGCGCAGCAGAGCGAGCCATGCAGACCTTGAACGGACGGCGCGTGCACCAACAAGAAATTCGCGTCAATTGGGCCTACCAGTCAAACACCGCCACCAAGGAAGACACTTCAAACCACTTCCACATTTTCGTTGGCGACCTGTCCAATGAGGTCAACGACGAGGTTCTACTTCAAGCATTCTCGGCTTTCGGCAATGTCTCTGAGGCACGTGTCATGTGGGACATGAAGACCGGACGCTCTCGTGGCTACGGATTCGTCGCGTTTAGGGACCGCGGCGAAGCTGAGAAGGCACTGAGTTCAATGGATGGCGAGTGGCTCGGCTCACGAGCCATTCGTTGCAACTGGGCGAATCAGAAAGGCCAACCTTCATTCTCCCAGCAGCAGGCTATGGCGCAGATGGGCATGACTCCAACCACCCCGTACGGTCACCACTCTTTTCCCACACAAGGTCCGCAGTCTTACGAGACAATTGTCTCTCAGACCCCGCAATGGCAAACGACTTGCTACGTCGGCAATCTGACCCCGTACACGACACAGAACGATCTGGTGCCTCTTTTCCAGAATTTTGGCTATGTCACTGAGACTCGATTCCAGTCCGACCGCGGCTTCGCCTTCATCAAGATGGATTCTCATGAGAACGCCGCCAACGCCATCTGCCACCTTAGCGGATATCAAGTTAATGGCAGGCCGCTCAAGTGCAGCGTAAGTGCAATGACAGCCAGAGCAAAGTGTTGACCAGTACTGACATGCTTTCTAGTGGGGCAAGGATCGCCCGCCGACTGGTCAATTCGATGGCTTCTCTCCTGCTGTGGGCCAGACACCAACCACTGCCTTTCCACCTACTCCTCAAGGCTTCTTCCCTCAGTACGGTCAGCCCACTGCCATGTCTCCCCAAAGTAAGTCAAATCACCTCAATCATAAAGACCAATCGCTGACATACCTGCAGCTGCTACACCTGGTGGACAGTTCCAGCACCCAAGTCCCGGTAGTTTTCCTGGTAACATGACTCCATCTGCGATGCATCCTCAGCCAGGCAGCTGGCCAGCTCAGGTTCCACAGAGCGCCGGCGGCTTCACTCAGACTCCAGGTGGATTCGGCATACCTCAGGCTCAAGGCGCTCCTTTCGGTCGTGGTTATGGTGGATATCAGGGCTAGCGGTCTGATCGACATAGCCGTAACGGGAGGCGCGATTCCTTGGAGCCTTCTTGGCGATCTCGAAGCCGAAGCCCAAGTCGCGATGAGCCACAGCGGGATTCCTTACTTTCTGTCCATTTGTGATCTGGCATGCTTTGGATACCCCCATCCGCGAAAGGCCCTTGATGATTGATTTTTCCTTTCTCAGGTCTGGGCTGCCTTCTGGAGACGACGCGATGCTTCTCTACTACCTTTTACCATTGTTTGCTTATGCGCGCGCGCGCGAGAGAGAGAGAGTCAAAAGTACGATTTAGCATGTGGACATAGTCTCCTATCATCTGTTACGGCAAGACCAGACTGGGAAGCAAAATGCTACGAGTGGAGAGTATGAAATGATTAGGTCTAGCTGCTACTCTTCACTTTTTCAAGACTGAAATTGAACTGGAACTGCATATGATTTCAAGCATACTTTTTGACAGCCCAATTTGTATCTGCGAGATGCTTGACTGGGCACCCTCTAAGACACTTTCCATTGAGATACGAGCGAGCCATAGATCTTTCATCAACTTTCACGGCCAAGACCAACATTCGTTACTGTAGCGTGGAATATAGTAGCGAGTCCAATGATTGATCGTGCTTGCTCACCACCCTGCGCCGATGACCTTGCGGACTTCACGAATCCACTTCACTCTTTGCTTTTAGTGTTCACGGAACCATTTCTCAAGAGGCTAGAATCTAAACAGCTCTGAAACGGACTCTCTGAGTGCCGTTTGAATATCTCCGCAGCAAAAGTCAAGAGCAAAGAGAGAGGGAGCTCTTCAGAGCGTGTTGGAGAACGAAAGACCTTGCTTTGGTATCTCTGCATTCTAATTCTGTGGACCATGCTGGTAATATGCTGTCGATTTCTAAAGTATCATACCGCATCTAGTATGATCAGTTACAATGCTTTTCGCTCCATAAGATTTCACTCAATCCGACTTTGCGTTGTTTGACTGCGATGCTCTGAATTTGTCCTCATGCTCAACGATCTTCTTCGGCAGCGATGCTCCGATGCCGAAGAGTACGAATGTGGCCCACTTCCAGCGAAACGGGTTAATCAAAATGACGAAGACGAACCAGTACAGCAGCTCGGCATAGGTGAAGAAGTCGAAAGCTCCAGTGGGAGCCTTGGCCTTGACCCATCGTGTCATGTCGATCCAACGCTTCATCCATTTTTCAACTGGCCTTGCCAGTGGGTCGACCAGAAACATCAGCAGGAACCGAGTGTAGATGCCGATGTGGTAGTTGCCAACTGTACCGATGGCATTCACGTATGTGCAATTGTTCGCGAGGACGTCGTGATGTTTTGGCGGGAAGACCTGGAGATACCAATTCGGCGGCTCATAGTCTTTCTCGAAGCAGTCGTCGGGAAGGAACTTCAGAGAGGGACGCTCGTAGCCAGTAGCCATGATGCAAACTTCGCCTTCAATGAGCTCTTCTCGGCCTGGACCGCCCTTTGGAACACCTTGTGCGCGATGGTTGAAAAGAATGCCTCTCGACTCGAAGCCTTTGATGTCACCACGCAGCCAACTCGCTTTGCCACTTCGTATTTGCTCCAGCACGTCGTCATTGACCATTGGCGTCTCCATGAAAATACCCTTGCCACTGCCGGGAGGTGGTGCAATGTCTTTCAGGTCACGATAGAAGAACATTCGGAGTAAGAACTCTGGGATCCAGCCAAGCGGGATTCCAGTGATTGAAGTTTCCATTCCAAAAATGTTCAGTGAGAGCAAGATGTCGATGATCGGGTTTCGTGGGATGATCCATTTCTCGCTGCGGGACAAGATGTATATCTTCGATGCCTTGGCAGCGGTCGCAAACTCAAGGGCTTCAATAGCACTTGCTCCACCACCAACGACCAGAACTTCCTTGCCTTCGATGCTCTTTTCCTTGCCGTCCAGCTGTGAAGAGTGGAAAATCTCGCCTTGGTAGCCCTTCTCGCCTTTGATGTGGGCCATCTTTGGGTCACCACAGGTACCCACAGCCGCGATGATACCGTCATAGCGACCATTGGAGTCGTCGTTGATTATCCATTGTCCATTCGAATTCTTGTAGACCCTTTCCACCTTGGTGTTGAACTTGGTCTTCTCTTCAAGATGGTAATTTTTCCATAGCTTTTCGACTTGGCCTACAATCTGCCGGCGGTCTGGATAGCCAGAATCGTACTTCACATGAGGATGGAAGCGGTACATGATGCTGTGGATCTGCAGTCCAGAGGTGTTGTTTACTTTGGCCCATATGCCACCCAATGCATCTCGGCCACCAGCTTCGAAGATGCGGACGTCAAATCCATGACCAACACAGTGCGCTGCAGAGGAGACGCCAGTGATTCCAGCACCGACAACGGCGATCTTGGGTCGGCGAAGTTCTTGTGAGGGTGACGGAGGAGTTGGCGACAAAATCAGGCTTATGATTCTTTGAAGTAAGTAGTAGAAGTATCTGGCAGGGTCATTGATCAGACGCCGGGCGGCGTTCTCTGCCTGGCTGATAACGCCCATCGTTGTGACTTCAATGCTTCCAGTTGTCTGCACTGAAGGCCACCGGCGCAGATACAGCGGTGGAGGTGGAGGTGGAGGTGGAGGAGGGCGAGTGCAGAAGCAGAGAAAGAGCTCTGGCCCGGCCAAAAGCTGCCAGGCACGCTCTTCCTGTTCCTGCCATGGTTCCTGCTAGGCTCTGGCACGCCGCTCCCAACCAGAATCATCGTGCGTGCGTGACGTCAAAACGGCATGTGAAAGAGAGCTGCCGACAGGGATTGTCTGGCTCCTCGCGGCCACAGCTCCGTGCTCTGCATCTCTTCAACCAACAACCACATTGCCACAATATCTCGCTGAACGGCAAAAGCATACAACTTGAGAAGCGACATCATGGACGATCCAGTCAAAGACATCACCCCGATCATACATCGTCTTACCCAAGGCTCCCCTCAGCAACAAGAAGACACCATCAACTACTACTTTGCCGAGAATGCGAGCTTCACGGTTAGTCTCACGGTGCTGCCCTGCTAGGAGAGAAGGCGTCTGATGATCGAGAAGCACCCGTTTTGCCGCACAGGGAGCTTTGAGGGCAGCCGATATTTAATCCACAAGATCTTCCAATGGTACAAGATTATGAGCCCTCAGATCGACCTCACCGTGAACTCTGTGGGTACGCAGCAACACCTCTCGCACACACCTTTCCATACTAAAGAATGGCCCCGCAGCCTTTGACGAGCAACACTTCGTACTCTATGTCAACATATCTCAAGTCTTCTCCATCTGGTTTGTTCCCTTCCATCGGAGTCCTGTCACCCTCACCACCCAGCTCCAACTCGTACGACGGCCAGCGGAGCCTCGCAAATACTATATCCAGTCACAGAACGATCTCTACCAAGTCGATCAGTTTGTCAAATTCTTCGCGCCTTGGGACATTGGTACCACAATTGTGATCCTTTGGCACTTCTGGGTATGATGTTTACTGCCATTCACCCATCCATCTCTGCTCTTGCTGATCATCCTGTTCCAGGCAACATTCTTTTGTGTCATCGGGGCGCATTTGGGTCGTCCTTTTACGGCGTATCTGCAAAGGAAAAGCGGTAGACAGGAGCAGGCTTGGGAACAGGAGCTTAATGGGCGATCTACGCTGAGGGAGATTCGAAATCTGGACGCTCGGAAGGTCAAATCTTGAAAGTGCCAACAATGTGACTGTGTATACAGGGAATCCAGAGGCGGCGAAAGCTTCCTGATGATGGTATGTCCTGTCGGCTTTTGAGACTTGGCGCGTGTCTCGGCACGAATGCGAGGTCGAAACGAACTTGGAAAGGGTGAAACGGTCGACAACGGCGAGGGCGAGGGCGAGGGCGAGGGCGCGGGCGAGTTGACGGCGCCTGCTGCGCGTCAGCATTGAATATTTCTGTTCGCGTTATATATTCTGTGAGGTCTTTTACCACATGCTACACGACTTGAAACTGGTGCACCATCCAGATGTTGTCCGTCTGTCATTCCGACACGCTCCAGGATGCCGCGGCCGCGCAACACCGAGGTGGCGGTGCAAGACCTGAGACCTCTTCTTTCCAACGTGTCCAGCCTTACAGTAGTCTTACAGATGACTATGCCACATTTCTACTCCTCTCGACGGCGAAGAAGATGAACAGCCTTGCGCGGCCGTCACTCGAGTCGTACGCATTGCCTTGTCTTGGCCGAAGAGAAACAAGGCCGAGCTGTCGGATAGCTCGCAGCCATGCCGGACGCCAACGTTCGAAGACGACATTCTGCATACAGCGACGACAGCGATGGGGAGATAGTGTCTCGCGACAACGATGCGGTGCAAACTGGAACCCGCGAAATAGATCCCACGCCTAGCGTCGAGCAAGGAGTCCGATTCTCTCAGGATGTAGAGGCAAGAGCTGCGAATAAGAAGCGCAAAAGCGATGAAGGCTATGATGGCGCGAACGATCGATCATTGTCGGTCGACACCGGTTTGGCGCAGGCATCCGGCAGTACAGGCCTGGTGGGACGACCCGCTGTCTCGAGTCCTGAATCTATGCCTTCCTCACAGTCGCCAGCGCTGTCGCCGAGAAGCAGGGCGAGAGGCCTCTCTCTGCGAACTTCCCTGTTCATGAGGAACATGGCCAGCCCGCGTAGCGCAAAGGGGCATGCATCAATAGAACTCCAGCATGTAGGCCCCTCATCCGGAGACCGTCCGGTGACGGCAAGGCCACAGACCGCGAAGAAGGCCTCGAGAACATCAATAACGGTGGCTCCAGTCGACGATATCTGGCAACAAACTTCGTCCACCAAGCAATCAGCGGCATTGCCGAGGTCGACTGCGTTGCCAAATTATCAGCAATGGATGTCGAAGCAGGCTCGCAAACATCTACCCTTGAAAAGGATGACAGCATCGATTGAAAACATACGCAAGTTCGTGCTCAGAATACAAGAGTTTCCACCCTCGAAGGATGGCAGGCATATACCTCTGGATCCTTCTCGGAAGGAAGACCTGATCGACGAGCGAACGAACAAGCCATACATTTCTAACTTGATCCGGTCTTCAAAGTACAATGCTTGGAACTTTGTCCCAAGACAGCTATTCGCGCAATTCAGCAAGCTGGCCAATGCCTATTTCTTATGTGTCTCGATTCTGCAGATGATTCCTGGCCTCAGTACCACAGGTACCTACACAACGATCGTTCCTTTAGTGTTCTTCGTGGCTTTGTCAATGGCGAAAGAGGGTTATGAAGATCTTCGCCGTCATAGATTGGATAAAGCAGAGAACAATGACGAGGCTAAAGTTCTGCATGTCTACAAGCCAGTGACAGGAGATTCGAACAGCACCAATCCAGACTCGGTCGGCATTCCTATGGATGGACCAATGCATTGGGCACCGGTGAAGTGGCAGTCGCTACGTGTAGGTGATGTTGTGAAGTTGGACCGCGACGACACTTGTCCTGCAGATCTGGTGCTACTCTCTGCCAAAGGTCCTAACAATACCGCATACGTTGAAACAATGGCCCTGGACGGGGAAACCAATCTCAAGCCCAAACAGCCTAGCCCTGAGACTATCGAAGCTGCCATGACCGTCGAGGCCTTGGCCACTGCTGAGATGGAGCTTGTCGTGGAAGACCCCAATCTAGACCTGTATTCGTTCGAGGGACGGGTCACCGTCAATGGCAAGACTTCGCCGCTAACAAACAACGAGGTCTTATATCGTGGAAGCGTGCTTCGCAATACACCCGAATGCGTCGGTATCGTGGCGTACAGCGGCGAGGAGTGCAAAATACGTATGAATGCCAACAAGAATCCTAGGATCAAAGCTCCCGCACTCCAGGCTGTCGTGAACAAGATTGTCATTGCGATGGTCTTCTTCGTTCTGTTCTTGGCCCTATTCAACAGCATCGCATACCAAGTTTGGCAAGACACAACGGAGTCTAAATCTTGGTATATAAGCAACGCGGAAGTCAGCTTCGGGCCACTCTTTACCAGCTTCATCATCATGTTCAACACGCTTATTCCTCTTTCGCTGTATGTCAGCTTGGAAATCATCAAAGTATCCCAAATGGTCTTGATGAACGATATTGATATGTACGATCCGGAGAGCAACACGCCATTTGAAGCACGCACATCTACTATCAATGAGGAATTGGGACAAATCGGCTATATATTTTCGGACAAGACAGGCACGCTCACAGAGAATGTCATGAAATTTCGAAAGCTTTCCGTTGCAGGTGCTGCATTTTTGCACGATATTGATCTCCAAGATCAACCGAAGGAAGAGATCATGCTGCACAAGAAACGGAGCAAAGGCAAGAAGGCCGCCCGAAAGTCTCGAAAGTCGACATCTGCATCAATTTCGCCCAGCCAGCAGGCGGTGGAAAGAGAGCAGTCCCAGCCAAGACCCAGTCGAGCTTCGACCTCTCAATGGAGATCCTCGGCAGCACCAGAAATGATGCAAACCGAGCAGAACACGCTTGAGTTGATTCAATACCTTCAGCAGCGATCGCAAACACCATTTTCAATGCGCGCTCGAATGCTGATCCTCTCAATGGCCGTCTGTCATACGTGTCTGCCAGAACGAGTCGAAGGTGATGCCGATGATTCTAAGATCAACTTTCAAGCATCTTCGCCAGATGAGTTAGCTCTGGTGAGAGCCGCTCAAGAGCTCGGATATCTGGCTTACGAACGTGATGCAGCCATTCTGACACTGAAGCTGTATCCAAACGGCATGGATGACGAACCGGTGTACGAGAACTACGAAATCCTAGATGTTATCGAGTTCTCAAGTAAACGGAAACGCATGTCGGTCCTGGTTCGCTTGCCAGACGGAAAGATCGTTGTCATGTGCAAGGGTGCTGATTCTGTTATCATGAAGCGCCTTCGGCTTGCGAGTATCGCCAAGCAAAAGTTGGCTGAGATTGAGAAACGCACAATCGAGCGGAAATCCATGGAAGCCCAGGAAGCACTTCGACGAAAAAGCAGCATTGCAGAGCGTGCTGGCAGCGTAAGCAGCATGCCTCGAACAAGCAACAGCCTGGTCCGACGAAGCACAACGATTGCACGAGCAAGCATGGGACGTCTCGACCCAATCAGAGATGATGTAGATGAATGGCTCCACCAACGCGAGCACGACGTCTCCCCCAGAATTTCATCACATTTCCGTCCTTCGCTGTCGGAACGGCAAGGCTCGTTCCATACCGAGCATAGGAACAGCCTCCTTCGAAACGAAGCGGCGAACTTGAGCGAGGATGTGATCATCGAGCGATGTCTGCAACACATCAATGACTTCGCTACCGAGGGCTTAAGGACTCTCCTCTACGGCCATCGCTTTCTCTCTGAAGAAGAGTACCGGTCATGGAAGAAGGTCTACCACGATGCTACCACTTCTCTTGTCAACCGCACCGAGTTGATCGAGAAAGCGGGTGATATGATTGAGCAGCATCTCGAGCTCGGTGGCGCCACAGCCATTGAAGATAAGCTACAAAAGGGCGTCCCGGAGACCATTGATCGTCTACGTCGAGCTAACATCAAGATGTGGATGTTGACTGGCGACAAGAGAGAGACCGCGATCAACATTGGTCACAGCTGTAGGCTCATCAAAGACTATTCCGCGGTCACCGTGTTGGACTATGAAGCTGGTGCTGTTGAGCAGAACATTGCTGCATCCATCATTGATATAAATCGAGGAAGTATAGCCCACAGTGTCGTGGTCATCGATGGCCAGACTCTGGCCGTCCTTCAGTCTGATGAGGCTCTACACGCACTGTTCCTCGATCTGGCAATCTTAGCAGACTCTGTCATTTGCTGCCGGGCTTCGCCAAGCCAGAAGGCGGGATTGGTGAATGCCATCCGCATGCGAGTCAACAGGAGCGTCACACTTGCTATTGGAGATGGCGCAAATGACATTGCGATGATCCAAGAAGCGCACGTCGGCATTGGTATCACAGGTAAGGAAGGCTTACAGGCTGCGAGGACCAGTGACTACTCGATCGCTCAGTTCAGGTTCTTGACGAAGCTTCTACTGGTACATGGACGCTGGAACTATATCAGGACGTGCAAGTACACTGCCGGAGTATACTGGAAGGAGATGCTGTTTTATCTCACACAAGCCTTGTACCAACGTTACAACGGCTACAGCGGGACCAGTCTCTACGAATCATGGTCGCTCTCGATGTTCAACACCTTATTCACCTCGCTCACGATTATCTTCCTCGGCATTTTCGAGCAAGACCTGCGAGCTTCCACACTCATCGCCGTTCCGGAACTCTACACCAAAGGTCAACGTGCTCTTGGATTCAACCTCAAGGTTTTCATTGGCTGGATGTTCATGGCTGTATCTGAAGCCCTCGTAATCTTTTTCACCGTACAGGGCCTATATGGCGATGCACTCTTTAGCGCTGAGAACACCATATTTCCTCTGGGCAATATGACATTCACGGCATGTGTGATCCTGATTGCCATCAAACTCCAGCTCATCGAACAACGCTACAAATCATATATGGCCGCGGTCGCAGTTGTCGCGTCTGTCGGCGGTTGGTTCCTCTGGAACGTCATCCTCGCCGCGTTATACGCACCGAATCTGAAATACAATGTCAAGCTTGGCCTGTTCTCCCGATTTGGCAGAAGCGGATTATGGTGGCTGACGTTGCTCATCTCCGTCGTCGCTTGCTGCTTACTAGAAATCGGCGTGCGAGCTCTGAAATGCGCGTTCATGCCAACAGATACGGAGACCTTCCAGACTCTCGAGCAGGATCTGGATGTTCGAAAACGCTTCGAAGAAGCTAGCGCTCCGTGGATGCAGCAGGGTTGGGATCATGGCGTCAAGAAATCTAGCTTGGAATTGGAAAGACAGGCGGAGCAAGAGAAGCGGGAATTTGAGGTGGAACAGCTTTTGAGTAGACCAAGGACGATGGAAGCGGCTCTTGAGGCTGGGAATGCGACGTCTGGGATCGAGACAGAAGAGCAGACTGTCTTTGTCGCAGATGGGCTGGGAAGGTCGCGCACGGATATTTCTGAGATGCTGTCACGAAGGTTTGGATTGGTGAAACGAGAAACGATGACCTCCTCTTCTTGAGGAAGGTAAGGCAATGAATGATACCCAGGTGGAATGTACGTCAGCGGCTTATCTATGCTAGTATACATCATTGCATGAGTGCAGAAATATTTTACATGATGGCTTCTTCTGTCTGATAGATTGGGCCATTTCTGATCCAAGCTTGCTATAGCATTCGAGTCTTGACGATCGAGTTGTCATCACCCCATGCTCTTCGGAATGGTATTCACATCCGCAATCATAGCTTGACTTCGCCCTCGAAGCCTTCGGCATGCATGAAGTTCGCTTTCAGGGCAGTGATGCTCGTCTCACCTTCTTTGACAGCCCAGCCATCCGAGCCAGGTCCACTCTTCTCCACGCTCTCATAGACATCCGTAAATCTCGGAGCCCATTTGAAGTGTCTATGCCTCCAGTCATTTGAAGGAGTAGCAGTGCCGCTCTTCTCCCCAGCCTCTTTCGTCTCCTGCTTCCGTAACTGAGCTTCCTCACTCGCAGGGTCGTCAACTGCCGCTCCACTCGGCAGCTCTTGAAAGCAGGCACCTTTCTTCCACTGATTTTGTCTAGATCAAGATCAGCTCGATGTGATAAATCAAGGGTCCTTGGAATGAATTCACGTACAGCATCTTCGTCCACCTCACAGGAGCCTCGGTGCAACCCTTCTTCACCGGCACATTCACCGAATACAACTGCGCAGCATCCCACGGAGCATTCTTCGCAAGATACTCGGCCACTCGCACGCCCTGTTTGCAGGATTCCGCCACAACTTCCGGATCATTCTTCCGATCAAAGAATGCAAAGCTCAACGCGATGGCTCTGTACCCGCACACAGTTGCCTCCAGCGCAGCGCCCAAAGTCCCCGAACTCAGAGCGAAAACGGCAGTGGTGTTTCGTCCATAATTCGGACCGGAAATTACGAGGTCTACGGGTGCTCGGTCTTGGAAGAAGTGACTGAGTCCGATTTGAGCGCAGCCCGCCGGGGTTCCGTTGACCAGAACCCAAGGGTGTTTACCATTGTTGCTTGATGAGGCTGAGTCGGAGTGGACTTCTGGTGCTTGTGCAGGTGGCCAGTAGAAGGTTGTGCGTACGTCTTGTCCGACGATGTGAGCTTTGCCGATCCAAGACCTTTGGGAGTCCGGGACGATTACGGAGACGGTGTGGCCGGCATCCTCGAGGGCGTTGACGAAGGGGAGGATGTAGGGTGAGGCTTGGGCGGAGGGTGGTCCGTCGTCGTTTGTGACCTGGACACGTGTAAGGAGTTTGGTTGAGCATCGTTCATGTCGACGCGGCACGTACCAGGATATGCATTGTGGCGTAGAGGGAGAATACAGTCAAAAGCGAGGCGAGGCAGGCTGATAATGATGATGGTTGTGATCGTGTCGACATTCACAGAATTCAAAGGCCGAGGTCGGCGTGTCGGCATCGTGGACCAGGATCGTCGGCGGTGCGTCACGATGCAAGGGCTGATGCCAAAACAAAACCTTCGACATCGAGACGTCAAATGCCTCTTCCGAGCACATACCGCTGTACATCGGGCTAGCTATATACTCGCCTCCTCTCCTGTGTCGTCAATGGCATCACATGCGGCCGCTTTTGATCCTATCCCATCTATCCCAAGCCCTGCACTGATCGCCACCTGGTATCTTCCATACAAAATCCCAATTCGTTACAGCCATGCTCCTGATTCCCATGCACTACTACTGAAACCCTGCAGCATCTACTGGGAAGATCCGCCGGAGATGGTGATGACTTGGCCTGCAAGGAACAGGCGTGTTAGCATTGCAGCTTCAGCTGACGCCCGCTTCGCTTCTGCACAGTAAGCTTACCGTTGACCCAGCCGCCATCCTCGGAAGCAATGAATGCTACCACACGAGCCACGTCCTCTGGGGTAGCACAGCGCTTGAGTGGACAGTGCTCAGCCATCATGCCCTCGATCTTCTCTGCTGGCCAGTCTGGAGTGGCACCTGGAATGTAGTGCCATGCGTTCTGCGTGAACATGTCCGACTTGATCCCACCTGGAGCGACACCATTGACAGTGATGCCGCGCACACCGAAGTCGGTGGCGAACGCCTTGATCATACCAATGACAGCCATCTTGGATGCGTTGTAAAGAACGTGATCCCGAACGCCGAGAAGACCAGCGGCGATGGAGCTCATGAGGATCAGGCGCCCGTTGTTCTCGAGGTGCTTCCATGCTGCTTGACCAACGAAGAACTGTGCGCGAGCGTTGAGGTTGAAGACGTGGTCGTACTTCTCCTCGGTGATTTCCTCAGTCTTGTCCCACGACTCCGTACCGCTGTTGCTCATGACAATGTTGATCTTGCCGAACGCTTTCTTGGTCTCTTGGAACAGGCGCTCGATCTCGGATGGCTTGCTGACATCGGCCTGAATGGCGACAGCCTTGGCGCCCGTTCCGGTAGCCTCAATGATCTTGCAGACCTCCTCGGCGTCCTTCTTGCTGCTCTGGTAGTTGACCACGACGCTGGCACCACGCTTGCCGAGCTCAATGGCACATCCTCTGCCGATACCGCGACCAGCGCCAGTGATAAGGGCGACCTTGCCGTGAAGGGAGGCGGACTCAACGAGGACGGGCTGTTGGGCAGACATTCTTGTTCTGCCAATAATCGTAAGCTTGGTCAGTTGAAAGTTCAGGAAACTCTTACATTGAGATGCGGGATATGGAGTAAGGGGTATGTCACGATGGATGATGGTCTCGGGGAGTATGGGAAAGAAGAGGCGGTGTAAGAGGAGAAGATGGATGGAAAGGGTCTTGCAGATCTAGCTCCTTTACCTCCAGAGCAGATAATATTCGATGCTCATCGATCCTGCCCTACTAGTAGTACTCGGTGCCGCGACGGAGCTGAGCCCTGGGTCCATTTGAAACGGAGTGGTGGGGAAGTCCGAAGCTCACAGTGGAACAGGCCCGTCTGCACCGCGAGGCTGAATGCACACGCACACGACCTGCAGCAACGCAGCTCGCTCTGGGAGGAAGGACCGAAGCCGAGAGCGTGTCCAGATTTAGCTCCTATGCGGGGCCATTCGAAGGATCGGCTCTCCCTGTGCCGTCACGCATATGTCAACAACCAATATAGATAACAGCGGAGGAAAAGCGAGGTAGACGGTAATTCTAGTAGATGCTTCATGTTGTGCTGTTTTTATGCTTTACCACCATGCCACCCATCCCTGCTATTGAAAGAGGGCACGCAAAGTGTTTGGGAGCCGATAGCTCCTCCCATCCATCCTCTATCAGTTGTGAGAGCTCGACCGCTGGAGCTCATTACACCGCCTCCGTTTCCATTATCCCACCGAAGACTCCAACGAGCCGCCCGCTACAACGCCCGCTGTCGCTCGAGGAGTGATAAAGAAAGGGTACAAAATACACATGCCACAAGGAAAGCTGGAGTCCTGCCAAAAAGAGACAGACAACTCGGTATTAGTCGCTTCGTTTCGTCGTCACGCAGTCGTTGCAGTCGTCCATGTCCACCCAATGCGCCTTTTGGAAACAATAACAAAGCTTCCCAAACGCCTCTCGGACTGATGTCAAGAAGTGCCAATGTGGCAAGACCCTTCGGTCCGAAACGAGCGTAGGGATGCAGTTGAAAGAACTAGTCGTGTCAGCATATGCACGCGACATCGCTTCGATGTGGAGACTCACGGTACGAAATGCTGTGCCTGCTCAAGATGACTCGAATTCATCACTGTGGTTGCTGTGGCAGCCAGCTGGTGGTGGTTGGATTCTGTGCGCCGAAGGACACGCCGTTGCTCTGAGTCGTGAACGGCAGCTTGAAGCCCTTGGCCATCTCGCCACGAACGAATGTCGAGGCTCGCTTGTACCGCTTGTCGGTATACTTCTCGTACACAGCGCCGTGGTGCTTCTCTGGGTCCTCGCAGCACTTGTAGATGGCATCGAGGAGGCGATGCATCTGGCGGAACGTGTAGTTGGAGTAGTACACGTGTGCCTGAGTCCAGTCGCCTTTCCGAAGCATCAAGCGTGCCATGCAGTGCGCGCCTGCAGCGAGGAAGCTGGGCTTGCAGCCGACGAAGCGCTCGTCCATGATGGTGACCTCCAGGAAGTACTTCGCAAGCGTTCGGGTCTCGAGATCGTAGTCGTCAGCCTTGCTGATGCGGCGAAGAAAGCTCATTGGGCCTGGCCATCCGAGCTCGAATTGAAGCATGCTCAGCATGAAGCGCTCCGCCTTCAGGAGTTCCTCTGCAGAGTAACCATTGTCTACCATGTAGATGATCTCAGAGATGGTTGGGCAGTTGACTTCTTCATACTTTGCAGCAACGAAGATGGCCGTGGCGCCGACGAGCTGAAGCTTGCCCAAGGAGACTATCTTGCAAGAGAGGAACCGGTCGATATAGTTGATGGTGAGGAAGAGCGTCTCTGGCAGGAGGTTGAAGCGTTGGTGCACTTGCACAACCCAATCCATGAGGACACCTCGCATCGACCACTGGATTTCGTGCTGGAGCTCCATGTAGAATGGATTGGGCGACATGCGTGACTCCATCTCGCGCATGTATTCAAAGATTTCGTCGCCATACTCAGCAACCATGGAAGTGTCCCACTGCTCGTCCTCAATGTCCTCTGCCGTGCGGGTCTGTTCGACGAATGCCTTGGCTTCAGCAATCTCAAGGTTGGCCTTCTTGGTATGCGCGGGGTTGAAGACAGTAGTGAGGTCCATGGTCGTGTCTGGAAACCCAAAGGACCGAGCCGTGACATAGTCGTCCTCGTCGTAGTCGTCTGGCGGATCATATTGATCTGTGGTTGGTGTGGAGACAGCGTATCCTGAAGATACTGCCGGAACAACGGCTTGGGGCATCGACACCTGAACGGATTGTGGCTGGAGGTAAGATTGCTGCTGGGTCGGCACTGCTGGTTGCACAGCGGTAGCAACAGGCTGTGGGCGCGCGGCAGGTTCATCGCGCAAAGGCACAAGCTGAGTCTGATGCTGGACGTTGTAGGACTCTTGCATGACAGCCTTTTGAGGTGGTGCGTATGAAGTTTCTTGTGCTGCATTGATTTGTGTTGGCACGATAGCATTTGTGCTTCTCGGGACCTCGGGCTGTGGCTGACTGAGGACAGGATCTTTGAGGACCTTCGTGCTCTTCTTCGGCACCGCCTTCTTTTGCACCGGCTCTTGGTAAGCAGCAGACTGTGCAGCCTTTGTTGTAGCCGCAGCTGCGGCGGCCATCTGCATATTGGCGCTCTTCGGCGCGAGTGGCCGCACAGCAGGACGCGAGAATGTTCCTGCTGGCGGCGCCATGACTGGGTCCTGGAGTAGTCGAATCTTTCCTGGCGATGCCTTTCCAACCTCTGAATCGTCCTTTGGCGCTATCTTTCCGTTCGCTGTGGACTCCCCGAGCACCTGCTTCTTGATGTTGATATTGGATGCTGACTTGGTCCGCTGATGAAGTGTCTTGCCGATGGGTCCGTTGGCGATATGGAGAGGCATGTTCTCGTCGTGAATACGCACCGCACGAGGCGGCGGCCGCTGCGGCTTTGACAATATTGTCAGTGACATTTGGTCAGGTGGTGGAGGCTGCGATTGCTTGTGAGGCGCCATGTGAAGGGCAGGCTGAGGCTGCAGGTGTTGCGCCGAGTCGACAGACTGAGTGGGTATCGCAGACTGCGGGTCAGTAGTGAGGGAATGATCTGATGGACTGTTTTGCTGCTGTCCGCCTGTGTCTGCTGCCGCCGCTGCCGGGATGACAAGGGCAGGTGGGTGGTGCGGGAGCGTGCAGGTCCACCGCGCCGAGGGCTCTGCAGAGCCGTGTTGGGGATGAGCCATGGGGGGTAGTGAGCTTACCTTTGCGTCCATTGCGCTGATGATTTATCTGCTGCTGTCGCCTGCGGTGTTGGTGATCCGCACGTGTAGGGCGCTGGTGAATGGCGGCGTGGTGAATTGAATGGCCAGCTGTGTTGTTGTGTTGATCTCGCTGGGCGACTGCAAATCTCAGCGGCGCGACGACGACCCTACTACCTGCTGGAAGGCAGTCGGAGTTGGCAAGTTGTCGTCTGCGGTCCCGTCGGCGCGCGTGCGGCGTGCGGCGTGCGGCGTGTATCGCTATGGTGCTGTTAGATATGCCTACTGTGTTGACACTCCAGCGGAACAAAACATTGGATCGAGCTCCCGGCGAGTCGCGCTAGTCCCAGAACCGTCGTAGCAACGGCTCGCACCCGCGACTTCCCATTCTTCGAGCTGCTGCCACCCTTGCTCGCTTGGCAGCTTTAGCGCCTCTTCGACACGTCTTCCATCATCGATCAACTTCACCACTTCTCCTTCGCATTCTCCCAACATCGCTCACATCACCGCCCAAACAAGGCGACACATAGCATACGTATGGCTCACTGTGTGGCTTCACTTTCACTATCCCATTCCGTGTGCTGGCGGCGTGGTCTCACTTTTCGCAATTCATTGTGCGACACGCGTCAGCTTCACTCCGAAAACGCCGATGCCCCACGAAAAATCGTGACCCATTTCACCAGACTGACTGTCAAGCTGTCGTTCACTAAATACCACACAGAGCGCTTTCATGCTCGGCGACGTCGTCAGGTCCGTGTGGAAATCATGCGCTGTCAGACACGTCGTTCCGCGTCCTGGGAACCAATCGCTCTGGCTATCTGAGCTGACTTGAAACTGGAGTCGAGAACGACAAGGCCGGCGGGACTTTCCCCTCCAACGTGCTTTAATGCAGGCGAGAAAAACAAGCCCGCAATCCTCGTTCCGTGCTCGGCCAACGGTGCAGCGCGACTGCTTGACTTTCATTGACTTTATTAATATTCGCGCCCTGGATACCTGCAAGCGACATGGTGCTTCACCGTACTACTACCACCAATGTACATGCTCGGTTCCTGTGGCATCCACATCACTGTGATGGACTCAGGCTGGCCTCGAACTGCGCAAATATGTGTCGCGATCGTCTGCGCAGTCCTTCGCGCCATACGTGAAACGCATTGTCGAGGCACTCACTATAGGATACCGAGCTTGCGCAGCGATGCGCAAGACGTCAACGGGCCATGTCTGTTGCACGGACGCAAGCCGGAGCACTCTGCGGCAACGATCGGCTACAGCATCGCGATGTAGCATCTCGGTCTCTACAGATAACCCATTCCCGCTGTTCATCAAGGTTTGCTGAAGCAGGCATCTCACCGTGTCCTGCTGGCCATTATTATTATTCCGTGCGCGCAAAGGTGTGGATTGTGTTCGGCTGATCTTCTAGACCCCGAAGCTATGATTGGCTCAGCCATGGCACTTCGTCCACCTGAACGTGCGTCTTCTGCGTCTGGCTTTTGGGGTAGATGCAGCTAAAGCAGAAGGCTCTATCTCGCTCTTTGCTGGCGCTGCCTATGCGCTGTGCGCTTCGGCGCATTACGCTGCTCAATCTGCCCTCCTCTCGTAATCTGTGGGAGTGACATATTCCGGAAGTTTCGCTTCTTTGTCTGGCGAGCTCGTGGGCGGCTATGGTGGCGGATACATCAACCAGTCGCATTGGCTATGTAGAGATTGGCGAAGAGCACGTAGACGAGCGACAGAGGCGCTGCTGAATCCAATTGCGAGGGCGCATGTAGGAATGTTGAGCAAGCGCTGCCGTATCGCGATTCGCACAGTTCCGTCCGGGATCGTGCACAGTAGAGTGGGCTGCTTCTGGATCTGGCTCTGGCTTCATGCCTCTTCCGTTCTCCCACATCGGCACAACAACACACCTGACAAGACGTCAAGTTGTGCAGTGGTGCCATCGTCCTATCTTTGCAAAGCCGCTTCATTTCAGATTTGCCTAGGTAGTCGCCGTACGCACTGCCATCGCCTTGCTTGTCGGCTCCCGCGGCACGGCACCGCTCGAAGTCGGGCGACGAGGTCAAAGGACGCAGCGCCCAACAACCCATCAAACGACCATCGACCGTCCTTATCAGACCCCGGCGACTCAAGGTATGTGCTCAGATGCGCCGTAGCGGCTTCTACAGACCTCAATATCACCATCCGCCCGACTTGCTCTCGATCCTTTGGTCAGCTGCGAGACATCACACCCATCCCTTTCCCAAGCGACCACATGACGCTTTGCGCATCTTTATGACACCCATTTACCCTCCCAATCACTTGCGATCTCGAACGGCTAGCTGATCTTGTCGCTGTCCTAGCAATCTCCCCTTTGCCATCGTCACCGCCCTTCTGGGAGGAGAGTTTGCGCCGACGGCGACCTAAGCCACACCCATCGACCACCCTACTTCAATTCGTACCGCATAACCTCTCATTGCACTGGTCGACCTATCGGAGCCGCTACCATACTTGGTAGGCAGTGATATGGACGCTTCGACCATGTTGTCCAACACCGGCCAAGACTCTGCTGGGGCGGGCGATATGAGGAAGCAAAACCACCAATATCCAACTCGTCAAGGATTCTCAGGCTCAGATGCGCAGCAAAATACCAAAATGAACTTGGAAAACACCAGTCGCATGGGTAGAGGCTCTGATGGCGCTGCCGCAAGATCCGCATATACTCGAGGGTCGCCCGCCAAGAAAGATCAGAGACATGTTGTCTTCCAGCTCATTGACCCCAAAGACCCTCGCATACAAGCAAGACTACCGATGAGAGTCATGATCTCCCCTCACGATACTACCGAGTCGATCATCACGACTGTCAAGAACTTCTACGGGCTGTACGAATATGGTGTCAGCTTCGAGAACAGAGATGGCATCAGCATCATAGCAGCCTTTGACAACTTCGAGAACGATATGACAGTCTACGTCAGGACTGTCGCGCAACCACCTGCACCTGCCAGCGAACCTGCACGAGACTCAGTGTCGCCGAAGAAAGCTACCCTGGGCGCGCCTTTTGAGATGCGCCCGCCCAACCTCGGTGTGAATCATTCCCCTTCGAGGTCGGCTGCTCGATCGGCCGGAGTACGCAGCGTATCTCCACAGTCGGAACTAGGTAGACGAAGTGCGTCTGCTGCGCCAGGTGGAAAGCCAAGAGTACAGAGAACGAAGAGCAAAGACCGGAGCGTTCTGGGTGATGGCGACGGATACAGCAGTGCTGACAACGACAATGGATCTGTGACTAGCTCAAGAAGATCCAAAGCAGAAGAGATCAAGGCTGAAATCACTGTCGACAATATCGTTGAGGGTGGCCGCCGCAAGCGGGCTTTCGAGAGCTCGGTAAGGTCTCCAACATTGAAAGCCCCGAATATATTCTAACATCGCTAGGAATTGCCTCTCTTCGTGCCACCTCAGGTACCTATGAGTGCCTCGATCTCTTCTATATCACCACAACGTCGCTCCGGCCCCATGGCGTCTCCATATGCGCTCTCTAATCAACAGACGTTCTCATACCAGCAACCTCTCCCGTCGCCCCAAAGCTACGGCAACAATGGCTATATGCAGCCTCCCTTCCCAGCGAACCCATACCAGAGCGGCAATGCGCAATCCAGACAGCTACGAGGAAGTCGTGCCAGCTATTCATCCAACCGCAATTCTGGCGGCGGTGTGCTGCCTACTCCTGATCCGACGATCGGCAGCGTCATCTCCGATGAAGACGTTGCATTGCAACTCATGCGGCTAGGAGATCCTACAGCATTCTCACATGGGCGCACGTCGACGTCAACGGCCGATGATGCTTTCAGCGGCAAAGCTGAGTTGGCGTCGTCGGACGGAGATGGGGAGAGTGATGAAGAGGAGGAGGATGCTGGACTGCCTTCAGTTTCACATTTTCACAGAGACGACGTTGGACCTGCGAGAAAGAAGCAGCGTACTATGAACGAGCTGCCCAGCGAGGGAACGAGCGGTGAGGAGTATGAAGACCATCACGATGGTAACTTTGGAAGCGATGATATAGACGTCGATGGACAACGCAGGCAGATCAAGCCGAAGCAAAAGAATCGCAATGGTGCTGGCCCCGGAGGTCTATCGAAGTCCGGCAAACCACGCGCGTTGTCTGTGACAAAGCCGAAGAAGTCATCAGGAACGTCGTCCAAAGTACCCATGTCGCCGGCCTCCCTACCTCCACAATCGCGCAAAGCCTCGATTGCTTCAACGATCAATTTTCAACATCAGCTTGGGGCAGATGAAGAGGATTTGTCTTCGAAGCCACGCTGTCAGCGCTGTCGCAAGAGCAAGAAGGGTTGCGACCGTCAACGCCCATGCGGTCGCTGCAAGGACGCTGGCATTGGTATTGAAGGCTGTGTCAGCGAGGATGAAGGAAATGGCCGGAAGGGTCGTTATGGCCGCCACATGGGAGTGACTATCAAGAAAGCCGAGGAGGCGTGGGAGGACGAGGACTCGCCCACACCGCCACTACAGCAGGGCAACACAGCCAGCCATGGCTACTTCATCGCTCCTGCGCTGCCTAGCAAGGACAAGAAAAGGAAGCGTTAATACAATACTGGTCTCAACACCACCGCGGCTGGACGAGCGCTCATCACGCTGCATTTACATTTTCCTGTCGAAGGACCATTCGAATTCAACAAAAAGCTTAATAAGCATAAAATCATGGACAAAGCCTGTTGCGAAGCTTGCTATCATGTGCTTGATCGGCGTTGAAGGTTGCGCGTGTGGAAGTGCTGTTCTCTTTCATGATCGGCAAGGACTCTTTTTTCGTATGTTTGTCGATTTGTCGATTCGATTACCGACCTGGACACTCCTTGACGGTGCTATCGAGCACTGAATGTTATGTCGAATTGAAGAGGGATGAAGAAGGTGGAGGGTCTAATGCAGATTTCGGTTTCTTCTGAGACTGCAAGTTGAAGGAAAAGTATCGACGAAGGAGGAATGTGTGATGGATGCATAGCGAGGTAGCGAGCGTTTCAAGCGAGGAAAACCAATACTGCAATGTCTGATGAGGCGCGATGGATTGACTTATTGATTGATCGACTTTGAAGAAGCACACAAGGCCTGTAGAATGGCGAAGGGTATGAGGCTTTCTGGTTTTGTTTTGTACCTGCTGTAAGCTCTGTACCGAGTAACTACATGTAGTGGTCAATGCAAAGAAAGACTGTCTGTACTGGACTCGCATGATGCATACATTCCGAGCGATAACGAGCGAGACAGTAGTGCCTTCTGAGGATTTCGAAAGAGAAAGTTAATGCATCAGGCTGAACTGTAAGGCAGTAAAGACTAAGGGATATAACCATAAGGAAAATCAACACAGAAGGTACCTGTTGACTCTCCTTCAAATTTCCTCACACCTTTTTAGTCCTTCCACTCCACCAAAACACCTTTCTCAGCACTCTCATTAGCAAGCTCAATCAACCGAATAACATTTCTACTCTCCTCAGGCTTCACAACCAACTCCGCCTCCCCACGAATCGCCTTCACAAGATCCTTATAATAATCCACATAACTCCCCTTCCGACTCTTCACAACACCATCAAATTTGCCCCCATCATCTTTCCTCGTAGTCAAATACCCATGATACTTCTCCGGTTCCTCACCAAACTTCTCATCCGTAGGCTTCATCCCTAATTCCAAAAGCTGTTCGATCTGAGGATCTTCTCCGGTCTTGAAGTACGAGCCATGCGTGCCTCGAATGGAGAATTTTGGGATCTTGTGTACGGACATTGGGTTCACGACGCTGGTTTTTATTGTGACTAGGAGATCTTTCTGTGAGCCGGAGTATTGAAGGAAGATTGTGTGAAGGTGTCGTCTGCGCCGTTGGAGACTAGAGTTGAGCGTTTGGTTGCGAAGATTGTTTTTGGGAGACCGAAGAGCTGGATGGTTTGGTCGATGCTGTGGGAGCCTAGGCCGAAGAGAAGTCCGTCTCCTGCTTCGGCTGGCTTGTCGTAATGGATCCATGGTGGATTGTCGAGGTCGTAGTGGTTTATGAATTCTGTGATTTTGCCGAAGGCCCCTTGTTGGACGAGTGCTTGTAAGGTGCGGAAGTCTGAATCGTAGCGTCGGTTTTGATAGCAGGTTAAGACTTTACCAGTCTGCTTTGATAAGGCGATTAATTTGTCGGCTTCGGCGGTTGTTATCGTGAAGGGCTTTTCGACGACAACTGGAGACTGCTTAGCTTGGATAAATAAAATACCGCTTGTATATGATATACCATGCTCTCCAGCCTTCAACGCAAGCTCTGCAAAATGAAAGTGCGTATCATGCTTGGTGCAGACAATGACAAGTTCAGTCAGCATCTCCAAAGAAGTCGTCCCCTGTCCTGTAGTGTTTCGCTTGAGGATAGTCTACTGTACAATGTTTACCAGGTTCGACAGGACCTTTGGGCGCCTCGGCGCGTTGGAGAAACGCATGTACATGGAAGTCGTCATTTGGCAGGATCCAAGGCAGGTGGAAAACTTTGGTGGACGATCCGTAGCCGATGAGTCCAACCTTGATAGGTGCCATGGAGAAAGAAGTTGCGTTGATGCTAGGCACAGAGAAGCTCATATGGATCTAACATTATTACATCATGTCGAGCTGCGACCCTAGCTGAACCTGCCGAGTCCGACTCCGCATCGGCTTAGCCTAAAGCCAAGGATTCTGTGAGCTGATGAGTACGATCATTTGATCGCGGCCGCATTGCAACATGAGCAAGAGGGCCGTTCGCAAACCACTGGCTAAACTTTAGGCTTGGCATGATTGTAAACAGCTGGAATAGCGGACCGGGAGGCCGTCAAGCATGAGATTCGTCTATTGTATCTGTTCGTAGGCTATCTCTTCTTGCCTCCGCTTGCAGCGGGAGCTGGCTGTTCTGCTGGCGCACTTGATCGACCTGCCAGGAATCCCGCCAGATCAAAATTCTGCATTTGACTTGCGGCACCACTGGAGCCCGTGAGTGGAGACTTCTTGGACATCTCTTCGAATTCCGCCTTTGCTTCTGGGTCCACTACAAGACGTCAGTTCCCATTAGACTAAACGGGTAGGTCGCATCGGTACTTACTGTTGTCCATAAGATATGGGAGCCCAAAGATCATGACGACCGAGAAGAGAGCCATCAGGATCATAGGACTCTTCAAGAACCCCAAAACGTTGAATCCTCCTCTCTGCTGGTAGAAGTCTTTCCTTGCAGCAGGTATCACATCAATCTTGAGCTCGTCTTTACCCTCTCCGAACGAATGTCCCTTATTGCTCCACTCATTGCCTCGGAAGGTCTGCCATGCACTGATGTTCTGTGCATTCTCTTCGGGATTCGCGATGACATCTACTCGGAGAGGCGGGAAGAAGAAGTCGCGAGAGTGCAGAGTGAGCAGGTAGCTTGCGTCTGGCAGATCGGGAAACACGAAGGTGTTGTCGCGGCGCAGAGGGGCATCGTATCGTATTCCAGGCGGGCCAAGCAGGACTGCGTGTGTTGAAGCAGGCAGCTCGTAGGGGTTTTCGAGAAGCTGTGATGGCGGAATCGATACCGTGAGCTTAGCTGCAGAGCATGAAGCAGCTATTGCAAGCAATATAGCTGCCCGAAAGTTTGCCATGTTTGTTCGCTATGCTGCGCCGACGTGGATGGTATTGTTGGTGTTGGCGATATGAGGTGCATTCATCTTGTGAGACCCTCCCGGTCTTTACCCGCTAGCCGCTAGCCGTTAGTTCTAAATTTATGCTTCCGAAGGCTCGCACCGCGGTCCGCGGCTCGCGGCAGGGATCTGCTGAACACTTCAACAGAAGCGCGAGGTTATCATGTCGTGACTCGTACGACAGCACTCCTTTTCTTGTTGACCTGTGATTAGGCACCTTTAGCAGTAGGTTTGGAAGGGCAGTTGCGCTCCGTGCACGCGGCAATAGCACTTATTAGCGCCTCAACAAGTAAATAAGCTCCGTATAGTTATCCGTACGTAAAGAATTAAGTAAATAAAAGTATAGGTAACTATACGAGCTCGTATAGTCAACCGTATACGCTTATATAAAGGAAAATACGCTAATTGGACCCTGCGCTAGGCCGTTAGTAGTTAAGTAAAGGAGTATACTAAATCCTTAGCTAAATAGTTTAAACCCTGTCTCCGCCTTCTATTAAATTTAGTCTTCTAGTATAGTAGCTATTACCTACTAGCTACTATACACCCCTTATATATATATATAAAGACGGAGAGTCTAGTAAGAAGTAGGTAAAGGTCGCTAGGCGGCTGCTAAGGGTTATATAGGTCTAGTAGCCTATATATAATTAGTTAATTACTCTAAGAGCTGTTATAGGAACAGCTACGGAGACCTCGGCAGAGAGCAATTATAATTAGAATTAGGTCCGTACCTCGAGAGAGGCATATATTTAGGCCTTCGAGAGTATAGTAGGTACTTAGAAGCCTACATTTGTTAGCAAATTAAACACTCTAAGCACTATAGCGGCTCTAGTTACCCTAATATAAACCCTGCCTAGTATTACTACCCTTCTTAATCTAGGTTTCGACTTCTCGCGGAGCGATCTATACCCTCGCTTAGGCCCTTCCTTCTATATACTACTAGCTACCTTCCGAGACTATTATAGTTAACCTTTACTATATAGTCTAATAATAGCTAATCTAGCCGCTTCTAAGGCTATTAGACAGCCTGTTTCTACGCTAAATAAGGAGCCTGTTTCTATACTAACTAAGGAGCCTGTTTCTATACTAACTAAGGCGCCTATTTCTACGCTAGGCGGCACTTAAACAGACAGCCAAACTTTAGACTATACTAGCCCTTCTTAAGACGATATTATTGCCGCTTCTATTGCTAAAGAATAAGGCAATAATAATGCTCGAGTTAACAGTAATAGCTATATCTCGTCGGATAGTAAGCTAACGCTTACTAAGGTTAGGGCTACTATTGCCTATAAACGAGTAACTAGCAAGGTACGTAAATAGAATAATAGCTTTAAGGCTATTATCCTCGCTAGCTAGCCGTTAGGTAAGCTAACTCTTAGTAATCTAGTAAGGGCTTATTATGCAATAATTAAGCGCCGAGTTGTTACTAGAAGGCTACTAGAAGGAGCTTCTAGTATAGTTATTGCAGAGACACTTTAAGACTAGCTTCTCGATAAGGCTATAGAGACACTATTTCGACTAGATAAGATATAGCGTAAGAAGGTATTAAATACTAAGGAGTTAAGGGCATTTTACTATCCTACTAAGAACATACGTAACGCTATACTATCGATACTGTCTTAGCGCAATAACTAGGCTTTAGTAGTAACTCTAGCGGCCGCTCTAGTAGCTCTAATAACGCCTATCTAGCGAGTAGAAGTTATCGACTTATCTACGCTAAGTACGGCCGATAGCAATACTGCTTAGCTTACTAAGCGCTATCGTTTAGACTTCGAGTCTAAACGACTTTAGCGAGGCTTATAGTGTTAGGGCTAAAGAGGCTATACGTAATTGGCATGTAACTAGGCTAAGTAAAGCCAGGGTCTTAGTGCCTTAGGTAGGGCTTGGCGCTTAGCAATAGGCTAACTTACCTACCCTCCTCCCTCTCCTCCTAGCTCCTTATCGAATACTACCTATACCTACTACTACCCTATCTACCTACTAACAGACCCTTCTTATATAGTATTCGATCTACCCTTTAAGGGCAGTAGCTAGATAGTCCTTATTTCAAGCTTTTAGCGGTATAGCTACGAAAACTATCGATTTAACTATATTACGCCCGAAGAACGGGACCTATACGTACTATTCTATTAAAACAACCGTACTAATTATTAAGCAAGGCCTTCTATACGGCCTATTACACTAAGTTAAGTATATTAGAACGATACTCGCTAATTCCGCTATACCCGTATCTTAGGGGCTAATAATACATTATTAGTGTCGTCCCTTATAATAGCTAGTTTATTACGAAACAACAACCGTGCTACCGCTAGCAGCGCTAGCAACGACAACGCTAGCGGCATAGTGCCTGCTAAAGCGCCTCCTACTAAAGTGCCTACTAGAGTACCTACTAAAGTGCCTCCTACTAAAGAGCCTGCTGCTAGGCCTACCGAAGAACCTATAATTCTAGGTAACGACCTAGAGTTGCCTATTAACGACATTCTTAGCAATATTGTCAACTGTCGATATAGCTAACTAGCCTTTAGCCCCTAGCTAGTAGCGAGGCTTTAAGAAGCTACCTAAAACAGGCTTACTGCCTTGCGTTAAGAATAATAGCTAAAGGATAATCTTCTTAAGATTCGCCGCCTCTAGGAATCTCTAACAACTACTGCTAAGCTAATAGTAGGACCTTCTTTACTACCTATCTAAAAGAAGGACGCTAAACTTAAGGACTATACCGTGTTTAATAGCTCTAGTCGAAAGCAGTACAACGACTACATTCGTAACTATAAACTTAACTAGCGTAATACACTAAGAGCGCTACTAGACGACTATTCCTTAGTCGTACACGCTATGCAGTACATTAATAGCGACCTAAAGCGTATATAGGATAACTATTTCGACTCCCTCGACGACTAGACCGCTATTTAGTAGCAGACCTACAAAACCATTATGCTAGATACCCTTAGAAACCCTATACTAAGGCAATAATATGCTTAGGACCTGTATCTTCGAGCTAAATAGAAGACTAATTAATCGGCTCGCTTATTTAAAGCCTATTTAAAGACCCTCGAGGATAACCTTCCGCCTAAGACTAATTCTATATAGATCTCGGAAATACGCCTAAAACTTAGATAGGAACTTATCCTCGAATTAGACCGTCGCCGTATATTCGAACAAGCTAACCTAATACGTATTCAATTTATAGTCGAAGTAGAAACAGCCGAACGAGCTGTCTAGCTCTAATAACGACTAGAATCGAGGATCCGGCTAGCTAGTACTAACCGCGGCAATCGTAGTAGCCGCGGAGGAAATTAAGGTTCCTACTATAACAACAATGCTAATAATAGGAATAGTAACAATAACCGTAGAAGAGGCTATAGCCGCCGGCTATATAGAGGAGGCCGCGATAGGGGCCGTAGAAGGGGCTCGTATCCCTATAGTACTAATCGCTTAACTAATAATAGCAGTAATAGCGGCTATAGCAACCCCCTAACCGGATTAAAGTGCTTTAATTGTAATAGCACTAGCTATCTACTAGGCTAATACGACAAACCTAAGGACTAGGCCCGAATTGACCGTGCTTCCGCTAAGTATAGGAAACACCTTTTAGCCGCTAATACTACCCTAGTCGGCTCTTTTAATTAGTCGAAAAAAGAGTAAGCGCCGTACTAACTGTTAGCCTTATACGGCGTAAGACTATCGACATTATGCTAGCTATTATACGTACCTGTCTTATATCTAGGCGCGATACTAACTATAAGGCAAAGGTTATGCTAGATCCCGGAAATTTAGTTAGTGCCCTTATTAGCTATCGCCTAGCTAAGTAATTAGACCTCCGACAACTGCCGAAAACTAACCTACTAACCCTTGCTTAGTTTAATAACGCTCGGTACTTAACCTATAGGGCCTACTATGTTCCTATAGTTCTAAAAGACGACCTCGGAAATGAACGCCTACTAAACTTTACTGCCTACGCGGTAGATATAGACAGCCTCCTATCCGACATTGTTATTAGCAACCCTGTTCTTAAGTACTATGCTATAGTTATAGACTTAGGCAGTCAATAATAGCGATTTGGAATCGCTAGGAAAGAGGATATTAAACACATTAATGTTAGCGAGTGTCCTAATAATATTAGGGTCCTGTTTATTAGCAACCTAATACTAGCCTCCGCCTTAGCTAATCCGACTGCCGACCTGCTCGGTAGTAATAACGATAAACCTATGCCCCCTAATAGCATAGACCCTAATTAGCTCGAACGTATACTAGTACCTATTCGAGAGACCTATATCGATGTATTTAAACATTACCTAGTATCGATATTGCCTATATTTAAGGAGACGGATTATAAGATTAACATTATAGAGGGTAAGGAGGTTCCTTTTAGCCCCCTCTACAACCTTAGTAAGCGAGAGCTTGCTGTATTACGTAAGTACCTAGAGGAAAACCTAGCTAATAGCCGCATTCGGTACAGTAACAGCCCTGCTAGTGCCCCTATCCTGTTCGTACTAAAGAAGGATAGTAGCCTACGCCTCTATATCGATTATCGTAGGCTTAATACTATTACTATTAAAGATCGCTATCCACTTCCTCTTATTAATAAGACCCTCGATCGCCTTTCTAGTGCCTACTACTACACTATATTAGACATTAAGGACGCCTATTACCGCATTCGTATTCGCAAGGGCGATAAATAGAAGACAGCCTTTCGCACTCGCTATAGCTATTTCGAGTACTTAGTTATGCTATTTAGGCTAGCTAATGCCCCTGCTATATTCTAGTCCTATATTAATCGGGCCCTATTAGGCCTATTAGATCACCTCTATATAGTTTACCTAGATAATATCCTAGTTTATATACACTTACCTAACATTGCAGAGCACTAGGCTACAGTCCGTAAGGTCCTTAACCGCCTACGAGCCTATAGACTGTATTACAAGCCTTCTAAATGCACCTTTGCTACTAAGGAGGTAGCCTTCCTTAGTTTTATCGTATTAACTGATAGTGTTAAGGCTAATCCTAATCGGATCAAAACAATTACTAAATAGCCTATTCCTACGTCTATTAAGGAGCTTTAATCGTTCCTCGGCTTCGCTAATTTCTACCGCCGTTTTATTAAGGGCTATTCGAGGTATATAATGCTATTAACTGAGCTTACTAAGACTAAGGCAAACCCTTCTAGAGAGTTTAGGTAGACTAACAAAACGCAAGCCGCTTTTAACGGTCTAAAGAAGCGATTTACTAAAGTCCCCTTATTATACTATTTCGTGCTAAGCAAACAGATCCGAATTGAGACTAACGCTTTACAGTTCGCTATATTAGCTATTATGTTACAATAGGCTAATAACACCTACTAGCACCCGATTGCCTTCTTCTCGAGGAAGATAATTAATACTAAACGTCGCTATAAGACCTACGAGCAAGAGCTCTTAGCTATTGTTAAGGCCTTTAAGTATTAGCGCTACTATCTTAATAGTGCTTAGCATACAATTCAGGTCTATACAGACTATAACAACCTCCGTAGCATTACTAAGGTTACTAGGGTTATAGGTCGGCAGGCTAGATAGGCCGTCTACCTCGCCGGGTTTGATTTTAATATGTTATACCGGCTAGGCGTAAGTAACCCTGCCGATAGCCTATCGAGGCGACCTAATTACGATAGCGAGACCTAACACATCAATTCTTTGTTTCTAACCCTATAGTATAAGATTACTATAGCCTGTATTATTAATAAGCAAGCGTAGGATAAGCGGACTTCCGGACCCCGCGGCGATAACAAATACTATAGCAGAGTTGTCGTTCTTCTAGTATACGTTAAAAGAAAGGACGTAGATCGCTCGAGCTATAATAACTCGATTAAAGACATTGCTATCTATAGTAATAGCCTATATAGCGACAGTACTATAGAAGAGGTTGTAGTAGTTCCGGCTGCTAGTGCTATTAGATGCATATAATACGTACCTCGTTCGACAGTATAGATACTATTAAATAACCTTGTAAATAGGGATAGTTAATCGTTTATAGATAAGCTGTTGCGTGCTTAGTAGAGGGACGCCTTTGCTATCGAGCGTATTAATAAGCTTGTAAGTAGGCGGGCGACTCGATCTAGTAAGAGTAACAACAATTAGTCGATCGACGACAAAGGTTACTTAAAGTTTAAGGGCAGGTATTATGTCCCCGCTAAACAATCGATTAGATAAGAGCTTTTAAAGAGGCACTATAATAGTAAACTCGCTAGTTACTATAGTATAGAGAGGTCGCACGAGTTACTATCGCGTATATACTACTAGCTAAATAGTAAGCGGCATATAAAGGAGTATATACAGACCTATATAGTATGCTAGCGAGTTAAAGCACTAAAGCACTTACTATTTAGCGAGTTGTCTTTACTCCCTGTTCTAAAGAAGCCTTTTGTAGAGCTTATAATAGACTTTATTATAGGTCTTCCCCCTACTAAGCGAAGAGGAAGCAAAGACGTCTTTAACGCTATACTAGTTATTATAGACCGATTTACTAAGGGTGCTCGTTACATTCCTACTCGAAAGGATTAGACTGCTATTAATATAGCTAAAGCCCTATAGAACAACATCTTCTATAGCTATTAGGGGACCCCTAAGGGGATAGTCTCCGATAGGGGCTCGATATTTATATCGTACTATTAAAGCGAATTATGCCTATAGCTAAGACTAAAGCATCGGCTATTAATAGCCTTCTATCTATAGACTAACGGTTAGATAGAGAGGCAAAATGCTACGCTATAGTAGTACCTACGTAGCTATATTAATAAAGACTCTAATAGATAGGTTGACCTTCTATAACTAGCCGAATTCGTATATAACAATAGTGTGCATTTATTAACCAAGGTCTCACCCTATATAGCTATAATAGGCTAGAACGCTGCTATACTACAAGACCCCCTATCGCTCGAGGCCGAGCGTAAGGAAAGGGAAGCGCGTTAAGTACCCGAAACACTAGCGGCTATTAAGAGGGTTTAGAAGATGCGGGAAATCTATGCTAAGATAGCCGAGAAGTTAATAAAGGCTTAAGAGTACTAAAAGACCTACTACGACAAGCACTATACGCTAAGGACCTTTAAACAAGGCGATATAGTTATACTAAGCACTAAGAACCTCCGCATCCGCAAGCACCTATTACCTAACGGCAAAATAAGGCCTAAGCTCGCACTAAGATACATTAGTCTATTCCGTATTCGAGAAGTTAAGGGCTCCTCCGCATAGGCCTATTAGTTGTAGCTTCCTCCTTATTATACTATCTATAATACCTTCTATATATCCCTCCTTAAGCTATATTACCTACGCGAGGGGGATAAAGCCCCTGCTAAATATAAAGATATACTAGCGGATAGTAAAGAGCTGTAGTCTATAGAACGTATTCTAAAGCACTAGACTAGGCAAGGCAAGAAGGAGTACCTATTAAGATAGCAAGGCTATTTACCTAAATAGGACTTATAGGAAGCTAAAGGTTCCTTTAAGGATATAACTAAGTTGTTAGATAAGTATTAGACTAGTATAAAGAACAAGAAGAAGGCTAAGGGCCTATAATGTTACCTAGGAACAATGCTACCCCCGGGGTGCTATTAGCTAACTAATTAGAGGCAAGTAATTGTTAGCAACAAAGGACAATAAGACTATACTACTATAGAATCTACCTCTTTACTAGCGTACCCTATAAGACCCTTCTCTTAGCGCCCCTCTTGTTCCTCTATTCTATCGAGGCCCTAAGGCCTAAGCGATCGATAAGGGCGATACGCGCGCGCGTACGAATAACGGTAAGGAAGATAATAGCGTCGCGCTACGAGCTAGCGAAGGACGGCGCGGCCGGCGCGGCTATATTAGTAACAGTGTTACGGGGTGTGTTACTATTCGAGAAAAGAAGGACACCGCTATGTTAGTAACGGTATTACTAATATTGTTGTTAGTTAAAGAAGGAAACCGGAAGCAAGGTAAAGTTAGCGCTAAGACGGCTAGCGCCGCTATTGTTAATATTACCTAGTCGCTACTGTTATTAACCTTACCTACGTTAAAACTTTAAGGTACCTTTAATTAAAACTTTAATTAAACTTTGAGGCTAAGTTAAAACTTTAAGCCGCTTAAAAGATTAAGTAGACTAATAGACTAACTAACTAAGGGCAAAACTATAGAGCTAAGCTAGCTAGGATCGATCTTGCGGACAATAGGTTACTCCTCGATCTTTCTAACCTTTTAAGCGAGGCGAACCTTAACTACTGTACTTATAATAGCCTTTACCTATAGAAACTAGACGAGCTGTGTTTTTTCTGAAAAGTAAATAATAGCCCTCGTAATAATAAGAACAAACCCTCGGAAGCGGACAACCCTCGGAAGCGGACATTACTAGGTCTTTTAAGAGTAGACGCAAAGAACTCGATACGACATTACTTAGAACGGAGGCAGTGCTACAATATCCCGTATACCTACCTATTATAGTAGGGAAGGTGCGCTCGTATTATAATTAGTCGATAGTCCTCAATTCTTATAGCTTTATATCCCTTTACTTTATTGTATATAAGGATAGCGTAGTTAGAGTTAGACATTATATTAGAAGGTAAGGTTTAATATAGTTATATAATTAGGTAGTTAAGTGTTCAATTCAGCGCGGACTAAGTAGCTTATTAGACTTGCTAAGTTAGCGGCAATAGAGGTCGTAGAACATAGATAGGCTACGAGGGCGCGGCCTTTAGAAGGGAAGCGTATATTAGGGCTAAAGAGGCTATACGTGATTGGCATGTGACTAGGCTAAGTAAAGCTAGGGTCTTAGTGCCTTAGGCAGGGCTTGGCGCTTAGCAATAGGCTAACTTGCCTGCCCTCCTCCCTCTCCTCCTAGCTCCTTATCGAATACTACCTATACCTACTACTACCCTATCTACCTGCTAACAGACCCTTCTTATATATAGGTATAAGGAGCTATACTTAAAGAGGTACTGTCGCCTATGTTTAATATACTAAGAATACTAGCTAAAGGCCGTAGCTTAAGACGTAGAATTAGGTCGCTATTCGAGTTTTTAAGTGTCTCTATTATTAGCGCCGCTAGCGAGGCTCCGAGCATACTAAGTCCTGCTAGGTTTGTAAGCGCCGGAAGCGACTTAAACGCCGTAATAAGCGCTATAGTAAAGGAAGTTAAGCTAAAGATAGTATATTAAATAGATGCTATCTAGTCTAGTATCTAGGCCCTATAGGCGACGATAACCGCTTCGTTACTATTAAGGCCGTTACTATTGTCTTAAATAGAGCTTCCTTCTAATAATATCGTTATAGGTAGTTAAACGGACCCGATAGACAATAATAACGATAGCGACGGCTTCGTAGACTTTAATACCCTCGACGATAAGGTATTCTCGTAGATAATTTAATATATTAGTATTAGGGTTAGGTTTAGAGTTAGGGTAAAGCAGTTATAGTCCTTCTTATTGTTATAAATATTGTAATTACTTAGTTAATATCCTCTTTTATAATTGCCTATTCGAAATCGTACTCTAGTTCGGTACGAGAGCGCTAAGAGCGTCGTTTTCTATATAAATCGCAGGGTTTAAGCTCGGTCGATAAATCCGGTTTCGATTACTAGCAGCGCGAGGTAAAATAGGGCAGGTATAGTAGTATATAGCTCGAAGCGACGCGGAAAGCCGAGTAGTATCGCTTAGTAAGCGGGCTCCGACAATCTTCGACTCGCTACGTAATAACGCATTACTCGTTTTTATTTATTTTTAGACGATAGTATACGCCGTATACTAAAGATTATAGCGTATACGAGAAGGTTTAAAAATAGTAATATTATTATTATATTTAGAGTCGCAAAGCATCGGTCGCGCTATACTATACGCTAGTGCGGATATACCCGTATCTAGCTATTTCCTAACCTACGACTTCTTCTACCTGTTTCTATATTCCTCTATTATATTAATAACCTTAATCTTATTAGTCTCGTGCGTTAGTATATCCGTACGACTATATCTAAACGAAGCGCCGCTATTAAATACCTCGTCGCCTGCTTAAAAGCCCGCTCTAAAGTGCCTACTATAGCGTAGAAGGTTACCGTTAGCTAGTTAAGCTAGATAAGGTACAGGTAGTAGATTAGCTAGGTATTCTCGTATACTCGGAGGCCGTATACCGTATAATCGACTAATCTTATTACTATAATAGCAGGTTAGGCAATTAGTAAGCAAAGTAGCTACTATATACATCGCTCTAACCGGCATTAACTCGACTCGCAATCTATAGAAATACTTTATTATCTCGAAGTTATTTACTACCTTAGTAAAGCCCTATTCTACCGCCTAACGTATAGCACTTATCTCCTTTGCCGCCGTAGCCTTACTCGCATTTCGAAACTCGCTATTTGTAGTTTTCTAGCTTCCTATAACACTATCGACTATATTATATGCTTAGTTACTATATAAGAATACTCGCTCTTCGAAGGGCCGAGGTAGCTATCTAGGCGGCTCGAAATACGACTTCTATACCTTATTAAATCCGCTCTCTAGTATTAGCGTTATATTATCGTAGGAGCTAGGTGCTAGACTATATAGCAATATTATGCTATCTAGAAGGACAATACCTTAATACTTAAGGCTATAGAAGTGCTTATAGCTATTATAGAATAGCCGCTAGTTATAAGTCGGTCTATAGTACTTCCGTAAGGTACTATTAATATAACTAAATACGTACTTAATATCGATTAATCTAGCGATAGTAACGGCTATCTACTATAGGTATTCTTTACTTAATCGATTGAAGTCCTATACTAATCGACCCTTCTAGCGCCTTACTAATTAAGTATAAGCAGTATTAAATACGATAGATACCTAACCCTTACTACGACTAAATATCTAGTATAGGTTGCGCTAATAGCCTAGATTTAAGAGCCTTCTATATACTATATATAGCACTATTGTTAGATCGTACCGTATACGGTTTAGCAGTTTAATAGACCTAATATCTAGCAATTTAGTTAATTCTAGCACCTATTACTTAGTAAAGCGGAAGTTACCTTAGAAGTTAGTATTAGAGTATGTTTCTAGTAACTACTGCTTATCCTTTAGATACTTTCGCGGCTCTTTATATAGCCTATTATTGCGAGCCTGTCTATGCTAGTATTTACGCTTAGTCTTATTATCTCGGCGAATAGCTAGATCTAGTAGATTGTCTACCTTAGAAGCTAATATAGCCGCCGTAGTTACTAATATTCTACTATAAATAGCCGCTATATCTTCTTCGAGTTTACTATCCGTCGAGAAGCCGTCCGAGTCGTACTACGCTATAGTATACTATCGCAATTAACGTCTATTCTATAGTGCTAATTATAGTAAGGTCTACGACCCCGGTCGCTTCTTAGCACCTCCTTTGCTTACTAAGCAATCGTTCAGTGGACGCTACTAAAACCTACTGCTAAACCTCAAATTAGCCGTTATTCTGGTTATTCACCTTCCGCCGCTAAAACGACGCTATTCGCGGCTTCTTACATATGAGAAACGGCCGGAAACCTACTGCTAAAGGTGCCTATTCCCGTGTCTTACTTTCTGATCTTCTCGTCTGGAATCCCACTGACTCCTGCGCTTTCAATGGCGTCAAAACACTGATTTGGCACGCTTCACAGACGCTTTTTGACGATGACGACTTCTAATGTATCGTGCAAATTGCTCGCTCTGCCTCGTGAGCTCAGAGACCTGATCTATCTCAACGTTATCGAGCAAAGGTTCGAGAGGCCAACAAAGACATGTCGAACCATACCTCCTCCAGGCACAGACGGACAGCTCTACCTCTGGACTGAAGAATGTACGTGGCAACGGCTGGGTTTAGTCGCGACATGCAAGCAAATCAGGGGAGAGACTCTGCAATTGACCAAGCACCTTGCTCGAAGTCATAGAATACGCTTCGAGCTTGATATCCTCGCAAAAGGCTATATCTACACTCCAAAGTGGACTCTCCTGAACTATAGTCTGCAGCCGGGCTCGCCTCTCGATTTGCATGTCAATCTACGCATTCTCAGCACAGAGGCGTTTCGGCGCAACGGCGGCTGGCCACGACAACCAGGCCATGCATTTCGAACACTACTCAACTTCCTATCTCGCTTCATCTTCAATGGCCCCAGTTTCTTGCATCATGACCCGGCCTTCTCGACCCCAGGCCCACACTATATTCACAAGCTGTCACTTCGAATAACGTTCCAGGACGATTATACTAGGGCCACGCATGCTGAAACTGTGCACGAGATTTTTCGAATGATGAAAGCGCTTTCCATGCTGGACACTGTGACACAGTATATTGGGAACCTAGTAGTGACCGCGGACTGGACTGTTCGAGGCGAAGATTTCCATCGTGAGAGAACATGGAATCTGAGTACTGCATGTCACGATGCAGATGGCATGCTCGACGAGGACGAATGGGCTTCCGCGGGTTTCCTGTTTGGTAAAGCGTGGGCGAGAAAGTACCGCTGGACGGGCGATAAATCGAAGACGCATCTGCTTCATGACTATAATTGATCGCTTTGAATGGGCAAGCCGTGCTTTATGATGCGATTGTGCAATGTGTAAAGGGGGTTCGGAGTAGGGTTGGCAGGGAAGACTATAAGACCAAATCAGTACTTGGAGTTGAACATACAGAAAGGGGATCATGATCAAGATGTGGTAATTTAGGGACCGAATTTGTATCGGGTCATGCTGTATCAAAGCCACACTATACTGCCTGCTGATGCATGTTGCTGGACGCTCAAATTGCCAATCCGCCGTCTCATCATAATCTGTACGTACCGTTCGTCAGAACGACCTCCTCGCATGTCAGTTGCGGCTTGCGCAGCAGAGTATTCCGGCTATATTGCGGGCTCGCAGGCCCAGTCTCTCCTCTCACATGTACCCAGCTCCGCAGATGCAGATACAGGTGACAATACACTGTATCTGTAAGCCTAGAGCCCTGCAAAGCGGCACTGACTGCGATTCAATAGGAAAACCGATCCTTTTGACATATGGCCATGGCATTCCTGATCGCTACTCCTGGCACATTGCCAGTACCTTGTTCGTAAGTTCTCAGGTGCGAGTCCGCTGGATCGCTGGTCTGGTTCCCTGCCTTCTTTTGCCCATGCGTTTTCGAAATCGCTTAATTTCTGTTTCCACCATTCTTCTCACGTGACGTCCATGTTCTCGTCTTCCCGCTTTGCAAGTTTGGGGCTGGAGCTAGAAGCGGCCTCCTCGCTTTCGGCCAAACTACTGGTGTCAGAGGAAGCGCTACCCGCCTCGATTTCATAGCCATCCGCACGGTCTACCAAGCTCGAATAGTACTCCTCCAAGACCTCTGGTTTCGGCACAATCTTCCACTGCACTCTTTGCAAAAGTTCCAGTTCGAGAGTCGCCAGTTCCGACACGGGAATGCCTCCTATCCGTGCATAAGTAGGGTTAGTCCAAAAAGAATCACTGAGCCCCTTCGCTGCTACGGTTGCCGCCGTGATAAGAAAACGGTGGACCGTGAGGCTGTTAATGGTGAAAGCTGGGTATAATGTGCACAATCGATCAATATAGTACACCATACTGAGTAATATCGGCGGTGAAAGTGTTGCATGTTGAATTAAGCGCTGGAGGTAGTCAGACACGCTTATACCTGGTGGTGCCCGGGAATGAAATCTAGTCAATCGTCCGTCGCGCAAGGGTATTCTGTCGTTGATCCGGATGAGCTCCATGAGCATATTAGAAATGAGCACACCCAAGTCTTTAGGGCTGCAGGTCTCGTACTTCAGCGGCATGATCTTTGAGCTTCCGGGTACTGCTTTGGATCTCTTGGGCGCGGCTGAGTGTCCATGAGTCGAGCGGGCCTCCTGAAGCTCGGGGTCTGTGTTTGAGGGTGTACTTGCGCTGCCAACAACGCGAGATCGTTCGTCTCTAACTCCCGGCTCGTTGGGCTGAGCAGAATGTGGCGCGCCAGAGGAGGCGCTGGCGCCGCTCATGGGCTCGGGAGACGAGTCCGGCGGCGGAGCAGCCTCTTTGCGCTTCCTCGTGACGGTGACGGTGGCAGTAGAGGGTGGATTACTGCTGCTGCCGCTGGCCGCCGTCCTGCTCCCCACCGGCCTGTCCACAGCCGCTGCAGCCACCTTTGCTGTTGGTGGGAACCCGTCCGGCGAGTACTGGGTGCCAGCATCCACGTAGCCCGCTCCACTGCCCGCTACCGGCTCACTTTCGAGGAAAGACTTGTGTGGCTGTTGAGGCGCGGAGGATGTGGCCGGTGCATTGAACGGGCGAGAGTATGAGGCTCTTGGTGAGACACGATTGGCGGCCGGAGAGCGGTGAGCAGGCACGAATGCACGGGGACTGCTGTGGTGGAAGGAGGAGCGCGGAGACAGAGACGGTGACGAAGTCAAGGCACCTGCTGTAGACATTTCGTGTACAACAGCTTAACCCGGTCGCCTTGGTCAGGGTACGCGGAGCGCATGGTAATTCGAGGAGGAGCCACTGATTGGGCGGAGCTGGTGCGCGCGACAAGGGCAAGCAGGTCGATCTATAATAGTGATTATTGTACGCAGGCGAAAAGCGTGCGACGACCGTCCTTATACAACCTTGAAGTAGCGGCGCCAATTGACGCGTAAGGACAAGCACGTGGCACGCAGACGCCGGTCGGCTCGACCACAATGGGAGCCTTGGCGCCCGCCGCCGTTTCGTTCAGGCCGAAGTAAGGTGGTGCATGTTGAACACCACAGCATGGCCACGATGTCAGGATGGCGAGAGTCCACGTGAGAGAGACATATATGATTGAGTGAAAAGTTCCCATTAATCAGCATTTGCTGCTGTGCCGCATCATCAACGACTGACTACGCTTCCCATGTGCAGGGTACTTGTGCACACCAGGGAGTGGAACGAACGGGCGTCGACTGCTTCTACCTTCAGAACCATCCATTATGCGTCCATCAGCTCCAGATCCTGCTCTCTCAGCGTCTTCGCAACCGTCATGTCCATACCATGCATTTCCTTGGCAAACCGACAATTTACCCCATTTATGCAAGCAATGCCCTTCTGTGGGCCCTCTGTCTGCTTCGGATAAGGGCAATGGTGGCCATAGATGCAGTCCAGCTCGAGACAGGCAGTGCCTTTCTTGCACACTGTCTCTCGGGCCACAACACGCAGCCACTTCCGATCTTCCGCTGATAAATTGAGATCATGGCGATGCGGGCAATTACGATTTCCAGCCTGATAGTGACAGCAACCGCGCCCAATGTAGTGTTGATTGCATAGCTTGATCTTCTTCAGACTAAAGACCTTTTCGTGGTCGTATTCCATCTCCACATCAATTCGCTGGTCGTCCTTGTTGAGCAATACCGCAGGTCCTGTTGGTAAAGGTTCTGCCACCTTCTTGGTCAGATCCTTGTAAGGCAGGTGTGCGGAGCCCTTCGCGATATTAGCCCAACCTCCGCCGTTCGGGGTCGAAACAGATGGTGCGGCTTCAGACAATGCAACGGAGCTCATAGAATTAGTTCGCGTGAGGTCGTTGCGAAGAGGTCCCAGAGCATCGCTAGCCAACGTCTTCGGGCTGAATGCTGGCGTTGTCGGCGCCGGTGTCTGGCTTGGTGGAGTGAACACCGCACTGTTCGGATTGAAGACGTTCAGGTTGTGCTTAGAGTCATGACGCAGTCGTGAGAAGTCTGCAGTAACGAGGTCCACCGAGTTGACGACGATTTTTGAGTCGCGGAAAAGACCAGGAAACTTCTGCTGTTGATAGGGTAAAGTTCGAAGTTCTTTTTCGAATGGCACGCCTTCCAGCAGCGTGACTTTTGCGACAGTGGCATCGTCGTGGGTGTATCTTTCAAGGTGCCGGGCGAAGCCATTGTCGTGACTGCAGCCGAAAAGGATGTGTCGGCACTGGTAGTTGTGGACTTCGTGCTTGAAATTGGCGATAACCTTCCCATCGGCGCGGTCTTTACCGTATCCAACGTCGATAACGTCAAAGAGGTCGTCTCCGTACGTAAAGCCACGGAGGAAATCTTCGACAATGGTGACAGAGCTGACCAGACGTGCACGCACACAAGTCTGAGCAAGGCCGCTCACGTTCGTATACAAACGAGCGGCAATCCGGAGATCCTTCGGCATGCCATCGAGGCTGGCGAGATATTTGGCGGCCGCCGACTTCAGTTGGCGAGCAGCCTTCTTTCCACCCTCTTCGCCGAGACGAAGGAGATCTGTATTGAAGATCATACTATCACCATCAATCAAGATCATGGCAAATGCGTCGCGCGTCTACGAGACAGTCAGCTCTGATAACATCTTCGAGCACAGCGCAAGCAGCAGTCACCCAATAACAGGATCATCGCCAGATCACGGGTTGTACTCACCAGAAGATCAAACAACTTATCGCAGTGTTCTCGCCACGCCGTAATTTCTTCGGTCTGGGAGTGGGTTGCCGACGCTGCTACCAGGCACTCACTTTCACGCTTGTACTCCTCGAACACTTGCGTGAGATGGCTGTATCGAGTGAGCACGTCTTCAAGCAGATTATTCTTGATGTTATCGGTATTCTTGAGGAAAGTGAAGCGGTCCCAGAGGCCTTGAACATGTTCGCTTTGGCTTCCACCGACCGCCAAGCTGGCAGTATTTGCGGTCGCTCCGCTTGTCACGCGACTTGGCGCGGAATCGGTCGTCCAAATGCTGTTGGAGGCGCTGCGGCCAAGACCAGTCGCAGAAGTGGCAGAATTGGCCAACGAGGTAGAGCGGCGAGGAGTGCCGATCGGATCTTGCGCCATTCTGGTTCGGTATCCTGGTTGCACGTCTGGTGTCGACGTGCCGATTGCTGAAGGAGCCAGTTTGATGAAGTTCTGCGAGTGCAGTGATGTTGATGAAAATCAATATTTTAGCGCGAAGTAAAAATGTTGGTGAAGCTGGAAGTTTGGAGGCCGCTCTGCGAGAAGAATATGGCCGCCCGCGCAGATGGCCAGAGCTGAGCTGAGAGTGTCTCGTCGAAGATTGAGTCGATGGTTTCTGTGCGTGGAAAGTGCGTGCTTCTTCTTCACATGCGCGTGGAAGGGGCGATTTGAAGTGTTCGAGGTTGCCACGGCCCCTGCCGCTTCCGCAGCCAACCCGTAATAAGCTCCGCCGTAATGTCACAACCCTGCCTTCTGAAAATGAATGCTACAAACGACGTAAACGGACCATGCACCTATCCTGACCCCGATTCGGTGGCGTTATAATCCATGTGCATCAATTGATGCACTATCAGCGCGACACTGCATATGCAGTCGTTGTGAAGCGTATCAAGGACAGGTCACAAAATGTTGAAAAGTCGGTGGTCTCGGGTCGGCTTGGCGTGCCAACGTTGTCTGTGTAACGATGAGACGTGTCTGTCTCGCCAGATGGGGGGTGCGTCGCTTGGATCAATCGGATGGCCCGCTCGTTGACGAGAGCTGCGGATGTGATGGAGCTACTGTATTGCGTTTGGTCAGAACCAGGCATTCGGCAAGTCAGCGTTCGTGCAAAAGTCATCTCCGCTATCCGCTCCAGATGCGTAATCCAACCACGGTAAATCCAGAGGCTACTCACCAACGCACTCTCGCTGCTATGGCCATCCGACGGAAAGGAATCTACAAGTGAGTCACGCTGTGAGGCAATCCGTGGCAATGTTCGCTCTACGAAGCAATTCAGACGCACTTGCATTCCGTTTCCTGCCTGCAATGCTTGGATCCTGAACCCAATCCCCACTTGCATTGTCCAAATTCTATGCTATGGTGCTTCATTAGCGACGAGATGAACCGGCGATACCCTATCGAGGCCAAGAATTAACTCACCATCTGTTTGTACCACATACACGCTTGCGTTTAGGGCGTCAGGCTGCCACCAACACTTCTCGCTGGTGTGTAAAGGTTAGGCTGTCTCCAGTCCGTTCATTCATTCTTCCATTCCTCGAATTCTTCCGCGAGATGCTCTTTCAGTTTCGCCATTTTCCTACCAAAGTTTTTACCGCATCTCCAACAACACATATCTTCCGGGAAATGGTTGTAATTCCTTCTGTGGTCATCCGCAGGGAGCGGATACTGATCGAGGCCAATGAAGAAGTCTGTGGTGAAAGATAGGTAGTGGTTGGGCTTCTTCATGGGGTCACTGACCATGTCACGGCTAAGCACATGTATGTGGAGGTGATTCATGGATGGATTGGCATGGGTGCCGGATATCACTTCCTTGGCCCAGTCTCGACCCGGTGGAAGTTCTGCAGGAGGGTCGTCCGACTCCATAGCCTGTATGCGTGCTTGCTCGGACCTCGAAAATTTACCGAAGCGTCGTCGCAACTCCTCTGCAACCATCTGCCGAACCTTTTGCTCCTCCTGTCGGCAATCCTCTAGGAATTGAGGATCCTCAAATGCCTCTTGTCCGCGCTGCACGTTGTTTGCCGGATCTCGGGGGAGAATTAAGACATGTACGGATGCTTTCGGGTAGAGGTCGTTGATGACAGTGAACTTGTCATTATAGTAAATCACTCGACTTTGCGGGAAGGAAGCTGGATCCACGGTGTAGGCAGCTAGGCCATCACCGCCGAAGAAAGTGGTCCGCTTGCTAGGTTCATCACGGTTCTCCTTGGTAGGCTGAATCTTTGGCTTCGCCCTCATCAACTCTGTGACTTCAATCATTATCAGGATCTGGTAGAGGACGAAGGAGACTTTTGCATACAGGCATTGGATTTTCGCGACTGTGGAAATTGTTCTGTTGGCTGCTTTTCCGGTAATGCTGTGCTTGAAACATGGTCCTCGTGTCCCTGCTCGAAGTCGTCTGCGCTCGCCCGCTTTGCAGCCATTGCAGTTGAATGAGGGACTCTGACTCCGTGCAAAGGTCTCATTTGGGAAGCCACAATGCGCACATGTGGAGGAGGTAGCATGCGACAAACATGTGAGTGAATGACTGTTGGGAGCAAGCGAGAAACAACCTGTAGTAAGCTCCCTAGCCTCGTACACAAAGAGCCCCTCTCTAGCCCCACCAGTGCCGCGATCGGACCGGGCAATTGGTGCGGCTCGAGCACTTGACGAATCAGACCCACCCTGCTTCGAGAACGGGAGAGGCAAAGCTTCCGAGCTTCCGTCATCGCCATCATCACCATCCATGTTGCCATGATCACCCTCCGTCGCGTCACTGCGCGTCTTCCATTTTGAGACTTTATTATCAGTACACACATCTTGTCGCATGCACCTTGGACTGAGAATGCTCCCATGACCATACACTGCTGGTCAAGACAACCATGCCGTCTAAGAGAAAGCAACAAACGCGCCTGACCTTTTCGCCATTGCTGTCCTCCTCGCCTGCTTCCAAAGACTACAACAGACAAATCCGCGACCGCGCAGCAACGGTCACAATCGAAGGGTCGCCAAGTCCTGCTAAGCGTCGCAAAGTGAAGGACCGCAGACTAGATCACTCAGAGACGCTTCCGTCAGACAATGACGGCAGTGTCTCGATCGCTGCAGCAGTTGCCTCAGCGGACGGCGCGATTGAGAGGGACGACGACCCTATCAGATCTTCACAGCGACGTCTCACTGCTGGCCGAGTGAAGTCGCGCTGTAGGCAACAACGACTGGACTTCGGCAATTCAAGACACGCTTCTTCCTTCGACGCACCCGTAAAGCTACCTTCGTCTTCCGCGCGCACTCAGTCCACCAAGGGCGGCACAATGTTCTCCTCTCAAGTACAAGGGCGCATGGTTGAGCTCTCTAGTGATGACTCTGATGGCAATCTGCCATCTCCACGCAAGATCATGAACAAGACAAAAGCGAAGAGCAGAGGGAAACGGAGCACATTGAAAGCAGACGCGCAACAAGAGGAGGTAGACAGCGATGAAGACGATATCGTAGCACCGAGTCGGCGAAGCCAGAGGCCCAAGGAAGGCCCTCTCACGCGCAGTTCACGAACGGACGTTCTAGTGGATTCTGATGACGAGGGTATCATCGCCAGAGCCCCACGGCCAGTGCACGTCAGCGATAACGAGGAGGAAGAAGACGACTTGCCTACAACCGCCGGGACTCAGCGTCGTCAGAGGAGACGGTTGCCGAAAGACGACTTCATTGTAGAATCTCCCACGCCTGAAGACAGCGACGGAGATCTTGTCGAGATCGAAAAGTCTTCAAGAAAGCGACGAAGATCGCTGATCGAGGGCAGTGGAGACAGCGATAGGACACCCAAGACTCCCAGTCGGCGACGCATTAAGCGTTCGCGACGAGCGACCCAGCAAGAAAAAGACGACCTAGCAGAAGACCTAGACTTTCTCGGTCCCAGCAGTGATGTGGAGTCCTCCTCGCGACCGGCTCGTAGCACGCAATCGGCACACATGAGCGCTCGGGAGAAGGCACTGGAGAGACTCAAGCGTGCTCGAGGTGCGAATCTTGGACAGGTGCAGGAAGAGGAGGAAACAGCAGGAGAAGGTTCCTCGGCAGACTCTGTCGATGAAGCCAGTGGCAGTGATGATGTGATTGGGATGGATGATGACCATGACGCCGATGAAGACGGAACAGCTGCTCCTAGATTTCTGTCTTCGCGCCAGATGTTCAAAGAGGATGCTGAAGATGCAGACTTCCTCGCAGAAGATGGCGATGACACTTTGGGCGCACCGGAAGACGTCCCGATTGAATTCACGAGATATGCCTCCATGAAGCCAAAAGAGCTGTTCGAGTTTGCGGTGGAGTGGATGGTGCAGAAGAAGATCAACCCAGCATTCCAAAAAGACGACCCTCTGTACAAGCTCACATTTAAGAAGTTGGATGACGAGGTTCGTGGTCTCGCTGCATCCAAGTTCACGTCCTCGGCATGGACGGCAGTCTTCACGACTGCGCTGAATGCGCGACCCGAGATGCGCTTCGATATGATTGATCGAGCTTCAGCTGAGCATTGGATGAGGGACAAGTGTGATGCCTGCAACCGGACGAACCATCCAGCGACGTATGAGATCCAGTTCATTGGCAAGCCATACCATCGAGACACTCTTGAGGATATTGACAACGGCGAGGACGACGAGTCTGATTCTGACTCTGACACATCTCAATTCGGGGGAGAAGGCCGTCAGGACTGCGACGGGAACGGCGTCCAGGTCGCTTCGACGGACACTATCTTCTACGTAGGCAAATTCTGCTGCGCCAATGCTCGTACCGCACATCAGCTTCAGCACTGGAGATTTCATCTGAACGCGTACGTGGAGGTGTGGCTAGAGCGTCAAGGGTATGGTAGAGCGGAGGAGTTGTCCAGGCGTGACAAGTGGAGCACTAGGAAGAAGCGCAAATACGCCAACAAGATTCTGGACCGCATGAAGCTTGAAGGCGAAGTGAAGGTGCTTTGGAACAGATTCCGCGAGTCTATCGAGGAAGCCAGGAATTCAAAGCAAGGCAGATTCGAGGCCCTCACTCCTTAGATACTTGGTTGGAAAGAAACTTCGGATTGACTCTCAAGATTGTAGACAGGTAGGACCAGTCTGTTTCCTTGTATTGGACCGACCCTCGCACCATCGCGGTGGTAGCATGAGCGGCATTGCTCCTTCTCTCAAGCCAGCAAGTGGGTCCGTGGCAGGAAGGTGCCTTGAACGTTCATTCCTTCTCAGATCCTACTCACACCACACCACACCACACCACGCAAACAACCTCTTCCACAAGATTGACTTGAAAGCTGATTTGGATCGCCACGATGGCCGCTGATGACAAGGACATTGTTTGCCCAAGTCCCAGGGCAATGGCATTCGCAATATCTGTCGTGCGCTCAAAGCCGCCTGAGCTTGCAGTAGCAGAATACATTCGACTTCTCCGACAGCACATTGCTCAGGGTCGCAGAGAAAATGCGCTTAGCTCGGTATATCGTCATCTCGACAGGTCTGCCTTTTGGCGTTCCGAGTTCGAAAGAACGAAAGACGCCCTTCACGCTTCCGAATCACAAGCTGTGGATCTGCAGCTAGAGATTGAGAAGCTGAAAACGAAAATGGAGCATTTGAAAAGCAACGCACCGAACAAGAAGAGAAAGAAACAAGACATTGACACCATTCCTGTCCCACGGTCGCCCAAAAGGCCAAAGCGGGAAAGCTCACCGCCGAGAGCGCTGTCCGCTGCTGTAGACTTCTCCTTTGAAGCTGAGTATCATGGTGCCGGCAAGATCGGTAAGTCAGTTCTTGTGCCAAACATCTGCGGTGGCTAATTAGATAGGCAACGATCTCTTGCACAGTGTCTATTCTATGATCACAGCGTCCAAAGGTCACCACAATCTTGATGAGAATGAGATCGCCCATCACTTGCTTCGAGCGACGTCCGCTCTACCACAGATCATACAGCGCGAGGTAGAGAGAATCACGGCCGAGGGAATGTCAGACAACAATCTCTTGGGCAATGCGTTGACTGTTTGCTCCCGAGCTGCTAGCGCTGTGATCGTGGCATACAGCAAGCTGAGTCCCTCTTCGGGCATCGCAGGCAAGGCTACGCATGCTGTCGTCTTGATGTTCAAGGACTTTCTGCGAGACTTTGAACTCGTATCAGTCGGCGAAACCAAGAACGCGCCTGATTCAGATCGAGATGCCAGCGCTTCTCTCCCGACAAAGCCTAAGGGCAAGGCTAAGGCCGGTCATTTCACAAACATCAGGTCAACGCCCCGCCTCAGCCTGTACGCCAACTTTCTTGCCAGTACGATTGACAGATTGGACCCAAACAACGAGATGCACAAAGCTTTATACGAGGGCTTCGCTTATTGTCTGCTAGAGAGACTGGGCGACCGCTTGTACACAACAGTCTTCGGGCAACGCAGGGCTCCGACACTCGAAGATGAGATCCTGAGAGGTGCCGCAGTGGACACTTCGAACGAGGGCGAAGCAGCGAAGCATTCCAGCAGCACCAGCGAATGTGAAGAGACGCAGATGCGGTTGGAAGCACCCTATCTCATTCATCTGCTTAACCGCCTGATGCTGTCAGCCCCGGAATTCCTTGGCTCTAGCAAAGGAAGAAAAAACAATGCCAAGTCCGCGACGAAGATGTCTCTGTCCCTGTCGGCAAGAGAGAGCCTGCAAAGAACCCTTGTGAATTGCGTCTTTGGAGTGCGAGAGGAAGGCGACGATGACTTGTTCAAAGAATGCTTGAAAATGCCGCATGCTCGTATGGACTCCATACCGCTACCCAAGATCAAAGAAGCCAATGTGCAGGACTGGTTCAAAGACGAGCTTTGGCGGCTGTTGGGATGGGAAATACTTGCCAAGGAAGGAGAATGGTGAGGACGATAGAGCGTCGAGAGCGTGATGTTCAATGAGCTAGCTCTCTGACTCTGCGGGGTCAACCTTTTCCCTTTGCTCAGTCGAATGTCGAGGGCTTTCCAGTTGTCACAGGAACAGAATGTAATGATATACTTTGCAAGATCACCTATCAAAGAAGTGATCAATTGTCGCAAAATGCAAGCAACGTGAACGTGAGTTCAACTCGAGAATGTCCAAAGGGTGGCCAGCGACGGAGAGCCAAACAACCATTGTTCTGAACAAGTACTCCGGAGTCCATGGTAGACTGTGTCGACGATGTAAGGATTGCATTCAAGATGCAAAATAACGGTTGGCCCGAATATTGAGAAGCGCAAGAAGAGGAATGAAGCAAAAGTTCAGAGGTCCTACCCGGAATCCTGATACACTGTCAGAGACTGCAACGTACAACAGGCATGGTGCGGATGTGCACTTACGAACCGGGGTTACCGGAAGACTGAAACTGTATATCAGAATCCGAGGTGCTCTACAGCATGAGAATTAGTACCTGATAACCAAGTGTCGGATCGAGAGGTTGTACGTACAACCGCTACACCTTTTCAAGTGGTTAGCCAGTGATTGCAAAGATCGACTTGTGGTTGGAACTCACTATAGAACCAAGCGCACGCTCGAGGGCACGTGATATGTTGTCTTGTTTCTTTAGCTGTATATGAACCTCCAATTGCAAGACCGAGAATTCGCCGAGCTTTGAGTTCGTTGGTCTGGAAGATGATAAAACGAGAGCCGGTATGTTGACCTTTGGAAGCATTCTCACCTAAGGTCTAACTAAGCTCATCTCAGATGTGCTTATGGGGCACAGTGAACTGCCATGACAGCGCTAGTCCCAACAAGCAGCTGTTGCAATGCGGGTATCATCCACCATGAAGCGTCGAAACAAAGACAATGTTGTCCCCGGGTTGTAACTCATACTTGTCCTCGCCCTCCAGCTCCCAGTCGGCATCATTGATCAGTACAAGTATACCAGGTCGTCTTCGAGAAATCAGCTGTAGGCACTTCTGGGCGTGGAATAGCTTGTCCTTACACAGAATCATCCAGGACGAACATGTCTTTCCGCGGATCTTTCATAAGGTTGTCGCATAGCCATGCAATGAGAAACGCTACGCTTGAAGGTTGCCCTTTGGCATCTCGCGCTGATATTGAGACTCTGTGCTTGCGTTGGTTGGAAAAGAGCAGCTCAAGCCCGCCGCTGAAATGCTTAGAGATGGGACCAGAGAGAGGGTTGAAGGAAAGAGACCTACGTGAATTCGACGGTGAGGTCTACTGTGTCTGTGTCTGCCATGGTGATTTCGCGTTTGGTGCTTTGACGCGGTGGAGTTGGATGTCGCGGCCGCGCGAAATTGGCAGCTGGCCCAAGCTTGCCAAGCCGAGAAAGAATCACAGCTTTCGGCGACAGAAAGCTCAGCGTGACAGGACAGGAAAATGGGGCAGACAAGCGTCGAATACATTGCCGCAGGAGGCAACCGGCACCCTTCCGCCGCGGACTGGGCCTCTGAACTGTTGGTGTTCGGCGCTGGCAGCAACATAGCGCTGTGGAATCCCGACGACGCAGACCATCGTGGAGTCACTGCGCTCTTGTCGGGCCATACCGACACGGTGAACGCGGTGAAGATTCTGCATCGAAACGATCGGCGGTTTATCATTAGCGGAAGCGCAGACAGGACGGTTCGACTTTGGGCTGCCTCAGACCAGACGCCTAATGGCTACCATGCGGCGCAGTGCTTGGCAGAACATACTGGCTCTATCAATGCAATTGCTACTCTTGCAGGCTCCTCGATCTTTGCCACCGGAGCCGCGGATGGGACCGTCAAGATATGGAGTCTGGAAAATGCCACCGCCGAGCTGATTCAGTCGATTTCGCTGACGCCTCGATATTTCCCGCTGAGCCTCGCACTGACCGCTCTATCCAACGATGTTGTCCTGCTTGCAGTCGCCGGCACTTCGAACAGCATACAGCTCTACGCAAGCGACCAAGTCAGCTATAACTTTGCGCTGCAGGCCACATTGAGTGGACACGAAGGCTGGATTCGGTCGCTGGACTTCACTAGAGAACGTCGCGACGACAGCACCGATGTCCTCCTTGCATCGGCCAGCCAAGACAAGTACATACGTCTCTGGCGCCTACATCAACCCCAGGGCGGAACTACAATCGACGACCTAGACACAGCTGGCATTGCTCTTCCTACCGGAAAAAAGTCTCTATCAAACAAAGCGCACCAGGTTGGTAACCCAGAGGCAAAATACAACGTGACGTTTGAGGCACTCCTCATTGGTCACGAGGATTGGATATATACCGCAAGATGGTCGCCGAAAGGAGACGAGACTGGAAACCCAGTACTACTATCTGCATCAGCCGATAATTCACTGTCCATTTGGCATGCAGACGCTGCTTCTGGTTTATGGGTCTGTAGTAGCAGACTCGGCGAGATCAGCTCTCAGAAAGGCTCCACCACAGCCACCGGCTCCACGGGTGGCTTCTGGATAGGCCTTTGGCGGCCGAGCGGGCAATCCGTTGTCAGCTTGGGTCGCACTGGAAGCTGGCGTAGATGGGTGTGGAGTTCTCCCAATCATGTGTGGCTGCAGCAGATCGGCATCAGTGGACATATCGAGGAGGTGCGAAGCCTGACTTGGGCTCCATCTGGCAGCTATCTCCTCACCACTGGCTCGGATCAGACCACACGATCGCTGTCCCCCTGGAGCAGGAATGGCAGGAGCTCATGGCACGAAACATCCAGACCACAAATACACGGCTACGACCTCAATTGCATCGCCGCCATCACTGAGCACCAGTTCGTCTCTGGTGCCGATGAAAAACTCTTAAGAGTCTTCAACAAGCCCAAGGCAGTCGACAGCCTCATGGCTCGGCTCGGCAACTTCTCACAATCAATGGCAACAGATTTACCAGACGCTGCAAACATACCAGTGCTTGGTCTGTCGAACAAAGCCGTTGCGACTGTGGACGATGATGATGCGATCGCTCATCTACAGAACGGTAATGCGGATGAGCGCGAAACCGTTGATCCTTCGGCTGTTATCCATAGATCCACACTCGATTTGCGCCAACCCCCTTTTGAGGACCATCTCGCCCGACATACTCTCTGGCCAGAACATGAAAAGCTCTACGGTCATGGATACGAGATCTCGACCGTAGCCACAAGTCACGATGGCTTGTTGATTGCAACTGCTTGCAAAGCAAGTGCAGTAGATCACGCCGTCATCAGGCTGTATGAGACCAAAGATTGGCGCGAGATAAAGCCGCCCCTGACAGCGCACAATTTGACTGTCACAAGTCTTGCTTTCTCACCTGATGACAAGTATTTGCTGAGTGTCAGTCGTGACAGACAATGGGCTGTTTTCGAACGGGAAAATGACAGTCCAGGACTTTACACCCTACATGCCACAAATCCCAAGGGCCACTCCCGCATGATCTTAGATTGTGATTGGGTACCATCAGCTGCAGGACCTGCTTTTGTGACTGCTGGCAGGGACAAGTCTGTGAAAGTATGGAAGCTGGAAAGCGGCAAAGCACAATGTGTAACTGCACTGTCCGCCAGCAGCTCTATAACTGCAGTCGCGGTATCGCAAACAAGCACGTCCATCCTCATGGCGTTTGGAACCGAAGAAGGAAATATAAGCATCGCCAAGCTGGATGCTGGGACGCTGTCGGTCGAAGAACGCGCTGAGATTGACGATGCCATCAGTCCTTCACGGGCCGTCAATGCTCTTCGCTGGAGGCCACGTGCAGAACCAAGAGTGACAGAGAGAGGGGAACAGTTGGTAGCAGGAAGCGATGACTTTTCTGTGAGGATGTACAACATGGCATGAAAGACAAGCGGCATGCTGTCGATATCTGCAGCTTCGAGGCCAACAAACATCATCCGTCACAAATTGAAGCCGATGGAACCATTTCCCACCAACGCCGAACTCCTGCCGCTAAGTCGACGACACGGGCGAAAAAATACTACAGCTCCCTCAAATTCCCAAGCAACGACCACAATAGGTCAAAATCCAGGACACATCCAAAGTGGCCGGGCACCGACATTAGTCTCTCGCTCAGGAGTTCTTTCATGGCGCTGCTCTCACGTCAGTCTCAAATACGTCCCTTTCAATCACAATACAGCACTTACGGAACCTGTTCTAAAGGACTTTGGCAACAGTCTTGATCTGGCCTTCCGGATAGACGAGCCGGAATCGAGTCCGATCAGATGTGATTGTGAAGCGTTACCGAAGCCAAACTTGCTAGGCTTCAAAGACCAATGGGTAGATGCATAGCACTCAGACCATCGCTCTCCCTTGGAGGATCTTGCGAGGGACGAGTTGCGAACTGGACTGCTGCACGGCGTCGGTGTATTTGAATCTTGGTAGGTCCTTTCATCATCGGTTACTCCAGAATCACTGATTTCCGTGATCTCTGTGACAGTGACGGTAATGTCTCTCGCTTCTCTGCATGTCAATCGAGCTCTTCGAGACTCTGCCATACCGGCCTTGGCCAGTCTGGACTCGACTTTCCGAACAATATACTCCATTTCAGATGAGCAGAAGTAGACCCCCAGTAAGTTGGGTTTGAGTTGGATGTTCCCGTAAAGCGCTTCGTTCTTTGTTGTGAACTACGAGGTGTTCACAGACTTGGTCGTGTGTACGAGGTTTTTGCTGATGTGGATCAAGCTGCTGGAGCACATCTCAGGGCGAGGGCGACTCCGAAAGCCTCATGCAAGCCATAGCGGGCTGTGCTGTTCGAGTAGTTGCCTGGTTGGTGGCTTGTCTTGGCGTAGCTGAAAGTACAGATTGATGTCTGCTTTTTGCAATGGCTTGCGCAGAGGCTGGCAAAGCGGTATGCACACATTCTACAGTATCGATCATACCTATCAGACACTCCTTCACACTCACAGGACTTCTTGCAATCGACAAAGATCATCCGCCAATATGCTTCCAATGGTTGCGACCTCTCACTCCGTCCCGGAAGTTTTTGGTTCCTTCATTCCGAGGATTCACGCCGACAGTGCCGCGCTTGCATAGCCATCCCCAACTTCATCCCGTTGAAAAGCTTCGATATCACCTGCTGTCAGTAGGCGTAATGGGAAGCCAGCATCCTGCGAACCATGTCGGAAATCCAAGGTAGACTACAAGACGCGAATGAGATGAAACCACGCTGAGTTGTGCACCTAGATCCGTTGCGATCACGAAAGGCCTACCTGTGGGCGATGTCTGCATCGCGGAATAAGCTCGAAGTGCTTCTACCATCCTGCTCCCTTGACCAGACCACGGGCATTCCCTGGACATGACCTCCACGGACCGCCTCATCGTGCTCCTAATACCCCCTCTTCAGCATTGGACTCTCGTTCTTTAGAGCATGACGTTGGCGGTTATGAAGCCATTGACGCTGCGCGAGAGATTGCCCGAGGCCGGGAGAGGTCTCTCTTCTCAAGTCCGGAGGACAGCAGTCATGCCAAGCACTTCAAGGCAGTGTGTGATATCCTCACTCACTTGCGGAACTTCACCTTGGTTCATCGGCTTGTCGAAGAATACTGTACGCATTCGCAAGCGGCACTTGTACCAGCACCCAGTGAGTCAAGCCAGCCTCACAACCTCTCTTTCATTAATACAGCCCAGCAATCATGAATGCATACAACACGCCTCCAAAGTCCCTGCGTCTCAAACAGGAATAGTCTGCTAATTAGAAAGACCGCGATATGCCGCAATTTGTTGACCGAGTTCCATCGCTTACAGTAATACTGCGCGCCATCCCAAATATTTCAGAGACGCTTTCCGCTCTCGATACCAGTGACGATCACGATTTCGAAGAGCGGATTGAGAGTCTCGCACACGATGTGCTCACTACGACTGCCCTTCCAATAGAGATGAGCTCAGACATGGAATGGACGGAGTTCGTCGACGTGCATACCAAGAGTAGCACTCGGTTGGAAATGATTGGTCTCATATACACCATTGCAGGCAAGGCCTGATTTGACCGGATTTCCTCAGACCTAACCAGTCGGCTTGCAGAGAACCATCGATCACCAGCTGGGCCGGACTCAATATGCCGCCCATGAAATCCGGACTGACACCGAGCATTGTCAAACCCGCTGTTGACTTGCGTCGATAGATCGAGAGCACCCGAGGCCAATATTGGTTAGTGATTGAGGATTAATATGATGAATGCTCAACATACCGCGATATTACGATCAAGGAATTATTATTCTGGGATGTGTACATTTGGAGGGTACAAAAGTTCGAGTTGCACACATTCAAAAGCTGAGAGAGATGCATAGTGCGAGACGGCCCTCGGACTGGGCGGAGTTCAATTCTCGGAATTCGCTATCGGTTGCAGCTGAACCTGCGATGCAACAACGCAAATTGATAACAATATTTATTGCATCATCATGAGACTTTTGCTGTTATTATTGATGTGGTATTGCTATACGCTGCTTTAGTAAAGCTCTAGTCAGAAGCTCCTGTGTTACCCTATTTTCCAGCAAAGTTTCGCTCGAAGAAGCCGCTTCTACTCTTGCACATGATTGGGAGCTGTGGCGTTAATTGCCCTTTCCTGCCTTGGTTAACAAGAGCTTGGTGAACTCCCGGATGGGTGATGGGTGAATGATGCTCGTAGCTCGACACCTGCTTGCGAGAGAACGAGGAAGTTGGTGCGAATGACGGAGCTCTTTTGAACATCTCCTCATGAAGAGGACCGCATTGCAATTCCGCTGAGGATTTTGCAAATTACAAGTCAACACTGCATCCAGCCGAGATCCATGCTGAAGAAATCCAAGGACCTGCCCCAAAGTGTTCTGCAACGCTCTTCCTGCTGGAGCTCATCCTGTGGGCGAAAACCTGGTGATCTTGTATAGAGCCTATCCTTTGGAAGCCGATGTTGGCTTTGATCCTATGCTTGGCTGCCTTGTCGCTCGAGTGGTAACACGTGCTAAGCGTGTTACAGACCATGAGGCCCGATGGCAAAAAAGGCAGTCCGCATCTGGCTAGTTGGACCAGATACTTCGAAATGGGGCATTCAATCCTTCAGCTGGGGCGGATCCGGCAGCGTTAGGCGCAGCTTTAAGGTGTCCAAAGCTAGGGGGGGGGGCTATCACCATGTCTCTCCGAGTCCAAGACCTTGAAATCATGAAATCATGTCTGAACATGGCATTAGCTGCTCGCGAAACTTGGCGGAGAAATGGATGCGCACCTGCGTAGCCCATTCCGTCAAATCCCTGCAAGCTTTTATGGCGAGTGCATTGCCATTTGCCATCTAAGCGCTTCCATTCGATCATTGACATACTTTGCTGAGCTACTCCCTCGTGTATGCCTGTGATCTCCTCGTTGACGCACATCTGGGCAGTTCCTGCGCCAACGTGCACCATCGTTGTCACGTCCACCAGTTTCACCGAGTATTCCGGGTTGTCCTTCGTTACGGAGCACAGCGTAGCGAGAAGTCCATGTATGTCGAGGAAGACTTGCTCATGCAAATACCCGACGCTGGCCACGAAGTCGGGCGCCATTTGACTCCAGGCTGGCGAGGGTAGGGTGAAGTCGCGAACGTTGATCGAGGTTGCGAAAAGTTGCACCTGGGCTTCGAGATAGTGCACTGTGGCGTCATGTTTCTGGTTGTTGGGCATGGCGGGTGCGAGGTATGGTGTCCATCATCGAGGGCGGCATTGCTGCAAGCAGACACTCGGAGAACTGACGGGGGTGCTGTGTGGTGCTAGAGCACCAGCGGTGGTGGGTTGGGTGGGCGGTGAGGACCTCGGACGTCTGGCTCTCCCAATGCCATAGTCTTTGCCGTGCAAATGAGTCACTGTATGTGTGCTGCATAGCCTCTGCGGCAATGCAATCGCACATGCCATTGTGCCATTCTTGGCGGTGATGATAATGTTTGACATAGCCGCCATCGGATGATTCATACTGACTCTCCCACTAGCGCGCCTCTGAGATCTTCAGCCCCACGTTCGCTTTTGCTTAAAACTCCAACCACGACCCCCAAGCTCGACGACACCATTCTGCGCACGCGATCAGACAACATCCCGACTTCCTCACCCCAGTACACAGACAGATTCGCCGCCTTACACAGTACTCAAGGGACACATCAACCACCCGCGCAACATCATGGCGGTCCGCGCCTCATTCGAGAACTCCAACGAGTACGTCAAGCTCTGCTCTGCTCGTTTACAAGGATACCGTAGCATTTCAGCTAACCAACAATCATCCAGAGTCGGAGTCTTCTCAACCCTCACGAATTCCTACTCTCTCGTCGCAGTCGGCGCATCCGAGAATTTCTACAGCGTTTTCGAAGCCGAACTTCAAGACGTCATTCCCATCTGCCACTGCACAATCGCCGGCACGCGCATTGTAGGTCGCCTCACGGCCGGAAACAAAAAGGGCCTGCTCGTACCCACATCCACAACCGATCAAGAACTCCAACACTTGCGAAACTCGATACCAGACGAAGTCAAGATCCAGCGAATAGAAGAGAGATTATCAGCACTCGGGAACGTCATTTGCGCCAACGATCATGTGGCGCTCGTGCATCCCGACCTGGAGCGCGAGACGGAGGAGATCATCGCAGATGTTTTGGGCGTGGAAGTTTTCAGGCAGACGATTGCGGATAACGTGCTGACGGGCTCCTACATGGCGCTCTCGAATCAGGGCGGTATCGTGCATCCCAAGACTTCGATTCAGGACCAGGATGAGCTTTCGAGTTTGCTTCAAGTACCACTTGTCGCAGGCAGTGTCAACCGGGGCAGTCCAGTCGTTGGTGCCGGGATGGTGGTCAATGACTGGATGGCCGTGACTGGACTCGACACCACAGCCACAGAGTTGAGTGTGGTGGAGTCGGTATTCAAGCTTGGCGAAGGAATGGGGCCCAGCGCAATCAACACGACTAACAAGGAAACTATGGTTGAGTCCTTCTACTAGGTTTTCTTGCAGGGGTATGCGGGTCTATGAGCGTGGCGTTGGGGGAACTTATACAGCAGGCATATTCACGACATCATGCCAATTGCGGCCGCTTCAGGAGGCGTGCGAGTGTATGGACGCGAGGCTCTGATGGCCACCAGCGGACCATGCAACACGATATGGAGAGGAATTCGTTTAAGAGAAAAGCTACCATAGTAGCACGCTAGTACTACTTCAGTTAGTGTTCGAAGGAGACAGCGAGACGATTTTCAACGATTTTCCATGTTCATCCTTGTCAAGCTGGCTGTTATGCAAGGGACGGGAGCTTCGATGTGGCATTCAATTCGTGGCACAAGCTATGTGCAGTGGCCCTGTGAAATACCTTAGATAAAACGCCACCACAACATCAAGAAACCGCACGCCCTGGAGTATCTCTCTGAATCCCGCCAAACGCCGATCATGTCCTTAGCTAGCTGTCCATGAGACAAGTCTCCCATGAGCAGTCTCTGAATTAGTCCGGGTTCGTGAAGGCTTCTGAAAAGCGTGAATCAACGGCAACTCTGCCGCCGCCTGTAGTAGCTTCGTCAGAAGCCTGACTCTGAGTGTCCGCAGTCTATGCGTCTTCGGCATCGGCCTCCTTCTCGTCGACATCAATTGTGATGCCATTCTTCTGTGCGGCTTTCTTCCACTGTTCGCACTCGGCCCAGGCGCGCTGACACTCAGCCTTGAGCTTATCGCAGCTTGTGCTCAGCTCAGCAATGGCTTGCTCGGTGAGAAGCTTCTCCAGCGTCCACTTCTCGATGTTCTGAGTCTCGTTCTCCTTGAGCTGCGTAATAAACTGCACGGCACGAGCCAGAATGCTGCCTTTGTTCTTTTCGCAGCCTGGAACTATCTTGGCGAGTTCGTTAATGCCCTCGTTGATAGTCTCTCGACGTCGACGTTCCACTGCTAAATGTCAGCTTCCGGGCATCTTTGAGCGCATTGGAAGACTTGGCGATGGAGTTGGTGGCGGAGGAGTGCTTCCTATCGAACACATCACGGAGACTCACCTTCTTTATGATTGTCTCTTCGCACTTTATGCCATTCCTCGGTGCCAACCTGTGGTTTGGGACCGTTAGAGCCCTTTCCTGGTCCGGATGGAGATGTTGCGCCATTAGAATTCGCCTGACCAGAGTTGGGACCGATATCGAAGTCGCCGAAGCTGTTAGATCGCCCGGGAACACCACTGGCTTGGTCGATTGAGGAGCTCGTGGGACGGTCGTTCGGCGGTTCAGTGGGCTGGGTCATGAAAGCCTGTTCTGTGGATTGAGGCACGGTCATAGTATGATGGTAGGCCATCGCAGCAGCAGCAGTGTCACTCGCCGTCGGGCCTCCTTGTTGGTGTACTTCGGCTTGGGGGTTGTGCTGATGATGGAGATCTCCCATGTCCGGGTCGGTATTGTGTTGATTCAGAGCGGCGGCGAAGTCCATATTGCCATCGTGATGTCCCATTCCATCGCCTCCATGCATGTACTGGTGCTCGAAGTCGTCGCTCATGTTGGGTGGTGCGCGTGGATTCGGCATATCGTTGGCGTCGCGCTTCCGTTTTGCAATGGCAGCAGCCATGGTCGGGACTCGCCTGGACGCGCGGGCTCCCCTTCCGCAGTCAGAGGCGTCGCGTTTCTATACGCTGTCCTGCGCAAGACATATTAGCTCGTGATCAATCTCTCGCGTCTGCATGTGATGCGCATCGAGCAGTTGAGGTCATGCGATGCGGCTGGCCAGTGGCAGTGGCAGTGGCAGTGGCAGTGGCAGGTGGCAGGTGGCAGCTAAGGACGACAGTCGACGAGAGCTCAAGCGAGGATAGGTTGCGGCCATCGCTCGTAGCCTCGTCGCCTCACAGCCTCGCCTCGCCTCGCGGACGCTCAGTGTCGTTCGTTGTATGGCCAGCTCCATGCATCGAGCGTCGCTACGCTGAGAGCATGGCGATAGCATGCGGTCGCATGACGCGGGCTTGCGGCTGCGCATCGGTCCAGGCTCTTTGCGCAGTGTGGTTCTGTCGACGGGCATTTCATCGTGCCACTTACACGGCCTGAGTGATTCCCGCAACTCCCTCTCCCTTCCCGCGTAGTAGTCACCTGATGATGGCTTTCACGTGCGTGTTGTTCAAGTCGGGTCGTCGACGAGATGCGGCTTCGGCTTCAACCGAAGCAGGGTCCGTCCGCTCGGGCGTGCTTGGCAACTCACTCACTTGGACGCGACGGGCGACGGGCACGAATTGCGAAGCGACGCGATGCAGACGGCAACAACAGTAACAGCAGGATTCGTGCGCTCTCAATCAAGCAGCTCGTGCGAACGAGATAGAGAAGCGATCAGGTGCAGACACGGCGGAGGTGATCAGGTGCATACCAGGGCCCCAACCGTGACGGAAAGGCAGCATGTGATTGGCAAGCTCACCCACCTCCTCCTTGGACCGCGCGGGGGCCACTTCTGCTTTCTTTGTACTCAACTCAACCCTCCCTCCTTCAGGAAACATCCGGAGGCTTTGCGCTTTGCCTTTGCGGAGAGCCTCACACGCCTGCACACGCCTGCACACGCCTACGGAGTACACACGCCTGCCCACGCCCACGCCCACGCCCCCGCCCCCGCCCCCGCCCACGCCCAACCCGTCACGCGATCCCCTCGATCCCCGATACATGTGTGGCATCCAACATTGAAACTTGAAAGGTCGAGAGGGCCAATCAGATCCGCCCGGCGTCGGCTCCGTGCCAACCATGTTCCCGTCTCCGAGCACCGCAGGCATGGCCTTCATGAAGATATTGGAGACATTGACCCACACGATAATCCATTCTCGAAGCCTAGTGTTCGACCCTCCTCCCTCGCTGAGCCACCAAATACCACTCGTAGGGAAACGAAACTACATCGATTGGAAATTGCCAATTTTCGGTCTTCGCACGTCTCTCTCGGCAGCCTACTACTTTCCGTCGTTTGACCTACCCAACGAGGAGCCCACACATGCTGATTCTCAGCAACGGCTACTTGCACTTCTGAGGACTAGGTAGGCGCCAGGAGGCACTCTTAAACAAAATTCGCTATGGTGCCGTCCATCAATTTCAATGCTTGACACCATCTTCCATACTATTGGGCGTCTGCGTTCGTCAGTCGCATCTGTCCGTATCTTCCTTATCCGTATGGAAGAAAAGTCGGCTTGCCGCTTGTAAGAGATGCAGGTCGCCGAAGCCTTGGTCATAGCTTGTAGGCGGTCGTTATTGATACAAACGGCACCACTGACCGCCCTTTGGGCCATAACACTGCACTGAACTTGATCAAAGATTCTGCAGCACCAAAACTTACCTCAAAACACTTGCTCGCGATGGATCCAGAAGGCGCCCCTGCTCTTGCTCCCAAGAAAGAACTCAAGCGTAAGCATTCAGATGCGTCCATCCAGCCCTTATTCGGGAAGCAGGTCAAGACCGTCAGCGGCACAACGTTTGATCCCATCAACGTCGACATTTATCGCCTTCGCAAAGAACACGACTTGGAATGGGATCGTATCGCCGAGGACCTCAACACTCGCTACAATCGTGGTGTCAGTACAGACACTTCGCTGCTTTCTGGTGAGCTTGGGCCCTAATTTCTGCGCTCAACAATACTAATGGTGGTATCCCCAGGTGCTGCTTGCTATTCCCGCTTCAGCAAGTATGCTGCGGCAATCGCTCAATCTCGTGGAGAGGACTATCGCAGAGAGTGGTACATTGCCGATGCTCACAACAAAGCCAGTCTCGCAGTCGATAATCATGCTCTCAACAAAGCAATATACTTGATGTGTACGAAAGAGAGCAAGTCATGGTCAGAGATAGCAAGAAGCCTTAACGAGAAATACCGGCTTGACGGGACCAGAGGCCGGGAGCCGTTATCAGCAGTACGATTCTGTACACCACACGAAGGGTTTTTCGACTGACAGCAGCGTAGAATATGTGTTACCAGCGATTCAGGAGTACTGGAGCATCCATAGCCCGCTCGGTGGGTGAGGTCTTTGAGAAGGAGCAGTACCAAGGGTACGTTGTTGACCATGCATGAGCTTTTGATGAGAAGTCAGTTGAATGAGAATACTGACAATCTTTCTAAGGCAGCAAAAACGAAGAACGGCTGAGAAAGCGCCAGCGATTCAACCAGCACAACCGGCACCGACAAATCAGCGAAAGCCGTCTATGACCAATCTGCCTCGGATCAAGACGCCTGTAATCAAGAAGGAGCCGATCAATGACCCAGAACGCCCAGCACCAAAATTACGCGGACGCGCCGATAGCGAGGTAAAAGTCGTCGCATCCAGACCGGCCCCAGACCGCAGACAGAGCAGCGCCGTTGACTTCCTCAAGCCCACCATCCCTTCGAAGCCCAAGTCAGAGCGCTCTGTAGCTGGTGGAGTCCCGAAGAGTGCATCATCATCATCATCATCATCGAAGACAGGCAAGAACGAAAGGGTGAGCAAGACGACGAGCAGCGCACACGACGCCGATGGGCTCGTAAAGGAAGCTTACTCCAAGGTCAAAGCCAGAGTGTGGAAGGAAGTTTCTGAATTGGTGGCTTTCGCGTCAAAGGGGGAGGTTATGATGACTGATGAGGAGTGCCGTTCTGTCATGTATGGCCAAAGGAAGAGCTCGTTGTAAGCAGGATTGATGACGAAGGAAAGCGAGCAGCGTGCCGCCGACAGAATCATGGCACATTCTACGTAACTTGGAGTTGCCATAGAGCGAGAGCGCAGGGTCGAAGAAAAAGAAAAGCGAGAATCAAATTGTGATTCATTGAAGCAAAGCATTCTGGTACATGTATCACTCATATTCTATATACAATCCATCTCAAGCAAATCAAGCACCCAGCATCAGTCTCATCCAACCAAACAACCTTAGTCATAAACTCCAACCCTTTTGGTATCCATCATCGATCGACCGTAAGCTTAGCCTCCCACCAGTAACGCCTAGCTAGAAACACTGTACTTCCGCCAGTAATCATAAAGTCAACGAGCCAGCCGTGCTGTCTGCACCAACTCAGAACATACTCCAACTCCACCGAAGTTATTAGTTTTCTAACCCTTCAACGCCGCAAGCGTACCCAGCGTCACATACGAAAGTCGACCAGCCTTCTTCTCCGCCTCTTTCTGCGCAGGAGTTCTCTTCTCGTCGTCCTTCGAAGACCTCTTCATCCTCTCCTTAATCACAGTAATCGTCGAAGTTCCCGTAGACTTGCTCCAGACCGAACTCCTGTCATCAGAATCCGAGCTGGAAGTGACAACAGACTGTGTTCCTGTTCGTGGTTGTGTGGAGGACATCTTCTCATTCTCCTTCTGAGCGTTGGCGGATTGGAACATTGGTGTGTATTGGATTGATTTTTCTGATGAGGTTTTGGGCAGGAGGGGTGTGGATTTGTAGAGTTGGTCGTAGAGGATGGACATTACGTTGATGTCTTGGGGGTTAGGAGGGCTGTATAAGTAAGGCTGTCGGATTGAGTGAGACAGCTCAGTCCGAGGGTTTCGTCCGAGATCGTGTTCGCGTACGAGCTGCCTTGAGTGGAGCTTTCTGCCTACTGCCGATCTTTGAAGGATGAGATGAATGATTGCTGCTGACCGGATTTCTGGGATATTCTTGAAGGTTGAATACATGGAGCGTGGGTATCACTTCTTTATAATTGAACGACTCATCGCGGTGACACATCTGCCATTCCTGGCATACAAGCAGGTCAATGCTGATGTGTGCTGCGCCCTGCAATACTCACCGCGTGCTGCTGGCGTTGACTCAAGGCATCCATCGGTCTCAAAACACGCGAATGCGGTGTTCATGCTCGGAGTTCAAGCATTCATCAGCGTGTGCTTGGAGTGAGCCGCTGAAATGTGGTTGGTGCTGACGGGCTATGGCGCCTTTGCCTTTGGCAAGTGGCTTGATGAATCCTGCGGTGACTCAGAGCGGAATTAGACCTCAAGTCCTTGAACAAACTTCAATAATAAAGATTATAAATAATAAAGCATATCCACTTCGTATTGCACGCATTAAAGTTCTGTGCACTTGTATGCCAAGTTCTAGAACTACAGGGTGTCTTATTATAAATTCGAGAAGCCGCTCATCAGAGTGCTTCCTTCCCGCCTACTCATCGAAGGCAGATTTACTATGATTACGAGGCATTGGCACGGTCCTCGTTCTGGTCTCCGACTGGCTTCGCGAATGCATCAGACACCCTATTCTATAGGCTATAGCATTTTCGATGCATATGCTCTCATGATTACAGGGCTCTGGGTTGGCAGTGTGGCACATGCTGCAGCGGCCTGTGACCCCCTATTCAGTGCCTGATTCGCTCACCATTCGTTTGCCAACCGTGAAACTGTGGCATTCCCTTGTAGTTGCAATTTTCATACCCAGTTTCAAGGTTTGGTGGTGTTTGGGGTCTTTTGCTTGTACAGGCTGTACAGCAACGCGCCTCGAGGCTCGAGCAGAAATCGGACTGTTTAGTTCTACAGCCTCCAAACTACATCTAAAACTGGTTCCGAAAGGAATTTTTGGGGATAGATGTTCACCAGGAGCGTGCAAGGCTCGGTCGCTTAGCAGGGACTCGGGAAAGTAGTCAAGGATGGATGTCTATTCTGGAGGTCTATCCTAGTGCGAGTTTCATTACTACAACATCGAGGGTGAAGTGTTGTTTTCCCGGATGCGAGTATAACTAGATACGTAGTGCTTACGACCGCTGGCTTTCGACATAGCACGGAATACTACCTTACCTCTACAAACAACATCGACACAGCAAGAACACTATGCGGTCTATACTCACCTTCGCTGCTACTATTGCTCTCGCAGTAACCGCTTCGGCAGACCTATCTGGAACTCAATGTAATTGTAAAGGTCTCAAATCTTGCCAAGCCCAAGGAGCTGCGGGATGTGTGCAACTTTCATCAGGCCCAGCCTGTGTTGTATACACTAAGGGCCAAGACTGTGTGCCCGAGTGCCTTGGCGCGCATTTTAATTATTCCTACAAGAAGCAGAAGTGAGTGGCGTATCTGCGAATTGTCGACCAGTTCTTAACACAAGATATTACAGATCAACCGACCAACAGTGCATATGCACCCTCAAGGATGCTAGCAAACCATCAGATGTTTGCAAGTAGGAAGGTTGAGAATGCCAAGGCTTTGGTTTTTAGAGCCTTACAGAACGCGAAGATTGGACTTCTTTGTACCTCTTGTTGTACCGCTATTATCTAGCCTCTCAATATATATTATTGCGCTGTGTTGCCTCTAGAAGTTACTATTCTTATCGCTACGTTAATAGCGACTAGTTTATAGCGCCTAGATCTCGAATACTCGGCTATATCTATAGAGTATATATCTCGATTATAAAAAGCAGCTTCGAAGGACCTTAGTAACCTAAACCTTACTAAAGATAGGAATACCTTACTAGATAGCTTATAATAGTATCTCTAACGATATATAGTCGACTAACTCGTATCTATTTTCGCTACTATCCTAGCTATCTCGTAACCGCTATAAAAGTATTGTTTAGCGAGTCGACCTATATACTTAAGTAGAGGGATAGGAAGGGCTCGTACGATATAAAAGAGCTAGAATAATAATAGTAATAGTAATAATACCTAGGACTATATATCTAGCGGCTATACTAATAATATATATTTTATAGTGTTTAGGGCTATAGTGCGTAAGAACAAGAAGAAATAGTCGATTTGCTAGTAAGTTCTTAGTAGGGTTTCCTAAGTCTTAGCATTCTCAACCTTCCTGCAAAGCATAGTAGCTGTCCCGCCAAACCGCCCGGCTACAACCGGTGCTGTTCTAGTCTTCTCAACAAGTGCAAGTCCGAGGGCGCCTACATATTCAAGATTTCGAACATTCAAAGGGGAGAAGAGGCATGGTTCGCAATTTGGTCTCCGGTCGGCTTCCTGTATACACAAGACCCTCTGTAGGGCTGGAATGAGTAATAATCTCGAGCTTTTCTTCCCCTTGTGCCAGTACAGATGACTCAATGTTCCGGATTTCAAGCCACTTGTAGCGCTCGGCCGAGCAGCACGAATTTGCGTTGCAGCCTCGTTTAAAATGTGCGACGCTCGTGCGTAACTGCTGCCAGCTCCGATGCTCGACCCTGCTACGGGTAGCTGGCGCAAAGCATGATGCTGCTGAAGCCACAAATTGAACGACACAAAGACGAAAGCCGGGTAAGGTCTGGTCCCGCATGTCAACATTCTCAATCACTCAATCATTAGATGATATTTCATTCCTGTGTGATAAACATGTCCCAAGGCCTGCTTGTGGTCAAGCTAGATAAATTTCCCAGCCCTGCTCTTGACACTTTTTGAGGGGAAGCCTATAACCTTTGGTCTGGTTACGGAGAATTCGGGGCAATGAAGGACTGACTGGATCTCAGTGATTCTGCGAATAAGATCACATCTTAGGAGAAATTTGTGCGCCCTGCTCTCGACCATGGAGACTGGATGCCTGTCTGCGACGTATCGACTCGCGCTCAGAACTTATAGCGGAGTCGTGCATCGCGGCGAATTCCCCGAATGCTGGCCAGACTCTTCACACTTTCACAGAAAACGCCAGGCCTGTCACGTTGTATCCTGAGACCGTCCACTCTGTCTCTGAAAGGCCAAATCCATAAGTCGCTTGCTGAGCAGCGATTCATTCTTGGTACCAGTGCGCCTTTCTCTGCTTCTGTCGCGCTCGAAATGAAATGGATCTTCCAGAAAAGGCATGAATTTGGTCGGAGCTTCTCCATTCGAAAAAGAGGGAGAATTCGGCGAGCGAACAGAAGACGTACCCTGTGAGCCGGAGTCGATTTCCATGACGTCGCTGAAAGCTCTGCTTGCGGGGCGTGAGTCGAGTGTCAGCAGCGTTGTAGGCTGTCGTGGAAGGGATGGCATGGGGATGTCGTTGTGCTGTCGAACAGGATATTCGTGGAGGGGCAGAGACTGTGCGAAGTGCTGCCACCGAGTATCATTCGTAGGCTCGATTGCACTCCGCCTTCTATCAGGATCTCTGGCACCATTCGCATTTGCGCCAACGTTCGAGTCTCGTCCAGGTTTGTAGGCACTGTACCTCGGCTCAGGCATCTGTATCTCGTTGCGAAGCCTCTCTTTGCCATCCGGCACGCGATTGGCAAAGACAACTCGTATAGACTTGTAAAGGAAGTATCTACCTTTCGAAGGACAGCATACGTGCAAATGAACCAGATATCGCAGCATTGGCCGATCATTAGGATCGTCAGTCGCGTTCAGAGCTGCTTCGGGACGATCTGTCCCGAGATTCGTTCGGGAAGAAAGGGGCATATCTACGATCGGTCCAGCCGAGTAGCTACGCTGACGCAAAAAGGTCTTTTGCCCCGGCTCCATGTCTGAGAAGTCATACGGCACTAGGAACAGCTTCACAGCGGTCTTGTTTGGATTCTTAATGACAATCTGAAGTTGCCCCTGCTGAGGTATACGGTAGCTGCCTCCTGGTGGAGCTTTCGGCGAGCCAGATCTGCGCTTGGCTTTTTGTCGCCGACGCCGTCTAGCCTCAGGCCCTGAGCCATTCTCTCGCGAGGGAGAGCTAGCACGGCTGCCTTCATTGCTGAGTGCCAAGTGTGATCTTTGCTGTCTTCGTTCGTTTTGTGCCTGGTCTGGGCTTGGAATATTGTTCTCAAGGTCAACGAGGCCAACGTACGGGCTTGGCTGATCGCTAGCGGATGAAGTCTTTGTTGCAGTCCCATAGCTGTAGAATACGGCAGGGAACGGCACTTGCACATGTGGTGGACATCGCAAGTTGGATTTGCAGTTGCCCTTGCCAAGAACACCGATCTGTGCAACAAAGTTCAAAGGCTTGGAAGGAGTAGTTGACATTCGACCTCTCAAAATCGACTCTTCATATGAGCCGACCATCGGCGCGTGGTGCAAAGGTGATTCCATAGAGAAGGATGGCCGTCTCAGTGCAGCGACTGGGGTCTGTGGCATGCTGGAGTACGGCGTGTTGTTCAGCGATCTTCTCGGCTGGTGCGCTTGGTACGGGAACGTCTTCTCAGAACGCAAAGAAGGTATGACACGCGCAGACGTAGCATCGTCCAGAGCAGATTGGAAACGATGAAACGACTGAGGCGAGAATGTATGACGTCGACTTTTGTCGGGACTTCTTGAACTAAGACGAGCAGGTGGCTCAGGCGTGTCTGGTCTTGAGGACTGCACTAACGGGCTGGTAGGCGGTTTATACACGAAACTAGCAGCAAGCGAAGCATTTGAAGTGGCACGATATCTCGCTGGTCGTGGAATCGGAACACCATCCTCAGGTGGTAAGGCACTAATGTCATTGCGAGGTTGCTTATATGCTCCGGCAGGGAATCCCGGATGCCATGGTGCAACAGGCGAAGTGGAGAAGGCAGGTGCGGGCTCTTCTCTGACAGCTGCTGTACAAGAGCCAAAGCGCTCGAAGGACGACTCTGTCTGCTCTTTATCCCTGAAGTCTCCACGATGAAGAGCAGATCGCGGTCTTTCGATTTGCAACCCGACCGACTGATTGTCTTGCGGAGTTCCTGGAGATCGTGGTGTGGATTCGGAAAGATTGCTGAGAACAGGAGCGAATGGCACAGGCGAGCGACGCTTCTTTTCCAGACCGGCTGATGTCGGTCTCTCGAGCTCGGGAGATGTAGGTCTTGACTCTCTGCTCTTCAATTTCACCAAGCGACTGTACTCGGTGGAGGACGGTCTCTCCAGTTCAGGAGATGCCGGCCTCGATCCATTGCTCTTGATCCTCCTGATGATCTCCTGCCTGTCGACAGTGTTTGTCTTCGATCCCTGTGCGGGCGTGCGCGGCCTTCCAGTGTAGTAGGGATTGAAGATGGTTGGACTGGATCGACCATTCTCCGGGCTGGCCGTTCTCGATCTGGTCACCTTCGCTGTGTCTGACTCGGAGCCATTGCAATTCGTAGGCTGTCCATAAGTCGTCTGGCAGTCAGGGCATCCATTGTTCACTGCCATTCCTTGCCCGGAGCCACGAACTTGGCTCCGAGCCGGTCCCGCCTCGCCAGTGGCAGTAAGAGGGCGATATGGGCAGTGTGGAAGGTCGGTGGTGGACTGTCGTCCGGTGCAATAGGGCAGTGTGTGATGAGCCTACACAGTAATAGGAAAGACGTAAGTGCCGCGTCCAAGTGTTCGTAGCATGCAAGGAAGAGGGTGCAATGAGTGATGGATGGCTTCGCTGGTCGACAAAGAAGGCGGGCGTGCGTCCCTGTGAGCGCCTCGGCTCGGCCTAGCTTGGACCTTGGTTCTTATGTACTCGATTTTGGTATTGCTGGTGCAAGGTGGAAGGGCAACAGGACAGGCTTGCGACTCCGCTCGGTGTTGGTGGTGGTCCTCTGATCACCCGACTAGAATATCCTTCCCTTCGTCATCCGTAAGGTAGATAACCTTAACGCGAACGCCCAAAGGAAAGCAAATCGAAATTTGAAAGACACCCATCAAAACCTTCAGGTTCCCCCAGTGCCGACGTACAAAAGTTGCGGAAAACAGCAGTGTCGCCACCACCACCTTGTTGGCCATCTGACCATGCCCGAGGCGAGAAAGAGAGACCGCGACGAGGCAGGCGCGAAGGACGCCCGAAAGAGACAGAAGAGAGGCTTCGTGGTGGGACCAGGGAATTTGCCGGATGGTGCCTACAAGCGCAAGACGCAGGAAATCAAGCAGAGTCTAATTGCAAAGGCAAAGCTGCGCAAGAAGTATGAGAAACTGAGGAAAGAAGGGAAGGTGGCACAGGAAGAGGATCTACCAATGCCAGCATCGTTGGCGGTGGAGGAGGATGAAGGTGAAGGTGATGAGCCGACCACCGCGCCACATCCAGATCGACAGAACTTGATTGAGGAGGAAGCAGAGGCGCCGGAAGACTCGAGGAAGGAGGTGCCCCGGCGGAAGCGCAGAGAGAAATTTGCGACGTTTAGCAAAGAACATGAGCAAGCTCGTCGGCGCAAAGCTGAGGCAGAGGAACGACGCAAGGCGCGAGAGGAGGCTGAGAGGCAGCGACAAAAGAAGATCGAAGAGCGGGAGAAATTCAGAAAAGCTATGGCAAAAGCACGAGGCGGTGGGCGAAATGGGCAGAGGAAGCTGGGAAGAGAGAGTCAGCCGCTGTTGGAGAAGGTGAAGAGGCTGATGGGCGAGAGTGGATGAGCAGTGCATCGGGTCAACACGAGCGATGCTGGTTGTCATGGGTGTATGTTCTACGTCTATAGAGAGGCTTAAGCGTTCTGCTTTGCTTTCTTGAAGAACTCGCCCACGCGCTCCGACTCTCCATCATACCTGGATAGATTCTCAAGTGCCTGCCGACCTTCTCGCTCCACGGCGCGCCGAATATCGTCGGATCTTGGGACGAAGACACACGGAAATTCCTGCGGGCGCATATTCAGGCCGTTTGTATAGTTGAAAATATCGACGGGAATCTCATGCCCGTGCGAGTCTCGCGCCTTTTCTATCCGGAATGCCCACAGCAGTCTGGCAACGGTGATGAAGGTGCCCTGCTCAGCAAGACCTTGGCCACTACACACGCGTCGCCCCCAGCCAAACGTCATATATCCTTTCTCATTCGGAAATGGCCTCGATGCGGCGTCGTTCTTCAGAAAGCGTTCTGGCTTGAAGCGGTCTGGCTCTGGGAACTCATTCTCGTTGTGGTGTATTGCCCATACATTGCCTTGAGTCCAGGTGCCTTTCGGGATTTTGTATCCATTCCATTCGTCGTCCTGCACCGGTGCGTGAGGCTGGCCTCCGATGATGGCCACACTACGCCATCTGAAAACCTCCTTGACGAAAGCTTTCACGTATACCAGCTCAGCTTCATCCTCCCACGATGGGCTGCGGTGATGGCCAACCACCCGATCCAGCTCTTCCCAGGCTTTGGGCAATACCTCGGGGAAGGCGCAGCACGCAAGCACGAAAGTGATCAGAGTACTGCTGGACGTGTCACTTCCCGCGCCGAACAGGTTTCCAGCCAGCGACGAAATCTCATCCTTTCTCAGATTGTATTTGGGCGCTTCTGTGAACAAAGTTTTCACAAAGCAGTCTTCGTCTGGCGTCTTCGTCCTCGCTTCATCGGCCAGAGCATAGAAGAAGTCTTGGCCTCTTCGCCTGCGACCCAGGCCATTGAACATCCACGGGAATAATTGAGGCGGAAGGTTGGCAAGCCATGGGAACGTCTCAAAGAGCATCGGGAAAGACTTGCCGGGCACATTCAAGTCTGCGGCCTTCTGCATCACAGCAATCACTTCCGTGATGAGCGGATCCGTGATGCTTGCTATCCTCCTGCCAAATCCGATGATCGAGACCACACTAGCTGCATACCGCTCGAAGTGTGCGACGTACTCGTGTGGCGTGCGCACGAGACTGAAGGCCACAAGCTTGCTCTCGTCATTCTGGAAATCACGGTATTTGCGAACTTGTTGGAGCCCCACGCCGGCATGTGTGATCTTTCGGTGCACTCGCCAACGCTCGCCATAGTACATCGTGACGAGATTCGTGCCGGGCACTTTGGCATCAGCATCCGACGACTGCCCCATCCCCGTCAGCTCTGCGAAAACGACCATTCGCGGGCGTGAGGCATAGACAGCGGCTTTCTTTTCCAGGAGCTCTGCGGCCGACCAGGCGTCATTGATCCACACTGTAGGCTTTCTGCCAATCCAGAACGTGATGACCGGCGATTTCAGCTTTTTGGAAAGTGCTTCGAAGTAGATCCAAGGCTTGTTCTCGGGCAGCAGGTGAGTATTGCCAATGATTGGCAACGGTAGAACGCCGGGTGGCTGGATGGGAATCAGTCAGGTCACTTCATCCGCGGAGCTGGCAACGTACCATTCGCCTGTGAAGCCCAAGAATACGAACATAGTCGACCAAGAGTGCTAGCAGCGCAGCCACTGGCACCAGAGTGACACTCGTCCAGAGCAGCACATCTGAAGTCAAGATCCAGGCTGCCCATCCATGACCTGACAAGCTTTCCACCACCGCCATCTCGTTATCAGACCTTTTGAATCGGGAGAGTCTCGATTTTGGATTAATGCAAGCATGTGTACAGTGTATTTGCACCAGAAGTAAGACACCAACACTCAGCTACGCCGAAAGGTATTATTATTCTAGCGAAGTGGCCGCGTGCAGCCTCCACGCACGGCAATTTAACCGCACAACAGCAGCAATTGCCGGGACGAGCATTGCCTTGCACGAGCCATAACTTCACTGCATGCTTCATTGCTTCCCCACACCCCATTATTCCCCAGACGGAACCATTTATCCATGCTCTGCAAATTCAACCCGAGGACCTATCAGACCGCATACTCGTGATCTGTACGGAGTACAGAAACGCATGGCTGTATAGCGATGTACCTCTTCGCATACACGCCTCTTCTGGTGTGATGGCTCGGCAGTTCGTATGTGCTTCGACGTGTCAAAAGCTGGTCCTTTGTCGTTCCTCGCTGCCAGACAGGACCATACTGTGAAGCTGCAAAGAGATCTGTCAACCCTCCAAGAGTCTTTCCCATGGCGCCCAAGAACTACGACTCGCTTCTCGTGAATTGGAAATGTCTCCTGGCATGTGTGCTCGTGTCCATGTGTCCGTTCCAATATGGCATCGACTTTGGTCTGATAGCAGGTCTTCAAGGTACCATTTCTCGTCTATCTGTACCAAGAGAAAAAAAAAAGAAACATCCCACACGACATCTGACGTGCATAACAGCTATGGTTGGCTTTCTTAAAGTCTATGGCTACCGAGCACCGAACTTACCATCGGGCTACAACATCTCGACTGAACGACAGCAGCTCATCGCCTCCCTGATGACTCTCGGTGCAGTGATAGCATCCGGCTTCGCAGGTCCTATTGCTTGGAAACTGGGTCGGAAAGCAAGTATCTGGGTCGCGTGCGTCCTCTGCTGTGGGGCCAACGTGATTCTGATGACAGACGAACCGTCCTCGCAATCTGTGTAGTAAATACCCAGGCCGCATCGGGCGCTATGTTTATGATAGCTTACGGAACCTACTTCTTCGAGATGGCAGGTGTTGGAAACGCGTTCCAGAATTCCATCATTCTGGTGGCCGTAGCGGTGTTCATCATGATCGTTAACGCCTGCATCATCGTCCGATGGGGTCGTCGAAGAGTTATGCTCACCTCCGGCCTGATTCTATGCGGCCTCGTGCACGTAAGTTCAGAGAGACCTTTGAATCCTGTCGATCATTGCTGATAGTCTGGTAGTGGAAGAAGTCGATGAAATGTTCGCAGCTCGGCTTCCAGCTCGCAAATTCCGGAGTTATCAGTGCATCGGCATCGCCAGACATGACACCGGTCCCTCAGACGAGGACGAGAAAGGGATGCATGTCGTCGAGACCGTCGAGCGTGTATCGGTGGACATGAAAGGCGCTCCAAGAGTTGCAGAGACGATTGTCAATCCTGTCTAGGACAAGGGTATGATTACAATCTTGCTTGGTCACCTCCTACCAGACTCTCGCTTAACTGCCATAGCCTATCAGCAATCTCGATATCATTCGCATGATCCTTCGGGTCTTCGAATTGACAGTCACTGAGAAAGATCTTGTCGTGTGGTGTTGCTAATGCTGGATCCAATGCCGCGACTAGAGTCGTTGCAATCCCTTGATCATGTGTCTTCCAGACGCCATTTCTTGCAGTACTTTCGACGAAAGCCAAGTCTGCAGGTGTCAGGTTTCGTGATAGATCAGTATCGATAGCTATCGCTGTCAGGTTCATGCTCCACTGTTGAGCAAAGATGAGCACTTACTTCCAGGATGTACAGCATAAGCCCTCAGCTTCATCGATGCGAACTTCTCATTCAACGAGATCGCATGCAAGATGTTCGCGGTCTTAGATTGTCCATACGCGCAGAAAGCATGATAAGGGCGACCTTCTGCAGCATTTGGTGTGAAAATAAGTGGGAATCCTGGAAGAGGCTCCTCGTCTGGCGGTATGACTTTGCCCTCGAAATTGTAGTCATGAAAACGTATAGGCGAGATCTCGTACCCAAGACTCGAAACATTGACTACCCTTGGAGTGCCACTTGCAAGCAATTTGGGCATGAGAAGATTCGTGAGCAGAAAGTGACCGATGTGGTTCACGGCGAATTGGAGCTCAAGACCTTCGCTGGTCGTCTTTCGTTCGGAGGATACAAGGCCTGCATTGTTGATGAGCAGATCAACGTGAGTCATCACCCCGGCGATCCTTGCAGCTGCATCTCGAACGGAGGCTTGAGAACTAAGATCTAAGACGACCAGTCTTGCGAGGACACCAGTAGATTGATGAAGCTCTTTCTGAACCTTTTGAAGCTCGCTGCGGGATTGGGAGGCGAGTACGAGGTCGTAAGGTCGGTGTCGTGCGATCGTCAAAGCCAATGTTCCCCCGAGCGATCTCGGTGAGACTCCCGTGATTACGACTATGCTGACGATCAGCCTGACAGTCTATTCATGTAGCTGTGCTGGGAACAGTTCATGCTCTCAAGCACGACCAGTCGGCTTATGCAACAGCTATTGGAAGGACTTCTGCTCCAACCATACCATTTCTGCCCTTGATTTCCTCCGCGAAATACTCTGCGACTTCAGTGCCATTCGTGGTAGCACCGAAATCTGGGCGCGAAGTCATTGTGTCACATCGCCTGCAGTACAGAGTCGGAAGTGTACACTCGACGTTCTTTGAGAAGTCATACGAACCACTGGTCTTTCCAATGAGAAGAAGAGCCCAAAGTATGGAAGCTGAGATGCCGCGCAGCCGAGACATCCGGGTCTGGAAAACGTGATCACGCCACGGTGTAGGGTGTAGGTATGCTGTACTGCGCGAGCTCGAAGCATATAATAGGAGCAAGCTTCACATGATCCTTGCCTGCAAGTTCGCGGGACAGTGGGGGAGAATCTATCTCCGGTTCAGACCCTTGCTGACTAAGCGCAAGGAAGTGTGGTAGGTGTGGGTCTTCTACCTGCCTTCTACTACTATGCTCCTTCTACTACTACTACTACTACTACCAATCTATATCGGACTACTACGCGACCGGACCTATACTACTACACTAACCTCCTTACGCTAGTAAGGGTCTAAGGACAAATGTAGCAGATCTATAGCATTGTCCTTATAAAAATAAAAGATTACTAACTAGCGTAGAATACTATAATTTGATGTATACATATTATAGCCCTGCTATTTCTAAGTTATTCTATATATATAATATTTAAATACGACGTATAGTTATAAAGAAAATAAGCAATCCTTACTACGGGTAGATATAGGTATACGACGGATTGTTATAGAGCGCTGCTACCTAATATCTAATATAGGAAATACACAAATCTAAGACTAGGAGGTTGTAGACCGGCTAATTCTAAGTACTGTTTATATAAGCTATATATCGAGAAAATGTATACCTACTGTCTACTAACTCTTAAGCGGAGCTAAGCTAGCTACTCGAAATAAGACATTCGGATCTCGACAAGTAACAACCCGGAGGTTCTAGAATAGCCAATTCTTAATTACTTTAATATAAGCTATGTTTGTATAAAGCGTAGTATTGTTATATTATATCTAAGTAGCGGAGGTTACTTAGCTATTACTAAAAGCTATTACTAAAAGCTAGCACTAAAAGCTAGTACCAAAAGCTAGCAGCTAGCATATTGTCTACTAATATTCTCGGTTATGTACTAAGCGATAGAAGATCCTATATATAGGCGGGCGGCCTTCTATAGGCGGCTTCCTATAGGCTGTCGTTTATCGCGCTAAGACAAGCAACCTCGTAAAACACAGTCTCGTTCGGCTTCGGATGCGCGTTAAGGCAGACTCTCTCTATATATCGTATATATCGTATATATCGTATATGTCGTATATTATATATTGTGTATCGTATATCGTATGTCGTATATCGTATATCGCTGTTAGTAATTCGAATAAAGGCCGCATTTACACGCTCTTTATTTAAGTAGGCCTAAAGGCAATATAGCTTTGCCGCTTTAAGCTACAGGTATAATAGCGGGCTGCCGCCTTCTTCTTCTTCTTCCTCTTGCTTTTAGCTTCTTCTGCCTTACTACTTGCATCTACTACTCGCATCTACCGCTAATATGTCCGACGTCGATATACTAGACTCCGACCTACTAGACCTACTAGACCTGCTAAGCGCGCTTTCTAGCCTACCGCTAAATCTATACCCGAATAAGTTGTCTAAGCTATTATCTAAATTAAACCTAGATTCCGAGGCAGATGCTAGTATATAAGCTGCGCTTAATATAGACTAGCAACGTATCGAGGTAGAGCGCTAGATAGCTACTATCGACGAGAGGGTACGTAGAGAGGCCCTATTCTAGGCGGTTAACGACGAAGATATATACGAGCCGGAGGCGTATAAGCAGGATAATAATCTTAGTAATAATAATATTGTATTAGAAGAGGCGGATGTAAGAAGGGTCTGTTAGTAGGTAGATAGGGTAGTAGTAGGTATAGGTAGTATTCGATAAGGAGCTAGGAGGAGAGGGAGGAAGGTAGGCAAGTTAGCCTATTACTAAGCGCTAAGCCCTACCTAAGGCACTAAGACCCTAGCTTCACTTAGCCTAGTTACATGCTAATTACGTATAGCCTCTTTAGCCCTAATACACGCTTCCCTTCTAAAGGCCGCGCCCTCGTAGCCTGTCTATGTTCTACGACCTCTATTGCCGCTAACTTAGCAAGTCTAATAAGCTGCTTAGCCCGCGCTAAATTAAACACTTAACTACCTAATTATATAACTATGTTAAACCTTACCTTCTAATACAATGTCTAACTCTAACTGCGCTATCCTTGTATATAATAAAGTAAAGGAATATAAAGCTATAAGAATTAAGGACTATCGACTAATTATAATACGAGCGCACCTTCCCTACTGCAATAGGTAGGTATACGGGGTATTGCAGCACTGCCTCCGTTCTAAGTAATGTCGTATCGAGTTCTTTGCGTCTACTCTTAAAAGACCTAGCAACGTCCGCTTCCGAGGGTTGTCTGCTTCCGAGGGTTTGTTCTTATTGTTACAAGGGCTATTATTTACTTTTTAGAAAAAACACAGCTCGTCTGGTTTCTATAGGCGAAGGCTATTATAAGTGCAGTAGTTAAGGTTCGCCTCGCTTAAAGGGTTAGAAAGATCGAGGAGTAACCTATTGTCCGCAAGATCGACCCCAGCTAGCTTAGCTCTATAGTTTTGCCCTTAGTTAGTTAGTCTATTAGTCTACTCAATCTTTTAAGCGGCTTAAAGTTTTGACTTAGCCTTAAAGTTTAATCAAAGTTTTGATTAAAGGTGCCTTAAAGTTTTAACGTAGGTAAGGTTAACAATAGCAGCGACTAGGTAATATTAATAATAGCAGCGCTAGCCGTCTTAGCGCCAACTTTACCTTGCTTCCGGTTTCCTTCTTTAACTAATAACAACATTAGCAACACCGTTACTAACATAGCGGTGTCCTTCCTTTCTCGAATAGCAACACACCCTATAATACTATTACTAATATAGCCGCGCCGGCCGCGCCGCCCTTCGCTAGCTCGTAGCGCGACGCTATTATCTTCCTTACCGTTATTCGTACGCGCGCGCGCATCGCCCTTGTCGATCGCTTAGGCCTTAGGGCCTCGATAGAATAGAGGAATAAAAGGGGCGCTAAGAGAAGGGTCTTATAGGGTGCGCTAGTAAAGAGGTAGATTCTATAGTAGTATAGTCTTATTGTCCTTTGTTACTAACAATTGCTTGCCTCTAATTAGTTAGCTAATAGCACCCCGGGGGTAGCATTGTTCCTAGGTAACATTATAGGCCCTTAGCCTTCTTCTTGTTCTTTATACTAGTCTAATACTTATCTAACAACTTAGTTATGTCCTTAAAGGAACCTTTAGCTTCCTATAAGTCCTATTTAGGTAAATAGCCTTACTATCTTAATAGGTACTCCTTCTTGCCTTGCCTAGTCCGGTGCTTTAGAATACGTTCTATAGACTACAGCTCTTTACTATCCGCTAGTATGTCTTTATGTTTAGTAAGGGCTTCATCCCCCTCGCGCAAGTAATATAGCTTAAGGAGGGATACATAGAAGGTGTTATAGATGGTATAATAAGGAGGAAGCTACAACTAATAGGCCTATGCGGAGGAGCCCTTAACTTCTCGAATGCGGAATAGACTAATATATCTTAGTGCGAGCTTAGGCCTTGTTTTGCCGTTAGGTAATAGGTACTTGCGGATGCGGAGGTTCTTAGTACTTAGCATAACTATATCGCCTTGTTTAAAGGTCCTTAGCGTATAGTACTTGTCGTAGTAGGTCTTTTAGTACTCTTAAGCCTTTGTCAACTTCTCGGCTATCTTAGTATAGATTTCCCGCATCTTCTAAACCCTCTTAATAGCCGCTAGTGTTTCGGGTACTTAACGCGCTTCCCTTTCCTTACGCTCGGCCTCGAGCGATAGGGGGTCTTGTAGCATAGCAGCGTTCTAGCCTATTATAGCTATATAGGGTAAGACCTTAGTTAATAAATACACACTGTTGTTATATACGAATTCGGCTAGTTATAGAAGGTTAACCTATCTATTAGGGTCTTTATTAATGTAGCTACGCAGGTACTGCTATAGCGTAGCATTTTGCCTCTCTGTCTAACCGTTAGTCTATAGATAGAAGGCTATTAATAGCCGATGCTTTAGTCTTAGCTGTAGGCATAATTCGCTCTAATAGTGCGATATGAATGTCGAGCCCCTATCGGAGACTATCCCCTTAGGGGTCCCCTAATAGCTATAGAAGATGTTGTTCTATAGGGCTTTAGCTATATTAATAGTAGTCTAATCCTTTCGAGTAGGAATGTAACGAGCACCCTTAGTGAATCGGTCTACAATAACTAGTATAGCGTTAAAGACGTCTTTGCTTCCTCTTCGCTTAGTAGAGGGAAGACCTATAATAAAGTCTATTATAAGCTCTATAAAAGGCTTCTTTAGAATAGGGAGTAAAGACAACTCGCTAAATAGTAAGTGCTTTAGTGCTTTAACTCGCTAGCATACTACATAGGTCTGTATATACTCCTTTATATACCGCTTACTATTTAGCTAGTAGTATATGCGCGATAGTAACTCGTGCGACCTCTCTATGCTATAGTAACTAGCGAGTTTACTATTATAGTGCCTCTTTAAAAGCTCTTATCTAATCGATTGTTTAGCGGGGACATAATACCTGCCCTTAAACTTTAAGTAACCTTTGTCGTCGATCGACTAATTGTTATTACTCTTACTAGATCGAGTCGCCCGCCTACTTATAAGCTTATTAATACGCTCGACAGTAAAGGCGTCCCTCTACTAAGTACGTAACAGCTTATCTATAAACGATTAACTATCCCTATTTATAAGGTCATTTAACAGCACCCGTACTATCGAACGAGGTACGCATTATATACATCTAATAGCACTAGCAGCCGGAACTACTATAACCTCTTTTATAGTGCTATCGCTATATAGGCTATTACTATAGATAGTAATGTCTTTAATCGAGTTATTATAGCTCGAGCGATCTACGTCCTTTCTTTTAACGTACACTAGAAGAACGACAACTCCGCTATAGTATTTGTTGTTGCCGCGGGGTCCGGAAGTCCGCTTATCCTACGCTTGCTTATTAATAACACGGGCTATAGCAATCTTATACTATAGGGTTAGAAACAAAGAATTGATATGTTAGGTCTCGCTATCGTAATTAGGTCGCCTCGATAGGCTATTAG